TTTGACATCCCTGTGTCAAGCCCTGGCCCAGAAGTCACAACCCCCATCAAAGCCCCTCATTGGTCATTCTGTGTCCATCTTCTACTATCTTCTGCCATTTTCCCCCTCTTCTCTGCCCTGAAGCCACCCAGCCCTCCTCACACCATCCTTCCTCCGGACCTTTGCACAGGATGCTGTTCCTGCTGCTCAGCCCCTTCACTGCCCTCAAACTTCAGCTTACATCTCACATTTATTTATTTATTTATTTATCTATCTATTTATTTATTTTGAGATACCAGGGATCAAACTCAAGACCTTGCACTTGTGAGGCAGGCACAGTGCCATTGAGCTAAATCCCCAGCTCTCTCACCTTTTAAAGAAGGCTTCTCGGGCCGGGGATTGAGCTCAGTGGTTTCAAAGCCTGCTGAGCATGTGCAAGGACCCGAGTTTGATCCCTGGTACCAAAAAATAAATAAATAAATAAAGAAGGCTTCTTGGACCACCCTGTCTTGACTAAGCATAATAGTTGAAGATTTAAACAGTTTGGCCAAAGCTACATGAAGACAATCCTACTTCTAACAGATGAATTCTAACAAGATATTTTAAAGTGGGGCGTGGTGATGCACACCTGTAATCCCAGCACTCAGGAGGCTGAGGAAGGAGGATCACCAAGAGTTTGAGGCCAGCCTGGGCTACATAGTGAGACCCTGTCTCAAACTAACAAAACTATCTGGGGAAATTGAACACAAGCTAGGTATTAGATAATACTAAGGAATTATTTAATTGTAATGGGGTTAGTAATAGTATTGTGCTTACATTTGTTTTTTCTGGTGCTGAGGATCGAACTCAGGACCTTGTGCTTGTGAGGAAGGCTTGGCACCACTGAGGTAAATCCCCTGCCCCTGTGCTTACATTTTTAAAAATTTCTTGTGTGTCAAAGACTCATACTAATATACTTTACGAGCAGAGCAGTGTGGTTCTTTAAAATACACCACCATAATCAAGCAGCCACACGGCGGCCTTGTGGGGTCCACCTGGCCATCTTCCCATACAGCACAGGTCAGTATCTGTGTGTCCTCATTAGAAGGGGCCCCGTGAGGCCGGCGTTTGCTATGCCCCAGCACTCAGAAGGTGCCTGACCCAGGCTGGGTGCCTGCTGCCCGAGTGCTGAGTGAGCGAATGGGTGGACGCGTGGCTTCTTCACATCCGCCTCCCCAAAACTCCTCATCTCTGTCCACACGAAGTCACCTAAGCCACAAATCCAGCGGCCAACCTCCCCCACCCTCCACACTGACCCCTGCATGACGGATCCCGGTCCTGCTGCGGTCCCACCACCCGCGTCCACCACCCACCACCCCTGCCCTCCTTCCTTCCCCACTGCAGTGCACACAGCAACCACCCTCCAGGCCCATGGCGCCCTTTAGAAACTGAACCTCAGCGAGGTGAGCGTCTGCCCAGCCGGGACTACATTGCCCACAATCCCTTGCAGCCGGGCGCGCCCTGATTAACCTTTGGCCCATGGCCACATGCAGGAGGGCAGCGAGTCGGTCCAGGTGCTGCCGGGACAGGAACTTCCTTGCTCTCTATTTCCTCTGCCCCCTGCCTGCAGGCCTGGTGATTATGAATGAATTCTGAGCACGTGGGGGATGACAATACTTTAAGGGACCGAGAAGCAACAGCACAAAAGGAACCTGAGTCCCCTCCTGACCTGATACAGCAGAGCTGCCCACCTGACTGGAAATGACACGTTATTTTAGGTCTTTTTGTCATAGCCGCTTAATCTGTAACCTTACACATTTACTCTGCATGGCAAAGACTTCTTATATCACAGAACCTCTGGTTCTACCTTGGCACATAGCTGCCTGGTACAGACTACATTTCCCAGCTTCCTTTGCCACTAACTATGCCATGTGACTATTTCTGACCAATGGGCTCTGGGGAGGGTGTGTCAACTACAGGAAGTAGCCTTAAAGAGAAGAGATATGCCTTTCTTTATCCCTTCCTCTTTCCTGCTGCCTGTTACGAGGCTGTAGTGGCTCCCTCTCCAGCATCCATCTGGGACCATGAGATGACCTTGGGAATGTAAGCATTCACAGCAGGGCCTCCAGGAAGCTGAGACAGGAGGCTTTAAAGAGTGACTCTAAGCCCCCAAGGCGGATGGAAAACTGGGCAAGCTGAAGTGCTGGAGGAGTCTGGGTTGCCCAGCCCTGCTCACTACTGGCCCCAGTCATTTCCAAAGGAGACCCCCACCCAGGGTGACTGAGGACATCCCCCTGCCTGCCTCACACAGCAGCCAGTGTCAGAAGGGCCCAGCGAGCATGTCTGCTCCTCTGCCCAGGCCGAGCAGCCTGGGCCCCGGATGAAAAGGTGATCCTAGGAAAAGACAGCCCTCATTCTGCAGAACACCAAGCCCAGATAAGACTCCAACCCCGGAAGCCCAAGGCCAGTGCCTGGAGAGGCAGCCCCCCAAAAGGGCTTTGTTTCTGTTCTTTTGTTTGGGGGTGGGGAACGCTAAGGATTAAAATCAGGATCAGGGAGCTACATCCCCAGCCCTTGTTTGTTTAAACTGATTGAAGGATTGAAACCAGGGCCTGCCCTTTCTGTTTTATTTTGAGACAGGGTCTTGCTGAGTCACTAAATTGCTCAGGCCTGCTCCCTGACACCCAGCCGGGAAGTGTGAGGCCTGCAGGGACCCTCACTTCCCCTTTCCACCTTGTGAGCTTAGGGTGCAAACCCCACTGTGGGTCAGGAAGCGCCCTCACTGGATACCCTGTCACTCACACCTTGATCTTGGACATCTCGGCCTCCAGAACCGCAAGCCTACATCTGCCGTTGTAGAAACACCACCCCACCATGCACCTTTCTGCAGTTTTGTTACAGCAGCTGGAAGGGACCAGGTCACGGGGTGGGCTGTCTCTGCAGGCGAGGGGCATCTGCCCAGTCTGCCGCCCAACCCTTTGTTGCCTCCCCCGTTTTGGTCCCGCCTGACACCTGCTCTGGGGCAACAGGTCCCCCAGTGCCAACCACAGCTGAGCAGTCTCCCTGTTGCCTGGGAGGCCCCTGGAGGCCGAGGTGCTGGGGCCTTGGCTGGGAGAAGCCGGAGAGGGGCTGCAGGTGCCCAAGGCTCACAGGTGCCACACCTGGAGGCCAGGTTCCCAGAGACCTGCATGCAGCCCTGGATGAGCATGGGGAGGCCCTGCCCCAGCACCCCCGTGTGGCCGCCTCCTCCCTGCTGCACATGCCTGGGGTGTCAGCCAGGAGGGGAAACCATGCTCACCGAGCCACGTTATCCAGCGGGGTCACAGCCCCCTTATCTGCAGCCCCAGAGACCAGCAGAAGAGCAAACAACAGCTGACGGGTGTCCCAGGGCTGTGAGGAGGCCGGGGCAGCCCACCTGGGACACAGAGCACCTGGGCTCTGCTGCATCCCTGGGCACACAGTGCTGGCTGAGGCAACCCAGGGAGGAGGCTGCCCTCATCCCGGGCTTTGAAGATTGTGCCTGACCCAGAAGCAGAGAGGACAGGGCAGGCCAGGGACACACAGCACTGCAGAAGCCTGGAGCACACAACAGGTGCTCACTGTGGGAATAAAGCCCAGTTCCTCCCCACTCCCTGCTGTTGGACAGGAATGCCCAGAGACAGTAAGAACAGGCATTTGTTGACAGACTACACGTGCGGGCTTCACAGTAATCATCCTCAACCGGCAGGAGGCAACACAGAGGCTGGTGGGTAGGACAGAGCCAGATATACCTGCATCCAGCTTACAGTGTGTTCAAGACCAGGGAACTCACAAAGTGCGGCTCCAAGCAAGGCTGGGTCCCAAGAATCCTGGGGGGGGGGGTCCCTGGCAATCAGGGGCTAAAAGGAATGAGATGAGGCAGAAGGAGGTCACCACGAGCTCTAGTCCTGTTCTTGGAGGAGGGAAGAGCCTGGGCAAAGGAAAGGAGAAGCAGCCGGCAAGCCTCCTACTCCCAGACATGCAGCCAGAAGCCCAGAGAAGGGAGGGCATTTGCCCAAGCTCACACAGCCCAGTGAAGCAGGAGCTGGGTTCTGCCATGGGCTGCGATGCTGGATGGGCCCCGTACTCTCTGAGCTTTGTCCCCTGGCAGGGCCAAGGGGTCTTCATGCAGAGACCCCATGAGCCCCAGAGGGGTGGGGCAGGGGACCCGGGCACAGGTCCCCGGGCAGCCTTCCCCATAGGAGATGCTTTGCTGCCCCCTTGTGGCCAAAAGGAGTGGCACCTCCCCTCCGTTTGCTGAGGGCCACTACCCTGACACGCAGGTGGCCCACTCCAGGCCCAGTGCCTGCCTCTGCTTGTGACCCACAGGTGCATGCAGACCTGGGGCCCAACCCTAGTCCCAAGAGTCCTAACCCACCAAGTCCCACACTGCGTGTTGCGCCCAGGCAATGTGAAGTAATACTGAAAATCGCTCGTGAGGACTGGCGACAGGGCAGTTCCTCGGGGTCTGAGAAATGATAGATGGCTGGGTCGCCCTCCTTCCTGACAGGAGCACCTCCTAGGAGCTCAGCTCTGTTGGCCTTCTTCTCTCCCCGCCCCCCTGTACCAGGGATCGAACTCAGGACCTTGCACTTGCGAAGCAGACGAGGCATCACTGAGCTACATCCCCAGCCCTCTGTTGGCTTTCTTTAGACAGCTGAGTTTTGTCTTTTGTTTTGTTTGAGGGGTTTTGTTTGTTTTGTTTTTTTGTACCAGGGATTGAACTCAGGACCTTGCGCTTTCAAGGCAAGTGGCAGAATTACTGAGCTAAATCCCCGGATCTGTTTTTGTTTTTTGAGGCAAGGTCTTGTTTTATAGCCCAGACTGACTTAGAACTCGAAGCAATCCTCCTGCCTCAGCCTCCCAATATCTAGGATTACAGGTGTGCACCACCACACCCAGCAAGAGACCCAGGTGTTCAAAGGTCAGCTTGGTTTCCTACACCATGGGACCTGGAGTCATTTTATCCCAGAATGGGCTTAGGATGGCGTGTGCCCCCCATGAGACCCACGGGAGTCAACAAGTACACTCAGAAGGGTTTATTAGCGAGGGCTGCAGGGAGCCACAGCTAGCAGGCCTGGAGGGCTTCCTGGAGGAGGAGGCTTCACAGATGCACACACAGCTCCACTGCCTTCTGCCAACCCAAGGCTCCTGGGCAGCCACGGGGGTGTTGTACACCTTGGGAGCCTCAGGTCTGGCCCAGCTGGGTCTGCAGAGACTGCAGCTGCCGGCTGTCGATGTTGTTTCCCCCACACACAATGACCACAACAGAAGCCAGCGAAGGGGACAGGCGGCCCTCGGCTTGCAGCTGCCCCAGAAGGCCCGAGTAGATGGCAGCCAGGGCCGCACCACAGGCGGGCTCCACCAGCATGCGCTCGTCATCTGTGGGTGGAGGGGTTGCAGTCGGTGCTCCACAGGCTGGGGCACTGCAGATCCATCTACCCAACCATCCACCCATCCACCTATCCATCCATCCATCCACCCACCCATTCATCCACCCATCCACTCACCCACCCATCTATCCATTCATCCACCATCTATCTATCCATCTGCCCAGCCCTCTTGCAATCCATCACACCTGACCCTCCCCCATCCATCAACCTGATCATTTATCTCTCCAGCCGCCCACCTTTCATCTTTCCATCTATCCACTCCTCTAACCATCCATCAGTGTAGCCATCAATCAAGGTATCCATCCATTCATCCATCCCCACATTCATTAAGATGTCCATAAATCAATGTCTGTCCGTCCATCCATCCATTTGTCATTCATCAATCATGACCCCATCAATGCATCCATCCATCCCTTCACTACCCATCTATCCACTTCCCACCCTCCCTACTCACTCATCCATCCATCCATTCGCTCCGAAGCCAGGCCCTGTGCTGGGAAGACCCTGGAGCTCAGGGGTGAATAAGCCACCCCAATCCCCACCCTCGCAACGCTCACAATCTAGTGATGAGGACAGGGAAGAACCGGGCAGTTGTGAGCAGGGGGCGGGTACAGAGGAGGTCCCTGGGTGGGGACAGATCAGGGGTGGCTTCCTGGAGGAGGCGTACAGGGATGAGCCAGCCCTGGGGCAGGGAATGCAGTAGGAATGAGGCCGGGGAGAAGCGCCAGAGAGGTGGAGCATGCGCGGATGTCCCGAGGCTGGAGACGGCGCGCGTGCGCCTTCTGTTCCACCCCCGCCAGCTCCGGCCTTGCAGCGTGCGCTACTCCCCAACCCAGTGCTAGGCGCTGAGGTACGAACGGGGTGCTACCCAGAGGACCAGGCACTAGGGGCCTCTGAGCGGGGCGGGGCGGGGAGAGGCCGCTCACCCAGGAACCGCTGCACGGCGCTCACGGCCTCGGCGTCCTGCACCACCCGGGAGAGGATCGTGCTCTGCTGCGCGCACACCAGGGCCTGCGCGGTCGCCGTCTTGGCTCCCAGACTTGTGGCCACGCTGCGGGTCGGGACCGGAGAGCGGGGCGCGGACAGAGCCCCAGAGCGCCGAGTACAGACAGGGGTTCCTTTCAGTTAGGTCGCGACTATTTCCCGGTCTCTACTGTAGCTAATGGTTACTAAGCGAGCTGCAGGTGGGATGTACTGTTTTCATCCTCGTACCCACCCTCTGGGTGAAAAATGTTATTGGCTTCACCTTGCAAGGGAGGAAACCGCCGCTCAGAGAGGTGAAGTTAGAGCTCAGGGACACACAGCCTGCCTGGAGCAGATGTGGATTCCGATCCAGGCAGCCTGGCCAGAGCTCAGGGTCTCCTCCATACTTGAGAGCACTTCCCCGCTGCCACCCGCTGTGAGCTGAGCCCAGAGGAGACTTCAGGGGACCCTCTGCCCGCGGTGTGGAACCAGCCCATCTGTGATCGTTTCTGAGGCAGCCACAGGAAGGAATACGATCCCCATGGTAGGCTGGAGGCCACGGACTAGACAGGGCCTGGCCGCTGTGTCCCAGTGCTCAGCACTTTCCCTGGGTTGAATGAGAAACCATCCCTGGCCGGGTGTAGCTCAGTGGCAGAGCACTTGCCTAGTGGATATGAAGCCCTGGATTCCATCCCTAGCACCGCAGAACTTTTAAAATATTTTTAAACTATACATCTGCAGCCCTTTTTATTGTTTATTTTTGAGACAGAGTCTGGCTAAGTCTCTAAGTTGCCAGGGCTGGGCTCAAACTTGCAATCTTCCTGTCTCAGCCTTCCAGAATTCTGGTGACTTTCTGTCTTCCATTTGCATACTGCTTGTCTGCATTTTTCTAACTTCTCTGCCGCTCACACAGGGGCTTTTGCACTGGACACCTGCTCTGTTGAGCCTTGGTCTACTTCAGAACTCTGCATTGCTCAATTAGATCCTCAGTGCCGTGGCTGGAACTCAGGGACAAGGGGCCCTCCTGGGGGTCCCCACCCCACCTGACGGAGCTCACCTGGTGATGTCCGGCAGTGTGACCAGCCGGCCCGCCTCCAGCGCCGCGTGGAAGCAGTGCGCCCCGCACGTCTCCATGGCGATGATGGGCACGTGCTGCCAGCCCACCTCCAGCAGGCCGGCTGACACCCCGGCCAGGAGCCCCCCGCCGCCCACTGCTAGCACCACGGCACCTGGTGGGGTCCCCAGGGCAGCATGCAGCTCCCACACCAGGCTGCTGTGGCCTTCCCTGGGGCGGAGAAGGTGGTGGCTTGGGAGACACCTGGCTCCATCTTTTCTTTCTCCATCTATTCGGCCCCCAACCACCCCGGGGCTTCCTTGGACTTTAGCCTGCTAGCCCCTCAACTTCAGAGAGGCAATGTCAGCACATGTGGTTACGAGGGGAACCCACACCACCCAGGAGAAGCCCACTGGTGTTCTGGGATGGGGACCCTGCGACTCTTCAGCCTGTGTGCTGTGCGACCCTGGGCAAGTCACTTGGCCTCTCTGGGCGCCCTCCTCTGATCTAGAAACTGGGTGCAGGGACCTTCAGCACCAGGTCTTCAGGGAGAATCAACACAACAGTGCACAGAGACCTGCAGCCTGTGCCTGGCCCCGAGGTACACAGTCCATAAAGGCACTCGTGTTATTGTCCTTTCCATTGACACATGGGGAAACTTGAGGCACAGAAGTCCCATAATTCCCAAGTGGTGGAAGTGGGGTCTGAACTCCTGCCTGTCCAGCTCTGAAGCCTCTCACCCCCAGGGCCTCAGTTCCCTCTGACCCTGTGAGGCCTCGGCCTTACCATATCAAAGGGTGGTCGAATGGGGAGACGTACACCCAGCCGTCCCTCTGAGCCAGTGTCTGTGCCTGCAGGTTGGCATCGTCCCAGACCTGAGGAGAAGTGGGGAGCACCTCAGTGCATGGGGAGCCAGGCCTGAAGGGGATGGGCCGCAGGGGCTCTAGTGGTCCCCCAGGGCAAGACCAGACCTGTGAGCCCAGCACCCTCTGGACGGTGACAGATGGGTGGCTGCCACATGCTGTCCTGATCCCCAAGGTCCCCTGTGCACTTCTAACCAACCAGCAGGGGATAAGCGCCTCCCACCAAGCCATCACTACAGGCCAGGTGAGGTGGCGCACACCTAAGATCCCAGCACTCGGGAGGCTGAGGCAGGAGGACTGCTGCTGGTTCAAGACCAGCCTGGGCTACATAGCAACACCCCATCTCAAAAACACAAAGGAAAAGAAAAACTGTATTCCAAAGTGTGCAGCTGTAGCCTCTCACCCACCCACCCCCACCCTGTCCAATCCCCTGTTGCCCTGGAGCAAGCACAGGGAACACTGCCAGCCCCTCCTCAGGCCCCTCCCATGGCTGCCCACTTCCCTCAGGCTGAAGCATCTTAGCTTTGCCTACCAGCCACCCCCTGCTGTCACCCCACACACAGAGTCCCTTCCTGTTCACAGCCCCTCCGGCTGCCGACTGGAAGCACTCGGTCTCCTTCAAGACCCGGCCGGGGACCCTTCCTGGGGGGATTTCCTGGGTCCCTTCCCTGAGCCAGACACAGGATGGGTGGGTGGATGAGCAGATGGATGGAAGACAGTCAGAAAGGGAGAGATGCAGGGAAAAGCTATTGCCTGGAAGGATGGTTAGAGAGATGAAGAGGAGGAAAGAAAGAGGCGGGAGGGAGAAATGTACACAGTAAGTATTTTTGGGCAGCTCTCGTGGTACCATCCTATGGCTTTTAGTTTAATTCGGAGAGGTTTTTCAAATGTGCTGTTCTTTGATGATGTTTTTCCTCTTCCCAGGTGGCCAAAGGCTCCATGCTTCTTTGGTGACAATGTGGGTCAGTGACACCCTTACCAGTTACCTGTCATGCCAGGGTGGCCCCAGCGTGAGAAATGATGCACCCATCGACCTCAGACTTTTTTGTTTGTTTGTTTGAGACAGGGTTTCGCTATGTGGCCCAGGCTGGCCTGGAACTCACAGCCATCCTCCTGCCTCAGCCTCCTGAGTGCTGGGATCACAGGCGTGGGCCACCACACCCTCATACTTATTTCATCAAATGGCAGAAATGTAAGTGGCTCCTACCAGAGTCCGTGAGGATGGAGGGGACCCTCCCACTGGTCCCCAGCGTCCTGTCTCTCGGGGTCACATGGGACAGGCAGATGGGGTGCTCCCAGCCCACGCCCACCCTCAGCTCTGCTGTCCTGGGAGCAGAGCAGGTCTTGGAGGAAAGGAAGTGGAGTCCCCAGGGTGACGCCCACGCCAGCCCATCCCCCCTCTCGTGCGTACCTTTCCAGCCAGCAGCACCTCTGCGCCCTCCCCCTGCAGCCTCCTCACCACCTGTGGGGCGGTGGCCTCGGGCAGCACGATGGTGGCGGGGAGCCCGAGCTTCCGGGCACTGTAGGCTGCGGCCAGGCCCGCGTTGCCCCCTGGGAGCGGGAGCAGGGTGAGACTGGTGGGTGGAGGCACCTGCGCAGTGCCTTCCCCTCTCCTTCCTAGTCCCTTCTGGAGTCCTTCATAGGGCCCCAGTGACTCCACCCTCCAGGCCAAGTGACCCACAGAGAGCCAATCAAAGAATTCAACTTCGACCATGACTGGCCAAGGGACAAGCCATTGACAGTCTCTAGGGCAGAGGGGAGCTGCCCTGTCTTCCTTAGATGGTGTTATACCAGGACACAAGCATGGGAGTCCTGGCTGATATCTTGCTCCCATGAAGCTGAATGAGAATAAAACTAATCCAGAGGAGGAGCTGGGGATTTAGCTAAGTGGTTCCACCACCTGCCTCACAAGCGCAAGGACCCAAGTTCAATTCCTGGTACCCCCCCCAAAAAAAAAACTAATCCAGAGGAAAGAAGAAACAAGAGGAAAGATACAGGAGAGACCTCCTGGATCCAACCATGACTGAAGGCCACTTTTCCCAGGAATTTTCCATTCTTGAGGCCTGTAGTTTAAACCTACATGAATTCAATTTCTGTCACTTGCTGTCACTATGAATCTTGGATTGTGAGAACAGGAAAGAACAGGACAGGCAAGGTGACTATCTAAGGCTGTGGCCTTGGATCTTGAAGAGAAGGCCAAGCCCTGAACATCTTGTCTCTGCCACTCAGACAGCCTCCCCACTCACACCCCTCCAGGAGGACCTCTGGAAGCAGAAAGGGGGTCACCTGAGGAGCACACCAGGTGTCTGCATCCTTTCCGGGCCACCTGGGAAGAGAAGGGCAGAGCTAGGGGCTCATCCACACCTGCAGCCCTCCGCCGCACAGCCTGGCCGCCCCTGGCCACACTCTCACCTCCTGGCAGAAGTGCCCAATACCGCGGATCTTGAAGGAGCCCATGGGCTGCATGTTCTCGCACTTGAGGAAGACGTCGGTGCCAACCATCTGGGACAGCGCCCAGCTCCGCAGCAGCGGGCTGACCGTGTGGAATCGCTCACTCCACGAATCCTCCATGGCAACCACTGCGCAGGAACAGCTGCAGGGACGCGAAGGTCAGGGCCGGGCCTCTCCAGCCCGGAGACCCTGACACAAACCCCAATGTGGATCTGCCCCTCCCTCGGCCCCAGGTTCCCCATCCGTACGAGGAGGACAGGAAATCAGTCTGTAACTGTGGCTGCACACAGGGCTGGGGACGGAGAACACGACCAAGAAAGCAGGGGATTCGGCCGCTCACCGTTCATTCACTCAAAACGCATTGGTTGAGCACCTACTATGTGCAGCAGGCACAAGGTGCAGGGCCCAGGAGTGGAGAAGGCAGAAGAGGCCCTGTGGCCCCAGTTCACCTCCTGGTGGAGAGGTGGACCTGCAGAATTTCACAGAGAAGGGAGAGGTGTTACCCAGGGTAGCCAGGGAAGAGCTCTCAGGAAAGACATTTTTTTTTCTGGTACTGGAGATTGAACCCAGGGCCTTCACACTGAGCTACATGCCCAGCCCTTTCTATTTTTTCATTTTGAGCTAGAGTCTCTTGATAAATTGTCCAGGCTGGCCTTGAGCTTGTGATCCTCCTGCCTCAGCCTCCCAAGTGGCTAGAATTACAGGCATGTGCACCAACACTTCTAGCCCAGAAAAGAAACGTAATATTTTTCCCTTATGAAAAGGTAAGCATGCCAAAGGCATGGGGACCTGTGTGATGACCTCTCAGCTAGCTGCCATTTGGCTCCTGCAGTTGATCGGCTGTGGCACCTCCTGGTCTAATTGGTTTCAACCATATCTGTGTCTCTCCTTCTGAATGACTGGGGTTTTTTACATTATTTTTTTAATGTTTATTTTTATCATTAGTATATTTTCCTCTTTATTGTATCTGTAAATGTGTCAGCACGTATCTCTAAAAGCAAAGAACTTTTTTAAAAAATGTAGTCGTATAGCCAGGCATGGTGGCACAGGCCTGAAATCCCAGGACTCTAGGAGGCTGAGGCAGGGAGATCTCAAGGTTGAGGCCAGCAGCCATGGGCAACTCAACAACTTAGAGAGACTGTGACTCAAACGAAACAAGCTGCAGTTCCACAACGGTATACATTCGTCCAAATTCATTGAGTTTTGCACCTAAAGTGATTTTATTTTATGTAAATTATATCTCAATGATGCTATTTTTAAACATAATCAATATCATTATCATATTAATGATTCCTTAATACAATCCAATACCTGGTAGTGTTCAATTCAAATGTTTATTCCTCTCCTTAAATTTAATAAATGGTTGGTTTTGTGGTTGGTGGTAGGAACTTGGGATATTTTTGAAATTTGGTTTTGCAGTAGTAGTAAACAAACCCAGGGTCCTACACATGCTAGGCAAGCACTGTACCACTGAGCTACACCCCCCAGCCCTGGGTTTGATTTGTTTTTCTTTTTGAGATAATGTCTAACTAGATAGCCCAGGCTGGGCTTCAACTGGGGATTCTCCTGCCTCAGCCTCCTAGGTGCTGGGATTCTAGGCATGCTACCTCAGCCAGGCTGAGGGGGTTTTTTACAGGTTGGCTCAGGATGAAAACCTGGCGGGTCACAGTGTGTGGTAGGGGGAGGCGGCTCCTCTGTTTTGATCTGTGAGGTGAGGGACAGGACGGGGCGCCCCCAAGGAAACCAGTTGTGCAGGGGCGAGTGAGGCGGGGGAGGGGCAGACAGGCGGAGAGGCCCTCGCTCAGGGCTGGCCCCGCAGTTCCAGCACTGACCGCCAGGGGACGAGTCGCGTCCTTCCTTCCACCCTTAGTCTGGGCCGGGCCCAAGCCGGGAGGACCAAGTCTGTGGGTCACCCCCGGTCCCCAGTTCCAGCGTACTCCAGCCCAGACCGCATCTTAGTCCTGGAGCCCGAGAGCTTGGGCTTTGGGACCCACAAAGGCCAGAGTCAGAAACCAGCTCTGGTTCCTTGGCTGTGTGACCCACGCAAGTGTCCCCACCTCTCTGTGCCCGTCTCCCGTTCTGAAAATTGGGGATAAATACGGTCCCCAACTCACAGGTCGAAGTGTGGGTTAATAACAATCGCACTCCCGCTGGGTGAATCTCTACTATGTGACAGACATGACTGAGTCCGCTTATTTCATGGGGACCTCGAAGTGCTGCTCACCCTTAGGCCAGTGGGTTTATTAGGCACCTACAAGGTGCAGGCCATGACCTAGGACGGGGGACACCCTCTGAAGAATGGGGTGTCTATTGCAAGGCTAGTCGTATCGTGAGGAGATCGGCATTCAACAAGTAACTGTACAAACAAAATAATCCCAAATGGTGAACACTGTTAGGGTTAAATAGATAGAAAGGGGTCTTAAAGAGAAGAACGAGGAGACCTGCTTCGAGTATGGGGGTCAGAAAAGGTCTCTGGGAGGAGGCCGCATGAGAACTCAGAACTGAGAAGTGAGAACAAACGAGCCGGAGAAGGGTGTGTGGGACAGATCGTAGGAAGGCTGGTGGTCGTGTCCCGCCTGCGGGTGGGCTCTGCGCCACGCCCCACTCTCCCAAGTCCGGTTAACTCCATTCCCAGGCAGGCAGGCCGGGTTCACACCCACAGTCGCGCAGCTGGAAATGCACAGCAGACTGGAACCCGGGCGGTGCGCGGTGCGCTGTGGGGCCCTTGCCTTCCGCGCCTCTCTTCCATCACAGGGACCTTCCGAGACCTCGCTGCCAGGCGTTCTGGGGACCGAGTGCTCCCAGTCGGGTCCCCGCCGAGAAAGAGCCGGCAGGCAGCAGCCAAAGGAGCCGGGCCGGGCTGAGGCCGCCTGGGTCCTCCCTGCCAGGGCACCGCGGTGGGACACGGGACTGTGGCTCAGTGACTAGCGCGCTGGACCCTTCACAGCCTCGGCCTCCCAGCCCACCGGGTCCCCGGAGACAGGGCTGGGACGCCTGGGGTGGCCCCGGCCCGCTGAGCTCCCTGTGCTGCTCGCGTCCCTGGGGTCCCCGCTCCACCGACGCCCTGGTGACTTCAACCCCCCGGGCCTGCTCTCCGCCACCCCGCAGCCTGGACGCTGTCCCCTCGCCCGGGCCCTCACCTCGCAGGCGCCACAGCGGTCCCAGCGCGGAGGCTTCCTGGTGGCCCCGTCCCCGCCCCTCCCCCCTTTAAAGGCGCAGCCGGACTCTGGCTCCCGGGACCGTGGGGGCAGGTGAAGATCACGTGTAGCAAGGTGGACGTGGGCGCCCCAAACCTGCTCCGCCCATCTACACCGCGCAGGCGCCCACGCTCCGCATGGTTCAGCGAGCAGAGTGCCGAGGGCGGCTTCATTCATTCAGTTCCTCAGCACCTGCCGGGCACCTGCTAGGTGCCGATCCCTGGGACCTGGGCCTCTGCCTAGGTGACTTGAGGCCTACAAATATGGAACTGAGAGCTATGGTAGCCAGGCACGGTGGTGCAGGCCTGTAACCCGGGCTGAGGCAGGAGGGGGCTGAGGCAGGAGGGTCACAGGTTCAAGCCCAGCATGCACAAGTTAGCGAGTCGCTATCTCAAAATAAAAAAGGGCTGAGGATGTAGCTTGGTGTGCAAAGGCTCTGGGTTCAATCTCCAATGCCATAAGAAGGAGGGAAGGAAGGAAGGGAGGGAGGGAGGAAGGAAAGAAAGCAGGAAGAATTCAGTGGCACTGGGTGGGGGGCAGGGCCAAGGCATCGAGCAGGTTTGCAGCTGGAGAAATGGGCCAGAGCCAGGGACACGGGGCATCTGGGCCAGTTCAGTCTGGCCTTCCCTGGCACTAAGGAGCCACAGAAGGCTCTAAGCTGCAGGTCCCATCTCTGCCATCATCTCTCTGGGAGAACCTGGGCTACTCATGTCCACCTCTGGGCCTCAGTGTCCCTATCTGTAAAATAGGTGAGATCCAGGCAGGGCCTGGCAGCCCGGACGCTGTGTCCCTCTTGGAGCACGTACCATGTCCCTGGGTTTGACAATTAACTGCTGGGTGCAAGGTCCAGGTGGGCCGCTTGGCTGGGACTCAGGTGCAGGATTCTGGCCAGCTGCCCTCTGCTCTCACTGTCCCACACAGGTGCCCGGGCCAGGACTGCAGACGCAGAGGTGGCCCCGGCCAGTGGGAAGGGTAGAGAAGGACACACCCTCAGGAGGGCGGAGGTCACCGTCGGCAGCTGGGCCAGGGTGGCATCCAGGTGGGCTTCCTGGAGGAGACGGAGACTCACAGGGCCACCACCCACCCATCACCTGCCGCCACCGCGGCCGGCCCTGTGTCCTCCCTGCACACCAGGCGTGGTAATAGCTGGGCACCCATTTCCACATGCATTAGAAAGCAGATCTGCCATCTGAGTATAGTCTACGTGTGTGTGTGCATGGTATGACTCACTTCTCACGATATCATTGCTGAGGAAGCTAAGGCCAGCGTCAAAGTTTAAAAATTCCAGTGCTCAAGGAGGCTAAGGCAGGAGGACCACAAGTTTGAGCCTGATCTGGGCAGCTTAGTTTCTCAAAAAAAAAAAAAAATGTAATCTCTGCGGAAAAACAGCAAGCAGTGGTAGGATTTCTGGTGCAGAGAGGGAGCAGGCCTGGCAGACCGAACAGACCTGAGAGCAGCTCTGCCGCTTCCTGGCCATGTGACCTTAGTTGGTCTCATAACCTGTTTGCACCGGCCCCTCCCCTGGGAGTCAGGGCTGAAATGCTGCTTCCAGGTGGGGCTGCTGGGGCTCAGCCAAGCCTTTGCCCCACAGCGGTTCCTGTGTTTGCTGATTGTTGTCGCTGCAAAGGGGATGACTCAGCAAGGCAGCAGAAACAGCAACTGGTGACAGGTGTGTGATGCTGGGAGCGCTGCATCCTGGTATGGCAGAGTGCTGAGCGGGAAAAGGGTTGTTTCCATGGAGGATGCAGAATCAGAGAGGCTGAGCTGCTTCCCCAAGGTCACACAGCAGCTGCCAGGTTCCAGCCTGCGAGGGAGGGGACCGTGGAAAGTGAGAGGCACCAGGTCATAGACAGCTCAGTCAGCGGCCCTGTCCCCAACACCTCCAGGGCCCGGAATCCATTAGCGCTGCCTCACCAGCCTCTGCCCAGCTGGCGGCCAGCCCGCCCTGACTTGCCCAGGTGGCCCTGGGCGCAGTTCCACTCACTCTTCAGGCTAAGGAGGCTGATTCCCTTAGCTCAGCCATGCCTGGTCTGAGCCAGCGCCTCCCACAGGCGCACTGTCCCTGGGGAATCCCCTGTCCTCGAGGGGCATGGTCTCGGCATCGTGAGACCCTGGGACAGGGGCAGGGGCAGGGGCAGGGACCCTCCCACCCGGAATGGGAAGCTGCTCTCAGGCGGTGCCTTGCCTCAGGTGGCCCAGCACCTAGCCAGTGTGGGAAGATGTTCAGCCTGGACTCCGCAGGCCCAAGAGACTTAATTCACAACCCCAGCCAGGCACCATGGTGACGCCTGTCATCCCAGCCCTCAGGAGGCTGAGGCCAGAGGATGTGAGTTTGAGGCCAGCCTGGGCTACACAGCCAGACCCTGTCTCATAAAAACAAAGCTGGAGATTTCTCAATGATCTGGGACCAAGCCCCTCCCAGGACGTTGGCCGCTTCCACCTGTCACGTGTTTGCTGGTGGGGATGACGGCCTAGAGAGCACGTTCTGACCTTGGCCACCACCAGGCTGTTCGTCACATTCGGAGATGACGCAGGGCTGGGAGAGGTCACCATCGAACTGTCCAGAGGGGACTCCGTGAGTTCTTTACTGAATCGATCGATGGCCCGAAGCCAGGTGACAGAAACCAAGGGGCCTAGGTGCCAGGTCCTGCAGGGAGGGCGGCAGGGTGACAGGTGTGAGCCCCATTGAGGGAGGCCTGACTCACGCGGCACATTTCCCCAAGAAAACGGCCATGTAACTTCCCGTGGGCGCTGGCGGCAGAGGAGTTGGATATGGGATAAAGCTTTTTGGGTTTGTTTTTTTTTTGAGAGAGAGAGAGAGAGAGAGGGAGGGAGGGAGGGAGGGAGGGAGAGAGAGAGAGAGAGGGTCTCACTATGCAATGCAGGCTGACCTCAAACTCACAGCAATCCTCCCACCTCAGCCTCCCAAGTACTGGGATTACAGTCATGCACCACCATGGCTGGCTAAGTCCTGGTCATATTAACAGAAGTAGCAAAGATAGAACCAGGGAGGCGTTAGTGTGGTTCTGCATCACCCTCGGGCAGGGCTCCCAGGGTTGCCGCTGGACTTTGCTGTGTGTTGGAGTCTGCAGGCTGTGGAAAAGTTTGTGGTTTAGGGGGTGCATTCACAGAGATGGGGAGCAGGAAACAAGCAGGCTGGGGAGGGGCTCCCTCTGGAGCGAGAGCAGTGAGACCATGACAGGGCAGCAGGCACAATGCTCCGTGATCACACTGCAATCTTCATCCTTCTCCTCATTTCATTAGGCAATGTGTGGGCAATGATTACTGAGCACCTACTGTATGCCAGGCCCTGTCCAGGCCTGGGGGATTCAGCTGTGGATGAAACAGGCAAAATCTCCAACTCAGAGTCGGGGGGGGGCATGCATAGGGGACAGGAAGGATGAGTGTGTGACAAGTGCTGAGAAATAAAATGAAAGCAGACTGGATGGTTTTAGAAAGAGGGACCAGGAATGATGGTGCACATCTGTAATCCCAGCACTCAGGAGGCTGAGGCAGGAGGATCGCTGTGAGTTCGAAGCCAGCCTGGCCTGTACAGCCAAACCCTGCCTCAAAACAAACTACTCCCCGGCCAAAACAGAAAAGGAGTGCAGCACCTGCTCCTACAGCCCTAACTCAGGCCGCTGCTGAGCTGCTGTGATCTCTCTGCTGGAGATGCCCAGCTGACAGCAGCACCCTCATCTCCAGGGAAACTGAGGCCAGGGGAGGTTGGTGACTGACTGCCCTGAGGTCACACAGCAGGCTCAGGAGATGCAGCTGAGCTCATCAGGCATTGCAGGCCCAGACACCTCCAGGGTAAACAGAAAGCAAACATCAGGCGGCCCTGCTGCCACCCAGGATACAGGACATGCTGATCCCACACAACCGGCAAGGGGTGAAGTAACGGGGGGGGCTGTGGCACCACCAAGCAGGGTAACATTAACACAAAGTGTCCACTGCCTTAGGGGCCACTGTGTGCCGGGCACCATGGTTATAGTCTAATATCAATTAAGTTGTTAAAGCCTCAGAATGCCTGATGGGGGGGATGCACGCCTGCAATGCCAGCACACCGGAGGCTGAGGCAGGAGGATCGCCGCGAGTTGGAGGCCAGCCTGGGCTACAGAGTGAAACCCTGTCTCAAAAACCAAACAAACAAGGGCCCCATGTTGTATGATTCTGTGTTCATGGGATGGCGGAGGAATAGGCAAAGCTGTGGACAAGTAGCAGAGTGGTGGCTGCCCAAGGGTGGGGCCGCTCATGTGTACAGGGTTTCTCGGAGGATAACGAAAAGCCCTGAAATTGACCCTCTGTACATAGATGAATCCTATGAGATATCAGTGATAGCTCGATCAAGTTATTCTTCAAAAAAGATATGTGTGTGGGCTGGGGACTTAGCTCAGTGGTTCCACCGCCTGCCTCGAAAGCGAAAGGTCCTGAGTTCGATTCCCGGTAAAAAAAAACAAGAAAGGATAATGTGTGGACAGGATGCCAAAGATAGCAATGTAGATTTTGTCTTTTCTCCTCTTTTTAATTCTTTTTATTTTGAGATGGAGTTTCACTATGTTGCCCAGGCTGGTCTTGAACCGCTGGGATTGAGTGATCCTCCTGCCTCAGGCTCCCAAGTAGTCAGGACTACAAGCGTGTGGCACTGCACCTGGCTGTGATCTATGCTTTCACAATTCAATGTTTTCCCCATTTCTGGAACCACATGGGAAGGGCTCGCCATCCAGTCCGCACCACGTGCCATCACGGCCCCGCCCCGCTCCGGGACATCACCCAATGTCACAGGACGTGAGCTCCCTGACAGCAGCGAAGCCTGAGTCGGGGACAGCTGAGTGTGACCAGCATGGCGGCAGGGGCGCTGGAGGGGACAGCGAGAGAGACAGTTTGTGCGAGGCAGGAGGGGCCTGGGCCCAGCCGCCCTGGGTCTCTTCAGCTCTCGCGTCCCCACTGCCTGACAAGAGGGCTTTGGGGGGAGGAGCGGCGTGTGTGTGTGTGCGCGCGCACTCTGCCCGGGGACGGACAGACAGGGATGGCCAGGGACAGCACAGGCCAGGGCGGGGCTGTGGCCACACAGGTAGTTGCTAACTGACCCAGCCAGGACTCGAACCCGGCCCGCTGGCCCTTTCTGCCCAGAGCCTCTGGAGGACAAGGGGGCTGGGTTTGCATGGCAGGCTCAGGAGCCAGACTGCCACCTCCCGGCTCTCACAGCCTCCATGCCTCAGTTTCCCCTTCTGGGAGACAGTGATGGCAACAGTGCCAGCCCCTCCGTGGTGTGGAGCGAGCCGAGGACCCGGCAGCCGTTACACTTCCAGTTTTCCGTGTTGTTATTCTATTATTGTTCCTCGGGCCTGCCAAGCCCATGCCCGCCACTTCAGGGGCATCTTCGCCTGTGCAGCATCTCTCCGTCTGCACCCTCGGAAACGGATGGGAAAGGGGACAGAGGAGGGGCCGGGGAAGGACTGAGCGAGCCAGGGCTGGAGCGTGGCGTGGCCGAGCCTCCCTGTCTGGGGGCGGGGCGGGGCGGGGCCAGGGCGCGAGCCTCATTGGCTGGCCCCAGGAACCCAGAGGAATAAAGGCCGCAGCGGAGCGGAGGAGCCGGACAGCTCAAGGGACAGCGCCCTGCGTCCCTCCCTCTGTCCGGCTGTCCCCGCTGTTCACCAGAGCCGGGTAAGTGGTCCCTTCCTCAGCTACATCCCAGGACCACACTGCCTAGGGACAGGAGAAGCTCTCAGAAGAGGGACAGAGAGCGTCAGTGAGGCAGGAAAACCCACACCCTGAGGCCAGCCGCTGTACCTCAGTTTCCTCATTTGTAAAATGGGATGATGGCCTGCTAAGGATGTCGTGTGGGTGAGATGAGACCGTGCACTTAATATAATAATAGGTGCAAAGGCTCAGGGGCGATGTGCCTGCCTGGCAAGCACAAGGTCCTGAGTTCGAGTTTTGGTACCACAAAAAAAAGTAGGTACAACGTGGGGCATGACTGTAATCCCAGCACATAGAAGGCTGATGCAGGAGGATTGCCATGAATTTGAGACCAGCCTGGGCTACACAGTGAGTTCAAGGCCAGCCTGAACTATATAGCGAGACCCTGTCCCCAAAAAGTAAATAAAACCCAAAAAAGGTATCACTGACAGCCAAGTGGCAGCAGATGTGGCTCCCGGAGTGGGGCGGGGAGTGGGCCAGCTGAGGCCTTGTCACCCCTCCCCATCGTCGGGGCTCCCCTTCTTCTGTCCTCCTGTGACACCTGCTGGGATGTGCGTGTTCGAGGGGGGCCAGGCTGGGGCGTGGTCAGGACCCCTTCTCCCTTCACTCCAGTGTAGGATGCTCCCCCCAGCTGAGGGAGGGGCTGAACCGCACTGGAAACCGGGCTGCTGGCTCCTGGGGTGGTGGGGGCCCCAAGCCAAGCACCTGCTGATTTTTACTGGCTCAACCCAAGCTGGGGAAACTGCAGTGTCCCCCGTGGCTGTCAGCAGAGAGGGGTTGAAAGGCCTGCACGTGTGCCGGCCGCCGACCATACTGACTTCCTCACTCGGACAGCCCAAGCCGCACCTCTGGGCACCAGGGGCCCCGTCCACTGGTGCAGACCCCCCATGCCAGCCCTGGCCCTGCTCCTTGGTGACCTTGGGTTAGCCACAGAACATCTCAGCCACCAGCAAGGGCTTTCCTGAGCTCCCCCAGCCTCTGCCTGTCCCCTGGGTGTCCCCCAGCCTGGCAGCTTCAATCTGAAAAACAAAGTAGACCGGGCTGTGCCAACTCCTTTTCTGATCCCCAGCACAGGAGAAAAGAGACGTGTAATGATTATTATAACAATAATCAAGAGTTTTCTGTAGCTGAACGCAGTGTTGCACACCTGTAATCTCAGCACTCTGGGAGGCTGAAGCAGGAGGATCACAAGTTCAAGCCCAGCCTGAGCAACTTAGCAAGATCTTGTCTCAAAACAAAAAGTTTTAGGGCCGGGGATTTAGCTCAGTGGTTCCACCGCCTGCCTCGAAAGCCAAAGACACGAGTTCAATCCCCGGTACCAAAACAAAAAAACAAACAAAAAGTTTTAAAGGGCTGTGGGTGTAGTTCAGTGCAAAGTCAATCACCAGTACCAAGTTCAATCCTCAGTACTTGAAAAAACAAGTTTTTCCTAAGCGAAAACGGATTTCCAACAATTACTTTTAAAGAATGTATGTGTTGCAATAAGCAATCCAGGCCCATGGCAAAACCTTTAAATGGTAAAAAGGCTGCTCACACTAGAGGGCTGGCTCCCCCAGGCCCTGAGACTGATTTCTCCTGAGCATCTCCTATGGGAGTGTGTGGGTGGTGAGTGTGTGTGTGTGCACATGCACGAGGGCTTCTTGCACTTCTTGCATAAGTGACAACTATATCCCTCCCTGGCTTTATCCTCACAACCACCACAAAGCTCAAGCTGCGCCAGCCACTCCCTCCCCTGCCCCCGTCAGGACCAAGGGTGTTCCTGATGCAGGAGTGGGCTGATGCTGGTTGCCGTTTGACAGGCAGGGAGCTGTGGCAGAGCCTAGATCGCCTGTGGATGCCACATGGAAGCAGGTCGAGTGCACCCAGCTCTCTGGGGCCCTTCCTGCATCCTGGGGAGTGGACAGAGGGCCGCTCTGGTCCCGGGGTACCTGCTGCCGGCACTGTCCTCACCTCTGGGCCTCCTCCTCTCAGCAATGGCATCCGGGGAGCCCCTGCACGTGAGGACTCCCCTCCGAGACAGCATGGCCTTGTCCAAAGTGGCTGGCACCAGTGTGTACCTCAAGATGGACAATGCCCAGCCCTCTGGCTCCTTCAAGATCCGGGGCATTGGCCACTTCTGCAAGACGGTATGGTTCAGGGTCCCAGTCCCCTGGGGGTGCGGCTAGTGCTGTGTCACTAAGGAGCACGGGGTCCCGGGACCGTACCCCACATCAGGGTCCCTGATGGCCGGAGGTGCTGGTCCACGAGGTTCCCATCGGCTGATCCCAGAGCCAGGTCACCGGCCCAAGCTGTGTTTCAGGGAGGAGGACACCGTCCAATGCTGGGGTGGTGCCAGCTCTCGTGAAGGAGGGAGGGAAGAGCAGGAGGAACTGGGCATGGTGGAGCAGGCCTGACCCCTCTCCTTTTCTCCGCAGTGGGCTGAGCGGGGCTGCGAGCACTTAGTCTGCTCGTCGGGTGAGTGGCACTTCCCTGCCTCTCCCCAGCTGTGTCCAGGCAGCCTTCACCTGGGAGGGGTGGGTCCTGCCTTCCCCAGCAATGAGCTGTCGCACACATTCGCAGCCGTCCTGGATCTGAGTTCTGGGGCGGCCAGCGGTCACCCCGGGTTGCCAGAGGGGAGTCTGGAGCCACCTTGGACACAACTTCCCCTCTACCCCGACAGCGGGCAACGCAGGCTTGGCCGCCGCCTACGCCGCCAGGAAGCTGGGCATCCCGGCCACCATCGTGGTGCCCAACACCACGCCTGCCCTCACCATCCAGCGGCTGAAGGACGAAGGCGCCGTGGTCACAGTGGTGGGCGAGGTGTGTGCCGGCCCGGGCGGGGGCAGAGAGGGCGGCTGGCGAGCACGGGCCCCCCACAGCCTCACCCCTGCCGCTCCTGTGACCCTGCAGACGCTGGATGAAGCCTTCGTACTGGCCAAGGCGCTGGCCAAGAACAACCCAGGCTGGGTGTACGTGACCCCCTTCGATGACCCCCTCATCTGGTAAGTGGAGCCCGGGGCCGCCCCGCTCCACCCCTGGGGAGCAGACGCAGAGCGCAGGACCCACACGCAGGTGGCAGCAGCGGGGTCCCCAGGCAGACATGGGACAGCAGAGTTTCTTTAGGAGGTGACTCGGGGGGGGGCGTTAAAAGGGGAGCTGTAGGCAGCTATAGCTCAGTTTCTGGGGACCCCCACCCGGTTCAGGCACCCGCGTGCACAGTGGGGGATTCAGGCGCCTCGCACTGGTTCCGGCCCGGGGCAGCTCTCGCGAGCGCCATCTGCTGACCGGAAGCATGTGTGCAGGCAACTCCAGCGGCCCTAGTTAAGCTGACACCCCTGGGACTCCCTCCTGGTGTCCCGGGAAACCCAGCTCTGAGCTGGCACCGCCCCTCGCCCTCCAGGGAAGGCCACACGTCGGTCGTGAGAGAGCTGAAGGAGGCGCTGAGCGCAAAGCCGGGCGCCATCGCGCTGTCGGTGGGCGGCGGGGGCCTGCTGTGCGGCGTGGTCCAGGGCCTGCAGGAGGTGGGCTGGGGGGACGTGCCCGTCATCGCCATGGAGACCATCGGCGCCCACAGCTTCCATGCCGCCGCCACCGCGGGCAAGCTTGTGACCCTACCCAAGATCACCAGGTGAGAACGTGGGGGAAGAGGCCCATTCACAGGGGTGGAAACTGAGGCCAGGGAGCTGGTACTGGAGAGAGAACAGGAAATAAAGAGCTCTTGCTCCCAAGGAGTTCCAATCCCAGCCCCAAACCTTAGAACACAGGAGTTCAAAACATGATTGAACTTCATTTCTCTCTTCTGAGAAGGTCTAGAAATGGGCAGTCTAGGGGCAACTCCAGGAGGTCAGGGACCTAGCTTCCTTCAGCTCGTTGCCTTACCATCCTTATGCCCCAAAGTGGGTGCTGGAGTGCCAACTACCACACCCACACTCCATCTGTCCGGAAAGAGGAAGCAAGAGGTAGAAGGCTATGTCCCAACCTTTACAGAGAGACACAATAAAGCTCTCTTTGACTTACAATGTGGTTGCATCCTGATAAACCTATCTTTCATAAAGTCAAGAATGACCTAAACTCACTCAGTAACATAATCCATCATAGAGTGTTGGTTACTTCCATTTGTGATCAAACAGCTGACCACTGCTCTCCAGCACTGCAAGAATTATATCACACGCTAGCCTGGGAAAAGGTCCAAATTCAAACTTGGAAGTACAGTTTCTACTGAATTCATTCACTTTTGCACCATCATAAAGTTGATAAATGGCAGATAAACCAATCTAAATCAGGGACTGTACTTGTTGTCTCTCATTGGCTAGAGCCTAATCACATGATCACACTTAGCTGCAAGGGATGCTGGGAAGTGTGTCTACCAGGCATGCTTACATGTGGCTAGAACATCCCTGCCACGGATAGGAAAGACTGAGTCCAAGTAAGGATATCTACATTTCTGAGCCCAGCACCTGGAAACTGCTGTGCTGACCTCACACCCCCACAGTTGGACAGAGGAAGCCATTACTGAGCACCTGTTGTGAGCCACAGGCTGTCTCAGGACCAAGCTGGGCCAGGCCCTCCAGATGCCCAGGGCCTCCTTAGGCAGATGAGCTGGGAACAGGACTGGTGCCACCCTGGGGAGGCCAGGAAGCATATCAACACAGCTGCCAGAGTAAGCCTTGGAGTTACAGGAGACTGCTCATGGCCCAGCATCACCACTCCCTTGACATGTGACCTTGAGCACATGACCATAACCCTGCCTGGGTTTCCCTTTCTATAGAATCAAGCCAATTCCTAACAGCAATGATGAATGAAATCACGCTGTGAGAATCCTGGCACCCAGGACTTTCTCAGGAAGCACTGAGGGTTTGCTGGGATGGAAAGGCCATTGAAGAATCCCTCCTGGGGCTGGGTGGCTCTGAGGAGGTCCTGGGGATACCGGAAGGGACCTTCAGGGCCTGTGCTCCCAGGTCAGCGCAGGTCAAACACTCTGTGCCTCCCTCGACCCCACCTTGTCAGGGCCTAGGGCACAGCCCTGACAGCTGCAGAGGCTCCTGGGCCTCCTTCGGACCCGCATGCCCATCCTCCCCCATCTCTGTCTCTTCCCTCCCTCTCCAGCGTTGCCAAGGCCCTGGGCGTGAACACAGTGTGTGCCCAGGCCCTGAAGCTCTTTGGAGAACACCCCATCTTCTCTGAGCTTATCTCTGACCAGGAGGCCGTGGCTGCCATTGAGAAGTTTGCAGGTGCGTGCCGAGTCCCCAAGCCCCAGCCTGCTGCTCCCCGAGTGCCACGGGATCCTGTGGCCCCACATTTGCCATTCTGATACATCCCTCCTGGGACATCCCGTTAATGGGGGATAATACAGTGCCACTATGGTGAAAATAGAAATGCTAAAGCCCCTCAGGAACAAGGGAGCCTGGTAACTATGACAGCGGGGAGCAACAACTGAATGTTTAAAATGTTGATTCTGAGCTTCCTGGTAGCCAGGGTAAAAACGGGAAGGATGGGCCAGAGTTAGATGTGGAGGTGCTACTATAACTGGACTCTTTCTGAGTTCAGCCCAGGACAGGGATAGCAAGGAGGGAGGAGAGGGAGAGGGGAGAGGAGGAAAGCAAGCCTGGTATGGGGGCACGCACCTGTAATCCCGGCACTCTGGAAGGCTGGGGCAAGAGGCTCAGAAGTTCAAGACCAGCCTGGGTAACTACAAACTTAGTGAGACCCTGTCTCAAAAATGTATAAAAGAATAATAAAAAAGGGCTGGGGAGCTGGGTGTGGTGGCCCATGCCTGTGATCCCAGCACAACAGAGGCTGAGGCAGGCAGGAGGATCGCTGCAAGTTCAAGGCCAGCCTGGGCTACACAGTGAATCCAAGGCCAGCCTGGGCTACACAGTGAGCCCTGTCTCAAAAAGGTGTTTGTGGAGGGCCCTGGGTTCAATTTCCCGAGCCTCGAAGAAGGGAGAGGATAGTACTTACGCTACCGTGTAATCCTCTGAACCTGCAGCCAACTTGGCTAATCAACCCTGCCACCGTGCTGGCTCACGCCTCCGAATCCTTCCTAACACCGTCCTCCGGCGATCACAGCCATTTGTATCCACCTGTGGCATTCAGCCTGGTTTGGGCTGGAAGGGTCAGGAAGGGACCTTTGGTCCAGGAACTGAGGCGCGGCAAGAGCTGAGAGTTGATTGGCTCGTGATCCCAGTTCCGCCCATGGCCTGACGCCCCCTCGACCCGCCCCTTCCCTGCAGATGACGAGAAGATCCTGGTGGAGCCCGCTTGCGGGGCAGCGCTGGCTGCGGTTTACAGCCACGTGGTCAGGAGGCTGCAGGGCAAGGGCAAGCTGCGGGCACCCCTGTCCTCCCTCGTGGTCATCGTCTGCGGGGGCAGCAACATCAGCCTGGCCCAGCTGCAGGCGCTCAAGGAACAGCTGGGCATGAACGAGCTGCCCAGTGGAGGACCAGCCCCGGGGCCCTCGCCATGAACAGGACTGGAGTCGGGGGTTCGCCTGTCCCTGGCGGCCCCTTAACTTGTCACCAGCGAGACTGTGAACTGGAACTCTTGGGAACTGTGTGACCGCTCTGTGGGCATCCTCGGTCACAAGTAACACATCAGATCCCCCAGAGCAGGGTGGCCCTGCCCCGGGCTTTCACCATCCGGGGTTAAGGACCTGTCTCATCCTTTCTTCAGGAATCCCAGCTCCATCCTGATTCATTTTTCTAATATGCACTTTTTCACTGAGAAAGAAAAATATATATTTATGAAACAAAGACCCTTGGAGTCCTTCCGTCACCATGTGTGTTCCCCCATGCCCTCTTGCACCCACTGCGGCTGCTCAGCACCAGCCCTCAGCAGGAGCCGACATCCCACACGCAGTTCTGGAGACCTGGAGGGCGGGGGTGCTTCGAGGTCAGGGCCCAGCTCCAGCCAGGCTGGTGTGCGGAGGAGGCAGGGGACCAGGGTGGGACACAGGCTACCTGCACTGGAGGCAGAGCCAGCTTGGGGCAGGGGAGGGAGACAAGGCCTCCTCGGTCTGATCCGGAGCCACCAGGGGCAGAGCTGTGAGCCCCCTTCCAGGGTCTGGTTCACCAAGTGGGCGCCTGAAGCGTGACAGGAAGGCATGGCTGAAGTGTCACACAAGCCTGCTTGAAACACGGACCCCTCTCACCCAATGAAGTCCGTGTATAAAACAGGAGAGAACCTGGGCACGGTGGTGCACACTTACAATCCCAGCTACTCAGGAGGCTGAGGCAGGAGGATGGCAAGTTTGACCCCAGGCTGGGTGACTTCCCAAGATGCTGTTTCAAAATAAAAAAAGGGCTGGGGATGTGGTTCACAGGTAGACTGCTTGCCTAGCAAGTGCAAGGCCCTGGGTGCTATCACTAGCACCACACACACTCGTGTACACACACACACACCCCGGGCTGACTCAGGGAAGAGGGAGCCCTCTTCTCCCAACTCTCTCAGAAATGCTGAGGCAGGACTAGCAGGAAGTTTTTTGAACTCCATGTTAATGCCCCATGATGTAATTATTATGTACGCCAAACATGTACTAATAAAAGTTTTTAAGATTTAAAAAATTGCCAGGCGTGGTGGCACACATCTGTAATCCAGCACTCAGGAGGCTGAGGCAGGAGAATCACTGAGTTCAAGGACAGCCTGAACTACATAGTGAGACTCTGTCTCAAAAAAAAAAGAGGTTAAAATCTCATTTTGTCAGTTCCCAGATAACAGAGATATATACAAAATACACAGTGCATGTTTAAAATTTTTTTTTTAAACTTCAGTAAAAGACATATTGCCAAGAAGGATGTTAAGTGTGTTAAAAGCGAGCAGGTGTATTTTCAGGGCAATCATGGCAATGTGCCTTTTATTGTAATACATGCTTTTTATTTAAGTACATTCACCGTATTTTTGGTCACCCTCCACTGATCAAACGTTTATGGGAATTTCTGTCAAATAGAGACACTGCAGTGTGTCCTCCTCCGCCTTACTCATTGGGATCTGGCTCTTCCCTAAACCAAAATGACCGTGAACCGTAAATGAGAGTTGATTCAGGGCACGAGGCAGCCGCAAGAACACAGCTAAGAGAGCTCCCAACTGAGGAGTTTCAGATCTGCTTTAGAAAGCAGCAAGAACTATCAGCTAAGTGTGTTCTAACCAAGGGGGATTAGTGGCAGTGTCTTTTATTCTATTGCTTTTTTTTCATTTAAACTTTCACTACACTCCTGGGCATGGTGGCGAATACCTGTGATCCCAGCACTCGGGAGGCTGAGGCAGGAGGATCCCCATGAGTTTGAGGCCAGCCTGGACTATAGTGAGACCTTGTCTCAGAAAGGGTGGGGAGAGGGGGAGGAAATGAAAACTTCATAGAAGTTCTCCAGCACACCTCACAAAGGCAGTGAGGGGAAATAACAAATCCTAGCTTCTAACTTGCTTCATTTTCTCCAGAGCACTCGGCATCTCACACACCCGCGTGTCCTGACCATGTGCACCAGCTCTCCAGGGTCCCTTCCCCACAGCAGGGACTTTGCACCTCGCCTGAGGCAGGAGGTGCTCAGGTGCAGTGAGGATGCGGATCTGCTACTGCGTGAAGATTGGTGCCGAGGCCCTGTGAGGGGCGTGTGACATCCGCACCCCATCTTACAGATGAGGCGACTGAGGCTCGGAGAGGTTGCGTCTAAGGCTACAAAGAGGTGGAGACTGCTGGGAAGCTAGGTCTGGCTCCAGGGCTGCATGCTTTCTGCCCTCTGATCACAGAGCATGGGACTCTTGTCCCCAAGGCCAGGTGGGGGGGATCTGCTGGGCTCTGCCCGCAGTGGGGCAGAGGAAGGTCTTGGTGGCTAGCAGGGCCCTAGAATAGGACCAAGGACATAGTAGGTGCTCAATAAGCACCTGGGACAGATGGGGGTGGATGGACAGGCAGACGCAGGTATGGATGAGAGGACAGACAGATGGGTATGGATGGACAGATGGATGAGTAGAAAGCAAGTGGACGATGGATGGGTGGAACATATAGACAGACGGGTAAACAGGTGGGTGGGTGAGTACACAGGTGGACACTGGGTGAGCACTGGGTGAGTGGGAGTGCAGACAGGCAGAGAGGTGGCAGGACAGACAGGAGGACACATGGCGGCAGCGAGAGCCCACACCTGAGAGGAAAGCGGCACCCCTCGGCCTCCCCACCTCCCCAAGAAGTGCACTCGGGGCCACAACCTGTCATGTTTAATGGGGCACAGCCTGCAAATGGGCTCCTAGAGCGGGGCCCCGGGCCCTGCCCAGAGGCCAGGCAGGGTGGGGACTGAGGCAGGAACGGGGCGACACTCCCGCCAGTCCTGCGGGGAGAGGGGCTCTCGGGACCTCGGGACCCTCCAGCCATGAGCAGCCAGACACTTTGGTTTCGGTTTGTTTTCCAGCTTCTGTCCTGAGGGCAGCAGAGCACAGGCCAGGAGGGGTGAAGCCAGGCCAGCTGAAGGCCCCACGCCATGCCCTGGGGACGGAGGAGGAGAGGCACCACGGCACAGCAGGGGACAGGGCAGCACCCGCCCGCATACTTCAGGGCTGATGCTGAGCTCATCCTGCCCGCCCACACTGGGAGAGGGCCCCAGACACCCAGCCCCGGAGCGGAGCGGCAGGCACAGAGCTCTACAGGGCAAAGGCAGCGGTGGCCATAATGGCGCCTCAGTCCCACAAGACCTGGACAGGCGGGAACTTCCAGAGGTCGGGGTGGCCCATGTGCAGCATGTCCCGGAAGGGCGAGGTGCTCCACTGGAACGGGGGCACCTGGTCCCATGTGGGGCCGCTGACGGCCAGCAGGCTCAGCGCCTTGGCCAGCGACATGCTGGTCACCTGGTGGGCAGGAGAGCGGTGGCTGAACAAGTAACTCCCGCCCCAGCCTGGCTTCAGAGCCCCACTTCTGCCCTGACCCCCAGTGGCCCCTGCTCCGGGTGGGGGCGGCACCTTCACATCGATGCCTCCGTGTGAGCGCTGGCGCAGGGCAGGGAAGGGGTAGGAGCCGTTGGCCGGGTTGAGGTCAGAGCGGGCAGAAATGGCATTTTCCCCGTTGGGCTGCGGGTCACAGGCTTCGCACTGTGACAGGGGGTCGTGGAGGTAGTCGTTGTACCTGGAGACGGGAAGGGGCCCCTCATGGTGGCAGCTCCGAGGCCTTGACCTTGGCCTTCACGGCACCCTCGTGGAGCCCTCAGCTCTTGGATCAGCACCCTCCCCCAGAGAAGCCCACGGCCCAGACCCGCGCCAGGTGAGGGCCCCCATTTGTCTCTCGCTAGCACTGCCCGGGACTTGTGGCCCTTGCTCCGCATCTACACCAGCCCGGGTCCTGCCATGAGACAGTGCTCCCGAGGACAGGGCCCAGCAGCTCCGACACCTGCTTCTCCCGTGCCAGGCACCTGGCCTCACAGGGTGGTGCCCCAGGGTACCCAGCATCCTCCCTGTAACCAGAGGGTGACGTATGGCAACCGCACTGCCGAGCCCTGGGCTGGGGGCGAGGGCTGAGCCAGCTGTCCTGGAAGCAGGCAGCAGCGCTGTCCCAGAAGGGCTCCGAGCCGAGCGTGGCTCCCACCTCATCAGCCGCACCATGGAGTCCACGTCACGCACCAGGGACTGGTTCCGCAGGAAGATCTGGGCCCGGGGGCTCTTGCTGTAGGAAAACCAGTCCCCATACTGGGCCACCAGGGCCTGCAGCCCACTGGCGTTGAACACAGACTCAAAGGACCTGCAGGAACAGGGTAGTCACCCCCGAGACACCTCGCCATGGCTGTGGTCAAGAACATCGTCACTAACAGCCACAAGGATGGGGTGGTAATGCTGTCTTTCTTTTGTGGTGGGGGAGACTTGGGGGATAGCTGAGCTTGGGATCTGGGGTCCAACAGAGATAGGTTCAAATCCTGGCTTTGCCAGCTCCCAGCTGTGGCCCTGTGGGAGAGCGGACCCTCTCTTGGGGCTGTTCTGCCATCCATGAAAGGGAACATGGGCTGGGGCTTCCCTCGTGGGGCTGTAGGGACCCAGGACACAGCTCAGGTGAAGTCTGTGAGCGCTGGGCCAGGGCAGGCCTGGCGGAGACCGGGGGGCTGGGCCCTCCCACGCCACCGTCCACTGGGGGCCAGGACTTTGGGGTCGCAAGGCTGGCCTAAGGGTCAGGACTTCCCTCGTGGCCTGGGCTGGGGTGTGGCTCCGTGGCAGGGTTCCTGCCTTGCTCAAGCCGGAAGCACGGTCCGCGGGGCCACATGGGGTGGGTAGAAGGGCACATACGGGATGTTGTAGCTGGCCCAGTAGGTCTTCTCGTAGAGCTCCGAGGTCTTGTCAGCCGCCACCACCATGCCCCTGACACGGGAGAGATGGGCACGCAGTCAGGACAGAAGGGGCCCCCATGGCTCCCAGTGCCGGGCAGATCCCATCCTGCACCCAGCCCCTCCCAGCTCCCCTTCCCAGCATCCTTCCTGTTGCCGCTCCACCCGTCCCTGCTCCCAGGGACTCACGGGATCTGCTCCAGGATGGTGAGCACCCTGCTGCCCGGGCTGGGCCTGCCCGGGATAAACGCCTTATAGTCCACGATCATCCACTGGTTGTTATACCTGCATGTCCAAGGCGGCAGACTGAACAGTGCCTGGACCCAGCCTCCCACCCTCAGTGCCCCACACAGCCAGGAGTCACCCAAAGTGACAGCTTGTGTGTCTGGCCCGGCAGCCCTCACTCTGACACAGCAACTTGACCAGGTATCCACACACCCCTCTTATTTCATGCTATTTGCCTGTCCTAGAACATTCTATGGCTCCCTAGTGCTGCTCAGAACAAAGCTCAATTTCACTGCCTGATGATCAGCTCTATTGTGTCTGTCCCAGGCCCACCACACACCCACAACCTCCTCCATGTCCCCCCTCCTGCTGTCCCCAGAGCCTTAAGTCCCACATGCCCATCCAGCCCTCTTTCAGGGGCCCCTCTGCACTGAGGGGCCTGCATGGGATAGGGCAAACCATTCCTCCCTGAGCCTCAGTTTCCCATGCACAGAGAAAGGAAGGGCTCTAGGACTCCCACCTGTCCAGTGAGGAGGGAAGGGCTCTGCAGAGGGCATGGGGCATGTGGTGCTGGTGCCATCGGGTCCCCTGGGGCCTCAGTGTACAGGGGAGGCCGCAGGGCCGGGAGCCACTCACGTGCCGCTGTTGAACCTCTTGAAGATGTCTGCCCAGCTGGCCCCATCCACGGCCAGGCGGTTGGCCACAGTGTTTCGTACCCACTCAAGCACGCAGCCCTGGGGCTCCACGTACTTCCACAGGGCCGGGTTCCTGTTGCCAATGGTGGTCTCCAAAGTGACCTGTGGGGGCAAGGCCCGGGCTGCACCTCCCAGTCATGCTGCCCCCAAGTGGCTCTCGAGGTGGGTGCTTCAAGGTCTTAAAAGCTCACATCCTACCCTGGACCTGGTGACACAAGCCTGCGATCCCAGCACTTGGGAGGCTGAGGCAGGAGGCTCACCGTGAGTTTGAGGCCAGCCTGGGCTACACAGTGAGTTCAGGGCCAGCCTAGGCTATAGAGTGAGACCCTGTCTCAAGGAAAAAACCCACCTCACATCCTGCTCCTGGCTTAGGCACCTGCTCCTCCAGCTCCTTGGTGGGCATTGGAGGCATGCACAGGTGTGCACCCAGCTTCTCCCTGGGGAGCAGGCCCTGAGGGAACCCAGCATGCTGCTCCTGGGGACACCCCAAGTTGGTCAACTCTCCCAGAGACAGCACCCGCCCACCATTCCCACCTTGCCCTGCGCTTCAAAGGGAGAGCTGGGGCCTGCGACGCAGTGCTCTGTGGCCAAGGGACCTGGATGCAGGGTGGGGCCAGGCCTGTCCCCAAATCTGCTGGCTCCAGACACTGCTGTCCTCAGCTCCCCATGCACTCTTCCATTTTCTCCTGGGTCTCTGTCTGTCTTCTGCACGTTTTCTAAACAAGGCCTCCTCTGGTTCTTCACAAACTCTTGTCAACAGCCAGGAGGGTTCTGCTGACCTTGATCTTCTCCGGGTGGAGTAAGGTGGTGGAGGGGCTCTGAGTGTGAATTCACCCTGCACTATGGCTCCCCGGTCTCCAGGCGAGCCATCATGTCCCCAGGAAGATGCCAAGCACCCCACTGAGGACCGCTGGCCTGATCACACAGGTTATAAAAAATAAACAAGGGCCGGGGATTTAGCTCAGTGGTTCCACCACCTGCCTCGCAAGCACAAGGTCCCAAGTTCGATCCCCGGTACAAAAAAAAATAAAATAACAAACAAGGGCTGGGGATAGAGCTCCTTGAGGACACCCTGGGTTCAGTCCCCAGTGCCACAAAACAGAGGAAAACCCAAAAGCTGAAAACAGCTAAAAGACAGCAGTATTCACAGTGTGAGTTTTTTGTTTGTTTGTTTTGGTTTTGGTTTTCTTGCTATGTAGCCCAAGCTGCCCTCAAACTAGCAGTGATCCTCCTGCCTCAGCCTCCTGAGTGCAAGGATCGCAGGTGTGCACCGTCACACCTGGCTCACAGTGTGATTTCTGTGATTTTTTTTTATATAGAAAAGAGGGCATTTTCAAGGCAAGCACATCTACTGGCAACGTCCACTCCTGCCTCTCGTCCCCTCCTTGTCCCTCACCCAGCTCCTTTCAGCATCAAGAACCTCGGCAGGGGTCAGACAGTGTGCCCTTCAGGCCAGGGCAGCCCGAACCTGGTGAGACACGGGGGCTCCGTGCACCTGGACAGAAAGCATCACATCCACCCTCACTAACTTCACCGTGAAATGAAGCTCCAGCCTCCTTCCGCTGCTCACAGCCAGGCTGCGCCAATGCCTGAGACCTACACCCATCACGGCGTCCCGGCGGCACAGGCTGCACACTCTAAACGCTGCGCCAGCTGCTGCTGCTTCTACACCGAGGTGCCCACATCTGCTGCAGGGCCTTGTTGTCTTCTGTTTAGTATCGAAGCAGCACAGAGATGGTGTTACGTTCTCTCCTTATGTGGCGTCTGGATAATCCCACCTCAGTGTAGCTATACCCTTTACAATGCTGTAGATTTTGCCTTATGAATTTAGAGGTCTAAGTCTGGCCTGACACAGTGCACACCTGTGAGCCCTGTGCACTCTGGGAGACAGGGGCAAATTTCACCTTAGTGACTTAGCAAGATCCTGTCTCAAAATTCAAACATCTACAAAGGGCTGGGGTGGAGCTGACTGTGAGGGCCCTGGGTTCAACCCCCAGCACTGAAAAAACAATCCTAATTCTGGGAGCAGGCTGACAGTGGCACAAAAACATGAAAAACCCGGCTGGAAGGAAGCGTTGGCCTGACCCCTCCAGGGACTGGATGGAGCCAGTCCTATCGCCCCTCCCTTGGCTGTGACAAGGGCCCCTGCCCAGGCCTGGCCCTCTCAGACCTCTTCCCACACTTAGACAAAAGTGACTGAGAGTATAAGAGCCCCCTCCTGTCCCCTCCTGCCCGCATCCTGTGCGCCAAGGGCGCTGTATAAAGCCCGGCTCTGTCTCCCAGCAGCGTCGCCCTGGCAATGGCAGGGGCCAGCCTCTATGGGGAGGGTGCCAGAAACAGGTCTCCAAGAGACTCTGGACAGCAGCCAGGGAAAACAGAACGACGCAGGGTAAATCGCTGCTCTGCGGCAGCACCACCAAGTGGGAGGGTTTGGGGAAGCAGGAACAAGGTCATGGGTGGGCAGGGGCAGGGGTGGGGGACAGCTCATCCTCAGCACAGCAAAACAAACAGCCTCAAGCGGTGGTGCAGGCTGTAAGCCCAGCACTTGGGAGGAGGCTGAGGCAGGAGGGCTGCTGCCTAGTGAATTCAAAGCCAGCCTGGACTACACAGTGAGACTGTCTCCAAAAGAAAAGAGAAAAAGAAAAACAAAATGAGGTCCCCGCAGTCAAGGATGTTTGCTGAGGTCCCTGAGGTCCCTGAGGTCCCTGAGGCCAGTGGTCACGGCACAGAAGCCTGGGCCGGATGGGGGGTTGGGGCCCGGCAGGGGCCTGGGAATCTGCATCTTGCAAACCCGGAGGGTGGGGCCGCACCACCTTATTCTTGCTGCATCCCCAGCTCCTACAGGCCCCCGCCCCTGCCCCCGAAGGCCGAGTAACCTCCCTGCCACAGCTCCCAGAGCCCAGGCAGGGACTCACCAGCCCGCTGCCCAGGATGTAGAAGTCGTCAGCAGAGAAGATGGTGCCTGGGTAGGACGAGAAGACCAGCTTGTTGCCCGGAGCCAGGGCATGGTCCTCTGTGGGGACAGCATGGGCACAGTCAGGGAGGCTGGGGACCCCTGCACCCTGCCCAGCGGGACTTGGGGCTTGAGGTGGGAGAGGCCCACACTGGCTCCCTCTCATTAGCAGGAAATGTGGAGGGGCCCTTGGGGTGTGGCTCAGGGTAGAGCCCTGGCCTAGCATGGGCCGGCCCTGGGTTCCAACCCCAGCACTGCAAAATAAAGTAACATAAAACAAAGACATAGAACTGTGCAACATGGAGTGAGCCCCAGTGTGAAAAATGGTCTTCAGTTAATAATGTAATGACTCTGGTTCCTCTCTTGTAACAAACCTGCCTGCAAGATGTTAAAATAACAGGGCAAAGAAGCAGGGTAGGGATGTGGGAACTCTGAGTATCTACCCAATATATCTGCAAACCTAGGACTTTTCTTAAACGTAGGAGCCATTTGTTAAAAGACACATGTATGGGCTGGGGATTTAGCTCAGTGGTTCTGGCGCCTGCCGCGCAAGTGCAAGGTCCCGAGTTCGATCCCCAGTACCAAAAAAAAAAAAAAAGACACATGTATATAGCGTGATCATACATCCAGTAATCCCAGCATTTGGGGAGGCTGAGGCAGGAGGATTGCAAATTCAAGCCTTTGTGACTTGGCAAGACCCTGTCACAAAATAAAAAGATAAAAAAGGGCTGAGGATGTAGTTCAGTGCAAAGGACCTTTAATCCTTAGTGCCCAAGGGAGGAGGAGAAGATACATACATAAAATACATCCAGAAAATCCAGACAGAGCCAAAGCAAGCTGGCCATAGCAGTTTAGGGGGCAGTGAGGAGGACGCATTCAAGCATTACTCACATAATGAAGGCAAGTTACAACAACGGAAAATCAGAGAGAGGTTTTTTTGTGTGTGTGCTACTGGGGATCAAACCCTGGGCCTTCACACTGAGCTACATCCCTACCCCTTATTTACTTACTTTTAATTTTGAGACAGGGTCTCGATAAGTTTCCAAGTTGCCCAGTCTGGGCTGGAACTTGTGATCCTCCTGCCTCAGCCTCCCAGACAGCTGGGATTATAAACATGCAACATGTTTATAAACAGAATGGAAGAGGGAGGGCTGATGACCTATTCAACACCCAGGACACACTACAGGCATCACACAAACACACAGGACACCCAGTGAGCAGGCAGGAGCCGAAGCTGCACACGGGATGGGGAAGGACGCCTGGGTCCCCGGCTGTCACGTAGCGCGTTGCCCGAGTGCGTGAGCCAAGTTGCATGTGCAGAGGGCGCCACTTTCCTAGAAGATGGCTAGGGTGTAAATTCACGGCCCCGGGGCTGTCTCCATGCCACCTTATCATGATGACCTCCTGTCCTCTCCCCGGGCAGAAACTGAGATGTTTCTCTAGTCCAGCCGAGTCAGAGCCACGGGTCATGGGAGCAAGCCATTATGAACTTTACCCGATGCCAGCCAGGTTCCTCTTAAAAGTGGCACTGCCAACGTGTCCTCCCATGAGCAAGAAATAAGGGTGGGCCCTTCCCCACCATCCTGCCACCTCCAGCACCACCAAGTCTTACAGTTTGGCCAAGTCGGGTGTGCTGGTGGACGCCTGTAATCCCAGCACTCGGGAGGCTGAGGCAGGAGGATCATCACATGTTCAAGGCCAGCCTGGGCTACATAGTGAGTTCGAGGCCAGCCAGAATTGCCTAGAGAGACCCTGTCTCAAAATTTCAAAGATAAATAAATAAAGTTTGGCCAAGAAAGAGACACTGCCCATGTTTGGCAGCAGTGCCTCTGTGGTTGGCACTGGGGCCTGGGGCCAAGGCCCAGGGGTGACCAGTATGGGGACCTGGCCTAGGCCTCTCCTCATCATGGTGGACAGGAAGGGATCATCCATGTGTCCCTTATGAAGATGGCTGTTTGCAAAATAGCCACCACCCTTCCTGTGCTGGTGTGTGCGGCATCTGCGATGTGACTTAGAAGCACCTGGCCCTGAGTAGTGGGGTCCACGCTTCGCCAGAGTCTGGGCTGGCCACTTGCCTTACTCTGGGTGTCAGAGGCGGCAGGCCTCATCCAGGCCTCAATACCCTTCCCCTCCCTACCGGATGTCACATGAGCCAGCCTGGGCTCACCTGCTGATCCTCAGGCCCAGACACAGCACAGGAATGAGGCTGTCCTGATCAGCCAGCTCAGCCCAGGGGACAACAGGGGCATTGGTGAGCCCAGCCCTACTCAGCCACATCTGGCTCAGAAAAGCAAATCACCAGCTGACCCCAGACACAGGTGCAAGAACTAGATGGCAGTTGTTTTAAATCATGGGGTGCCTGGCTACGGAGCAATGGGTAACTGATATAACATGTAAAATAAAAATAGAGGGCCAAGGATTTAGCTCAGTGGTTTCACCACCTGTTGTGCAAGCGCAAGGACCTGAGTTCGATCCCCGGTACCAAAATAAAATAAAATAAAATAAAATAAATAAAATAAAAATGGAAAGGAAACACACATGGTAAAAACAAGATGAGCCAGGCACAGTGGTATATAGTGTGATCTCAGATACTTGGGAGGCTGAGACAGGAGGATTCCAGTTTCAAAGCCAGGAGGGAGACCATGTCTCAAATAGAACAGTACATACTCCAGGGGTAGAGCTCAGTGGCAGAGCAGTTACCCAGAAGGCACCAGGTCCAGGGTTCAATCCCTGGCACCCCCCAGTGATGAGCTGCTGGAATGGCTCTCAAGCGACGCCATGTGTCGAGTGGGGATGGGATCTTCTCACACACAGGTGCACTGCACCCACCCACCTTGGGGGCCTTCCCGGAAGTGCAGCTGGTACTTCTTCAGGACACGCAGCATGTACTGGTAGGCGTTCCACGTGTTGTGGGCCACCAGCAGGTCCCGCTGGCCAGGCAGCAGCTTGATGAGGGCAGAGCAGGAGCCAGAGCCCAGGGTCGCCCTGGTCTTGGTCTTGTTCAGGGCCAGCTCTAGATCCATCAGGTCACCCGAGATCTGCAGCAGCCTGGGGAGGCCAGGCACAGCAGCATCACCAGGCCTGCTGCCACCAGTTTTACAGGCTTGGCGGGCCTGCGGCCGGGCACATGCCAGGAGGCAGGGCCCTGAGCGGGCGGGCGGGTGGCACTTACAGGAACCCCAGAGGCTTGATGGAGAACCTCCCAGTGGGGAAGGCCAAGCGGCCTTCGTAGCTGTCCTCCAGGCCCTTCAGCTGCAGGAGGGTCAGCCGCACCTAGGCGAGGGGCAGAAGGAGGGTCACCCTGTCCCTGAATGCAGGGGCCTGGCCCAGGTGTCAGGCCAGAGCGGGGCAGACCCAATGCCCCTCGGGGCTCCAGCCAACCTTGAGTCCTACGTGCCAAGCACCTTCCTGCTTTCAATGAATGACTGTGGGGCCGGCCTGCTGTCAACCCTGTCACCCCACTGAAGAGCCCAGCTCAAAAGCCGCCACACAGGCCCCCAGGCCCACAGCCACAGCTGCCTGCCTGAGGTCAGGTGCTGCACTGCTGCCTTGGGTGCCTGGCTCACGCAGCTGACTTCTCCTTGTCCTCACTGTTTTGTCTCAACACCCTGTAACCACGAATACTGTCACCACGTCCTCCACAGTGCATCGGCCTCTGCTGGGCACACACCAGACACAGTAAGCACATGCGAGACGGACGGATGGGTGGAAGAGTGAGTGGATGGATGGAAAGATCAAGGGACGGATGGATGGACAGCTAGGTAAGTGGATGGATGGAAGGGTGGTCAGGTGGGTGTACGGGTGTGTGCTAAATAGATGTGTGGGCGGACAGATGGACAGAGGGGAAGATGAAGGGATGGGTAAGTGGGAACATGGATGGGGAGCTGGAAGAGCTGTTCTAGGTAGGGTACGAGCAGGGACATGGACGGTGGGAACTGTCCCGAGCAAGGGAAATGGCACGAGCACACCTGAGGTAGGTGGGTGCGCAACCAGGCACCCAGCACACTTTACAGTGACAAACTGTCCTGGGTAACACACAGGACTCCATAAATTAACTCACTTATTCACTCATGACCAAGCCCATAGTCTAAGAGTGAAGTACCTGACCCAGACTCTTAGCTGAGGCCAATGAGCAGCTCACCCAAGGAAAGGCAAACACAACTCCGGGACAGAACTTTCCAGGTGTTTTAGTCGAACTCCTGCATCCACTACACTCACCCCACCACTCAGTCTCCTAAAGAGTAACTGTGTTTCTAGCCCTTGACAGGAACGAGGAGAGGGCTGGAGAGGCCGGCGAGGGGGGACAGCGGGAGTCAGTCAGGTGGACAGACAGCGGGACAGGCGGGTGAAAGGCAGGTCGGGCAGGGGCGGGGCTAACGATGGAACGGACACGCAGCGAGCCGCCCCTCCCCACGGGTAGGTGGGGCGGGGCCACCTGGTGCCAGTAGGCGGAGTCCCCGTGCAGCTCCACCTCCTGCTGCATCCACTCCAGGTTGGCCTCCAGGAAGCTCTTGAGCCTCTCGCAGTAGCCGACCTCGTACTCGAAGGGGCCACAGTAGTTCACCATGGTGTTCATCCAGTGCATGTAGATGAGCTGCGGGAGAAGGGGCCCGGCTCAGGCACGGATCGGGGCACCAGGCGAGGCTCCTGCTGTCCCCGCCCTGTCAGCCGCCACCTGCCAAGTCCCCAGCCCTGCCAGAGCCCAACCCCACCGAGGTCTCCTCCTCCAGCAGCTGTAGCTATGCCACCCTGCATCTCCTGCCCTGGTCCCGGGGACCAATCTACCTGTGTTTCGCCAGTTGGACAATTAATGTGTTTTCTGGTTTTTTATTTTGTTTTTGCTTTTTGGGATAGGATCTCACTGTGTAGACCACAGCAGCCTCAACCTTGTGATCCCCCTGCCTCAGCCTCCCAGGAGCTGGGATTACAGGCCTGTGTCATCACGCCGAGTCCCTAGGGTTTCTGAGCAGCTCCCCATTCTGCTTTGAGCAGCAAGGCCACAGCAGGGGAGCAGATGGCAGGACTCCCTGCTGACCCAGCAGGGTCAGACGCCGGTTCCCACAAGGCCTCAGGAGGCCAAGCCCGGGCTGGTCTTCAGGGAAGAGGAAGACCTTGTAGCCTGTCCTGCACATCACCTGAGGTGACAGAGAGCTGATCCCACACCAGGAGGGAGGCCAGCCCAGCCATGCACCCTCACCACTGCCATGCAGCCCAAAGTGACAACCTTTGAACTGCAGGCTAAGTAAACCTTGCTTCTTATAAGTTAATTCTCTCAAGTGTTTTATTATAGTGACATGAAGCGGATTAACACACCCATTTGACAACTGAGGAAACTGAGGCATGGGCAACTATTTCACCCAAGATCGTTCAGGTAATGAATCAAAGGGCTAAGATTTGAACCCATGCCAAGCTGCACACTTGTGATTCTAAAAGGACTGAGCTCACCAGGCAAAGGTTGGGGTGACTTCCAGCCACACCCTACCCCACTGAAATGTTCCTGGGCCACATGTGTCAGCAAGAGAGCTGTGACAGTGGCCAGTCAACACCTCACTGGGACGCATCTGAATCTTGCTTGTCCTCAAGGCTCCACTAAGACCCCCTCCTCCAGGCAGCCCTGTCCTCCATCAGGCTGGGCTTAGGGGATGCAGCTGAGCAGCCAGAGCTCCGTGTCCAACAGCTGCCCAGACACAAGGGCCCCGGGGCTGTCTGACCCGGTGCCCAGCTGCCAGGACACCGTGTGTGGGGTAGGAAGGGGTCTCACTGGAGACTGCCCTCCCCCTCTCCCCACCCCATTGCACATTCACCCTTGATACCCTACCAGGATCCCCTGCATCTGAGCCCCACCCAGGTCCCATGGTACTTTGGGGCTGCTTCAAACACTTCATCCTGTCCCTCCATCACCTCTGGGACACGTACTGCAGGAGAGGGGCCGCTGGTCCTCAGGTCCACACAGACCACACTCAACGCTTTCACACCCACTTATTTTCCAGTCTGCAACCCAACCTACCACACAGGAGATGGTCGTCACCCACAGCCCTGCTTACGCCAGGTAGTGTCCAACTTTGACAAGTATCAGGATCATTTTTGTACAGGTCAAAATCAAGCAAAGCAGAGCAAAATGTTGTTTTGAGATTCAGGCACATTCAGTTAAAATCAAATGAACCATGAGCCAGGTGTGGCGGCACACACCTGTGATCTCAGCACTCAGGAGGCTGAGCCAGGAGGCTTGCAAATTTGAGCCCAGTCTAAACTACTCGAAATGAAACCTTGTCTCAAAAAGCAAAGTGAAATAAAACAACCCTCCCAGGGAACTGTTTGCAGGGGTGGGACCAGCTGGACCCTAATTGCCCCATTGTGGGCTCACCTCCTCTGACACGGAGGCCTCCACCACGCCAGCTGCATAGGCCTGCAGGCTGTCATTGTAGTCAGCACTGGTGCCCAGCTCCAGGAAGGCCCACCTGGGGGACAGAAAGGACATGGTCAGTGCAGGCCCGCACGAAGCTGCCTTCAGCAGACACATAGCTATTGCCACTGCTCCACACTTCCTGCCTGTTTGTCACCTGTCCTCATGCACTTGGCGGGCTAAGGCCCTGAAAGAGGAACTGCTGGGTCAGAGGGTACATGTGATTTGATTTGATTTTACTTTTTGTGGTACTAGGGAATTGAATGCAAGGATACTACACCACTGAACTACATTATATTCTCAGCCTTTTGTATTTTTGTTTTGTTTTGTTTTGTTTTTTTGTGCTGGGGATCAAACTCGGGGCCTTGCGCTGTGAGGCAGGAGGTGGAACCACTGAGCTACATCCCCGGCCCTCCCCTTTGTATTTTGAGACAGGGTCTCACCCCGTTACCCAGATGGACTCAAACTTGGGATTCTTGTACCTCAGCCCTCCAGCAGCTGAGATTACAGGTGCGCATCATGGTGCATGGCTTTCTCAGCAGTGCCCTGGTAATGCCAGTGTGCAGGCCTGCAGCTGTCACAGCACAGGGGCTGACTCTGCAAAGAACAAACTCCTGTTTTGTTTTTCCTTACTTTGTGTGTATCTGTGTGTGTGTGTGTGTGTGTGTGTGTGTGTGTGTGCGTGCACGCACGCTCTGAACCCAGAGCCTCAGGTACACCAGGCAAGCACTCTACCACCAGGCTGCAACCCAGTCCCTACTCCCTCATTTAAAATAACTGCTAGGGCTGGGGATGTAGCTCAGTGGTTCCGCCACCTGCCTCGAAAGTGCAGGGTCCTGAGTTCTGTCCCCGGTACCAAAAAATAAAATAAAATAACTTCTGGCTGAGACAGGAGGATCACTGCAAGTTTTAGACCAGCCTGGGCTACAGAGGAAGGCCCTGCCTCAAAAGAAAAAACCAAACAGCAACAGAAAGAGTCCTGTGATTCTTTTTCATCTCCATGAAGGTGACAGTTGCAAATTCACAACTAGGAGAAACCTGTTTGCTTGTTTGTTTGTTTGTTTTTGCAGTACTAGGGAGGAACCCAGGGCCTTCACACTGAGGTACATCCCCAGCCCTTTTAAATTTGAGACAGGGTCTCCCTAAATCACTAAGTAGCCCAGGTAGGATTCAAATTTGCAATCCTCCTGCTTCAGCCTCCCAGAGTGCTGGCATTACAGCTGTGCACCACCACATCTGGCTAAAAACATTTTTAAAAGGCAATTTCTATTAAGAAAACATGGCAAAAGAAAGACTCAAATCTTGCAGGCTTTGGAACAGAGCATCAAGCTCAGGCAGGACTGTGCTGGGGAAGTGGGCTAAAGAGTCACCAGACAGCTCCAGGGCAAGGACAGCTCCTGTGGAGGACATTGGAGAGAAGATTCAAAGGACCCACACCCATCCTTTGGCAAGAGAGCCTTTTCTGAGCACTCCTGGGAGCCAGACAGAGGGGACATGAGGATTCATGGCCTTCAGGCCCAGAATGAGAAGCTATGGCTGCCAGGGTCAACCTAAGAAGGCTTCCCAGAAGTGGTAAAGCTGCTCTGGATTTTGAAGTTTAATTAGGAGTTTGCCAGGTAGAAAGGGGAGGGAATATGAAAGAAGGAAGCCTGTGCTCTGAATGTTCCAAAGCAAACTTGCTGCTGGAGCCCCGATGGTGGACAACAACCCTGGGCATGTGCTCGATGCACTCCATGTCCACTTTTCTCTTTACGTTGTTCTTTCCAAGACCTCATGACATGGGCTTTATTCTCCTCACTTTCCAGATGTGGGGACGAAGGCTCAGAGAGATGGACTCATATGCCTGGGGTGACACAGTAAGAAGCAGAACTAAGATTCTAAAACACAAATGTGTCAGCGAAATTGGAGACTGGTTGGTGGTTAGAAAAGGACTCAATACTGAGTCAGAACAGAGCTGAGGCCAATCCCGCCTGAGGTCCAGGGCTGGGTTGCTGGAAACTAGGCCACAGGATGGAGGCAGGATGGCTAGGCCTGCAGGATGAAGGCAGCTCAAGCTGCTGGTCCAATAAGCCTGAGAAGGGTAACACACACAGGAGCAATGTAACAAATGCTTAGAAACAATGTAACAAATATACAACCAACATGACAAAAATAGACACATAGAAACAATGTGGCAAAACAAAGAAATCATGTAACATAGATACAATGTGCCCTAGCACATAGAAACAATATGGTGAGCACATGGAAACAACATACCATACATAGAAACAATGTAGTAGCACATAGAAACAAAGTGACAGATGACCAAAACATTGCCCCTCCTCTCTACCCCTTCCCCATGCTATGCACCCTACTGCCCTGTTTTTCTACCAAGTCAGTATTAGCTAAGCATACTTAGAATCCTGCAGGTTGACTATAGCTTGACCCAAGGTAACCTGCACTATGATTTGACTAAAAGCCCCACCAAGAGCCTCAGCACAAGCCACTTGTCTGGGAACCCTCCTCGCTTCCTTTGTCCTAGACTCTACTTGTTCTTCAGTGTCCTGGAACAGGAACCCAGCACCTCCAACAGGCTGGGAGTTACTTCCCTGTAACAGAATGTGTTATGTGAGGGGTTTTTTGAGAAACATAGTTCTTCTCAAATAAAAATATGAACCATGAACTTCAGGACAATGACTCATATAATCATCAGTAACTAGAGGAAAAATAAGCAAGGAAATGAAGATTTTAAATTTCAAGGAGGGACAGGTGTGGTAGTGAAGGCCTATGATCCCAGCCCTTGGGGAGGCTGAGGCAGGAGGATTTCGAATATAAGGCCAGCCTGTGCAACTTACCAAACTCTTGTCTCAAAAAGCAATTAAAAGGGCCTGGGATTTAGCTCAGTGGTTCCACCAACTGCCTATCCCCAGTACTAAAAAAAAAAAAAAAAAGCTATGAAAAGAAATTTAGTGTGGCTTCCTCTAAGCTAGGAAGAAAGGAAAAGCGTAACTGAAAGTGATAATTCCTGCCATCCATGTCCCTGCCCCCCCAGACACAGAGCCATGCATAAGGAGTGCAAGGATGTAGTCATCACCCATTCCCCTTTCTGGCCTTACTCTACGGAGCAGCATGATTCAGCCTACACGGGTTTCATGAACTTTGCCTGAGTCCTCAGAAACAGAAATGGTGGTGCACACCTGTAATCCCAGCACTGGAGAGGCTGAGGCAGGAGGATCACCAGGAGTTTGAGGTCAGCCTGGGCTACACAGCAAGATCCTGCCTCAAAATAAAAGAAAAAGAAAAGAACCCCAAAGAGGCACCACCTGCCGAGCTGTAAGTTTTTTGGGAGGAACTCGGCAGAGATGGGTTTAGCGCTGAGCTACTGGGTGCGGTCGCCCCCACCCAGGTCACTATGCTAAATGCCCACACAGGGGTCTGAACATAGGCCTGGGACATTAAACCCAAACCTCCCTCCTGCCTCCCTGCCTGTCTTCCAGCTGCAGCTTCCCCAACTGTAAGAGGGACTATCTGGGCCTCAGCATTGGTCTCTGGGATCCTTCTCAGCTGTCCTGATTGAGAACCTAGAAGAGACTCTGTCCCACTCACCTGTCCAAAGAAAACCTATAACCCAGGCATGGTGGGCACTCCTGGAACCCCAGGCCTCTGGGAGGCTGAGGCAGGAGGATCACAAGTCTGAACTCAGCCTGGGCACTTTAGTGAGATTCTATCTCAAAATAAAAAGGGCTGGGGATGTAGCTCAGTGTGAAGGTCCTGGGTTCAATCCCAGAACCAGAAGAAAAAAAACAACCCACAGTGTTTCCATAACTCGAGGTCCTTTTTTTTTTTTTTTGGTACTGGGAATGGAACTCGGGAACTTGAGCTTGGAGGGCAGGCAGCGGCACCACTGAGCTAAATCCCCAGCTCAATGTCCTTATTACAGACTGCTCTTTATTTGGAGATTATGTCCTTTCTGCCTGTTTGCTTTTCAAATTATTGATCTTTAGGAGAGAAATATGGTCAATAAATATAGTTTTGTTTGGTTCTTAATGCACTTGCTTGACAAAGGTTAAAAACCTGGCAGCTCTGCTTCTCTTTCTGTAATCAATCTCTTCCTCTCTCCCTCTCCCTCTCTCCCTCTCCCTCTCTCTCTCCCCCCCTCTCATAATCCTAGCACTCAGGAGGCTGAGGCAGGAGGATTTCCAGAAGTTCAAGGCCAGTCTCAATTACATAGGGAGACCTTGTCTCAAAAAAAAATATGAAAAAGCCAGACCAAGCTGAGTGCAGTGGTGCATGCCTATAATCCCAACACTCTAGGAGGCTGAGGCAGGAAGATCTCAAATTCAAGGCCAGCAGCCTGGGCAACTTAGTGATTTAGGACTAGTGACTAGGTTACTAGTCACTTTTGAGTACCCTGTTTCAAAATAAAAGATAAAAAAGGGGCTGTGAATGTAGCTCAGTGTGAAGGCCCTGGGTTCAATCCCCAGGACTAGGAGGAAAAAAAAGAGAAAGAGAAAGTCAGACAATTGACATGGGGTTGGCAGGGGTGACAAGTGTCTCCTTGTGAAGCTCCGCTGCAGCATGGCATGGGCCTGACCCCCTCCCCATTGAGGGTCACCCCTCCATGTGTGGTTCTTACTCCTTCCATTCTTGACACTAGATTTCTCTCTTGTGACATTTCAAAGCAACAGCTGGGCCTTATAGATCCATTTTTCTGGGCTGATAGATTTCGGCTGTTTCCTCGTTTGCTAACTTACCAATTCCCTCTTCCTTGTATTCACTTTCTTTTTGTTTGTTTTTTGAGACAAGGTCGTGCTACGTAGTCCAGGCTGGACTTGAACTAGAGGCAATCCTCCTGCCTCAGCTCCAAGTGCTGGGATTACAAGCATGCACCATCATGCCCAGTTCCTTGTGTTCACTTTCATCGCCGTGGTGTTTACACCAGGCAGCCTGGTGGATGAGGTGCTGGGTGGCAGGATCAGACAGGAAGGAGGACTAGTAAGGCTGGGGCTCTGGGTTGCAGCTTCCCCAGCTTCCCCAGGACACGGCCAAGGCAGGGGCTGCAGCAGGCCCTGAGCTCCTAGCACCAAACCCCATGGTTTCCAGGATGCTCGGTGGATACTGGTCCAAAGACACAGCACAGCTGAAGGAGGCAGGGTCGTGGGAAGAGGGACTTCATTCTGACCCCAGGACCCTCACTGGTGAACCCCAGGCAGAAGGAGGGAACCTAGGAGGAGTCTCATCCCTGGCCTCTGCCCTTCGAAAGCCTGGCTCAGCCCAGGTCAGAGAACCTGCCGACGGGGCCTGGGCACCCCCAATGTCCTTCTCTCATCCTACCGAGTCCTCAAGAGGCTAATGCTGTGGGCCTCGGTTTCCTGCCTGGAAAATGGGGGATCCCAATACATTCACCTTGTATTGTACCTTAGGGGCCAGCAAATGGGAGAACTAGGGGAAGGGGCTCATGAGCACCAGAGGAGGGGGGACAAGGTCAGACGGCAAAGGTGCTAGGAGGCTGTGAGGGGAAGGAGTAATGAGGATGAGCCCTGGATTTACCTCTCAGGCCTCAGTTTCCCCAACTGTTAAATGGGGACAAGAGACACCTGCTCCTCCCTCCCTCCCTCCCTTCCTTTAGTGGTGCTTTCCAGGATCCCAGTGAACTTCCCTGGCCCTTTGAGACCCACCCAGAGGTGAAGACAGGCTCAGAGAGGTGAAGGAGTTCACCCAAGGTCACACAGCAGTGGAGCTGAGCCACAGTCAAAGGTTTCTCCGCTCCCATGGTTCCCATGACTGACAGCCACATGGCCTGGAGAGCCTCCAGAGGGCAAAGCTCCCCAGCTGGCACCCAGCAGAGATGGGTTTTGCAGACAGGGCCAAAACCCTGTGTGAGTCAGCATGGAACGGGTCACTAGGTCCCAGAGTCACAAGCTCAGGAGTTTTTGTGTTTTTGATTTTTCAGTACTGGGGGTTTGAACCCAGGGCCTCTACACTGAACTACATCCACAGCCCTTTTTGAATTTTGAGACAGGGTCTCACTAAGTCACTAAGTTGCCTAGCTGGGCTTGAACTTGTGATCCTCCTGCCTCAACCTCCCACAATGCTAAGATTACAAGCATGTGCCGTCAGCCAGAGCTTCGGTCCCTCCCCAGACATCAGGTCGCTCTGGCCTTCTCTCCCTGGGACCCCTCCCAGATTAGCCCGCACAGTTCATGTCTACAGCAGCCTTCCAAGAGCCAGCAGAATAGGGGTATCCTCAGCATCCCGTGTCCTCAACACCTGCAGAAGCTGTGCATGCCAGCACCCTGGGGCAGCAGTGGGAGGAGGACACACCTGCTACAAGCCCAGGAAGGGTGAAAGAATAGAGACCCACAGACGCTAGGCTCTGGGCCCCCAGGGCTCACCACCAGGACAGAAGGGATGTGAATAAGCCTTGCACAGCCTTAAGGGGCGTCACCCGGCCGCCATCCCCAGCACATCTTCAGGGTCCGGGCCACAGATGGTGCAGAGGGCGCCCAGATGGGCAGATGACTTAAGCGAAAGACGCGTCGGTGTGACAGTCTGGGTCCTGGCAAGGACTTCACCGTGGGCCGGGGCAGAGAAGGACAGGGCGGCACGGAGCCCCGCTGGGCACCAGCGGACAGGACACCGCCAGCAGGTGGGACCCAGCCGCTGCAGCGCAGTCCCCACGCTCAGGCCCAGGGATGGGGTGGCCGTGGGGTGGGAGCCGCGGGTGCAGAAGAGGCTGGGCCGGGCGCCCTGGGGGCGCAGCCACCGAACCAGCCTTACCCGGTCTGGTGCACGGCGTTGGAGAGGTTGGCCCAGGCCACGGCCGCGGGGTGGCGACCCTCCGCCAGGCGCAGCTGGCCCGTCGAAGCGTCCAGGAGCACCGAGCGGCAGCGGGAGGCGGGCGGCACCGGCCCGTCGCTCGTCCAGCGCCTCCCAGGGGCCGGGATCGCGCCCGACAGGCCGCTCAGGAACAGTCCGACCAGCAAGGCCAGCGCCAGGGCCAACGTCAGCGCCCGGGTAAGCGCCCGGGCCAGGCGGCTGCCGAGGGACCCGTATGTGGGCGCCGCCATGACCGCGGCCGCCGCGCTCCTCAGCCCCCGCCTCGCGACGTGCGGGTGGGCGGGGGTGGGGGCGGGGCTTTGGGAGCCCTTCCGGAGTGGGCGGGGCTCGTGCCCCTTCAGGGGCGGGGCACATCTTAAAGGGGCCTGGGCTCCCTCTCGTAGGAAAATCGAGTTTAGCTCACTTCCCCTCGTGCTTTTTACCTCGCACATCTTCTCATCTGGAGACGGGTTGAGAGAATAAAGCTCATACACTCGTTATCAACTGCTAATATTTTGTTACATTTAATTAGTCCTTTCTTCTTCTTGGGACTGGGGACCCAACCCAGTGCCTTCGAACCAAGCTACATCCAAGGATTTGCTAAATTGCTGAGGTGCCCCGGCTGGGCTCAAACTTGCAATCCTCCAGCTTCAGCCTTCCAGAGTGCTGGGACTACACGCGTGTGGCACCACGCCAGGCCTGAGTTATGCCACAGTACCCAGCCCTGTGACCCACCTGGAGACTGTCCTGTGCCGGGTCTTTTCCTAGCCAGGCTGTGTCCAGAGCAATCCCTGGATAAGGGCTGTGCCCGTAGGTGTGGGAGGCAAGCTGCAGACTGCCTGACATGCAGGACTCTGTCGGGACTAAGTGGTGTTGACAATAGCAACAGTAACAGAACTGAATCAACTGCACACCTACTGTGGGCCAAGCCTGTCTTAGGCCCAGGGGACACGACAGTGAATGAGATGGATGAAATCCCGGCTCTTACGCGACCCCCTTCCATGGAGGGAGACAGATGACAAACTTAACAAAGACTATGTCAGGTAGGAATAAGGGAAGACAATGAAGCCAGAAACCCTAAAGGAGAAGGAGCTCTGAGGAGATAATGGGGAAGAGCACTCCTGCAGCAGAGAGCAGTAAGTGTTAAGTGCAAAGGGTCTGCGGCAGGAAACAGCCTGGCATCTCTACAGGAACAGAGGGGTTGTAAGGCAGGGGTAGTGCATGTATGTCGATGGCCCATGATGGGCCCCAAAGTGACTTTCTAAAACTTCAAGGGCATCCTCCCCCATCCCTGCACCTTTGATGAGCTGGGAGCCCAGCACCAATCTCTGGAAAGGAGTTGCTCCTGTCCTCAGCCCTTTGTTATTTTTTATTTTTGAGGCAGGGTCTCAGGCAGGACTCACAGTCCTCCTGCTTCAGCCTCCAAAGAGCTAGGATTGCAGACATGTGCTACCATGCCCAGCTCAGTTCTTTGGCATGAATACCAGTTAGTGTGAATTGTTCACTGTGAACATTTTCTGTCATAGAATGCTCCCAGTCACCCAAGAAGTTCCCACAACTGCTATCCCTACTTCACAGATGGAGAAACTGAGGCATTCAAAGGCCTCCAAAGGGGCCTTTCAAAGACCCCTTTTGAAAGGGATTCAAGGCCAGCCTAGACTAAATAGCCAGACCCTGTCTCAAAAAAACCAAACCAAACAAACAAAATACCACACTAGGGGCTGGGGATTTAGCTCAGTGGTTTCACCACCTGCCCCACAAACGCAAGGTCCAGAGTTCCATCCCTGGTACAAAAAAAAAAAAAAAAAAGTGCAAGTTAGGCCAGGGCTCAGCTCACCAGCTGAGTACTTGTCTGGCATACACAGGATGCTGGGTTCAATCTCAGCATTGCAAAAAAACCCAAATGATCTTATGTGGTATGAATAGGTTCAAATCCTCCTTTGCCACTTTTTTTGTTTGTTTTGAGACAATGTCTTGCTATGCAGCCCAGGCTGCCCTTGAACTCAAGGCAATTTTCCTGCCTCAGCCTCCTGACTGCTGGGACTATAGGTATGTGCCACCACACCTGACTGCCTGCTCTGTCACTATTATACTTTGTGTAGGTTCGGTGTCCTAAAGCAAAGGTTCCTGTGTCCTAAAGCAGAGGGTTCATTGGCTCCAGAGCAGTATTTCAGTCCAGTCCCCTCATGTTGAACACATAGGGTGCTTCTGACCACTGCAGAATTGTGATGCTCACTTCAGTAAATGTCCTTCTGCTTAGATCATTGGCCAAACAGTCTCATCTTCACAAGAGCTCCGGGCAGGGAGAAGGGCTCAGTGTTTTCAAGCCTCAGAAGCTGGGCATTGACCAACTGTCAATTCATCTCCAGAAGGATGAGTCCAGGCCAGATGTCTTCTAGTAGTGTCAATAAAAATATTCTAAGCTGGGTGTGTGGTGACACACACCTGGAATCCTAGCACTCAGGAGGTTGAGGTAGGAGGATCAGGAGTTCAAGGCCAGCCTGGGCTACACATCGAGACCTAAAAAAGAAAAATCTTCTCACAGGGACTGGGGATGTCGCTCAGTGGGAGAGCCCTTGCCGAGCATAGGCAAGGCCCTCAATTCTACCCCCAGAACAACAACAACAACAAAAACCCTCTTGTACAACTGGTACTGTCTTCTCTTCCTGGGGTGACCATGAGTAGTGAGCTCCCCGTCTTTGAGGGATTGTAAGTAGGAGCTGCCAAGATCAGCAGCAACATTTCCCTCGGTTAACAGTGAGGCCCACACACCCTCCAGGCCCCTCCAGACACCCAACCTCAGACTGAAACTTCTGCTTCTCCTCCCTCTTGAGGCCCCCTTCCTGCTTCTGCTGCCCCTGGGTCCCTGTATTATGTCCCTGGGTGCCTGGTTCCAGTGGTGAAGGGATGCAATCAGAGTCATTCAGACCTAGGCACAACTCTGCATCTGCCACTTCTCAGCAGGTGCGCTGGGGACAGGTGATTTCCCTCCCTGGGGAACTGGGGAATCACTGTAGCTCCAACCCATAGGGTTGTTACCAGCATATGCAGCATATGTGTAAATCTTCAATATAGATCTGGGGCAGGCTTATAATCCCAGTGATCAGGAGGCTGAGGCAGGAGAATTACCTAGAGTTCAAGGCCAGCCTGGGCTACATAGTGAGACCATCTCAAAAAAAAGAAGCCAAGGACAAGGTCACCCCACATGTGACCCCGTAGGCTGCTGTCCATGCACAGGATTGGAGGATCCTTTCTCCTCCCTCTAAAATACAGTCCCCTCCGCTACTCACCATGCCAACTAGACACCCTGCACATCACCTCTGTGGATGAAGGCATGGTGGCAGTTCTTGTTTTCCAACTATGGTCCCTCTAGATCTGGATGTCACCTTCTCCTCCTAGCATGTGACAGATATGTCTCCCTCGGAGAGGTGGGATGTTTCCTCATCTTGAATCCCAGTGGCTCTGTGACCAGGGCAGAGATGACACTGTGTGACCCAGTATCACTTCTGCAGCTGTCATATAAGGCAGTAGAGCTTCCTTCTGTTCTCTGGCCCCATGGGCAGTTCCTTGATGCACCATTTAATCAGGCTCCAGGGGAGCCCAGAAACCAGCTCCCGCAGAGAGACAGCATGGAGAGGCCCCCACTGCTCTCCCCAGCCACCCTCTGACCCAAGCCCAGACTGCCGCCCTGAGCCCTGTTCTGATTCATGACCTTCAGAAATGCAGACATGTTGCTCGCTGGGCGTGGTGGTGCACACCTGTGATCCCAGCACTCTGGGAGACTGTGGCAGGAGGATCACAACTTCCAGTCATCCAGCCTGGGAAACTTAGCAACTCATGGAGGCTCCATCTCAAAATAAAACATAAAAAAGGCTGGGGATATACCTCAGTGCAAAGGCCCTGGGCTCAATCCCCCAGTACCACAAAAATAAATAAGTAAATAAATAAAATGCTGTTGTATTTGGTGTCTACCCTCAGGGACAGCTTCTTACACAGCACTAGGTACCTCAGCTTTTTCCAGTCTAGAAAATGGGCCCTAACCCTACCCCTGGCCGCCAGGGCAAGGTGAACCAAGGCTGCTTCCACCCCACTGGCCTCCCTCCCCGTCCCCAGGGCTGTCCCCTCCCTCAGCCCTGGGAGCTTCGGGCCCAGCTGACCCGCGATGGTGACACTGAGGCCACCCCCTGTTGAGTGTCTGAGCCCCAGGGTCAGAGGCTCTAGGAGGGACAGAGGACTTTGCTCCAACCTCAGAAGTTCGGAGCTTCCTCCCAGGCAGCAGGTTACCAGACCCCAACAGCGCAGGCTGGGTCATTCCGACTCGGACACCGGCCTCAGCCGACTCATCACCGGCCTCCGAACACTGGCCCGGGCTCCTGCAGGGAAGGGCTCCCCCAGTCAGCACTGTCGCAATTACGGGGTGAGAGTGAGCGCGGGGGCTTCTGGGGAGGGGGCGTCCCCCGTGCCGGGCTTGGGCCTTGGGGCTTTAGAACTGGGCCACCGCTCTGGGACCCCACGAGGAGGGTGCCGTCGCCATCCCCATATTGCAGGAAGGAAACTGATGCTCGGGGGAGGTCTCAGGAGTGACAAAAGTCACAGAGACCCAGTGCGCTGCCGTCCAGTTGCCCAAGCTGGGCTCGAACTTGCCATTCTCCTGCCTCAGCCTCCCGGAAGTGCTGACACTCAGATTCTTCTTATCACATTCATTCCCAGAAGCAGTTTGACGCCCTCTGCCCGACCCCATTCTCTGAAAGAGAGAGGGAGTCTCCTGGATTTGCCCCGCAACTGCCCCCTCTTGGCCTCGTGCGGTCTTTTCCCACTTAGTTTCATCTACTTTCACTTCAGCTTCTGCTTTCATGGCGACAGCAGAACCCACAAGCTGAGGGTCACAGGGGAGGGGGAGGGTGAAGACTGTGGGGACCGCCTCCCTAGCTGGAGCCCTTGCCTTTAAGAGCCGGGGCGGGGCGAGCCTCCCTGGGCGTGTCCGTGGGCGTGTTCTCGAGCACGCCCCATTTGGGGCGTGGCCGAGACTGGGCGGGCCCCGCTGGCTCCCGAGATCCGTCCAGAACCGAGGTCGCGCGGCACGGGCTCTTGACGGGACCGGACGGCCTGGAGTCCTGGCGGGGTTCGACATCTGAGGCTCCAAGCGCGGCCCGAGGTAAGCGAAGCCGCCCTGCACTCCCATCCGCACCCAAAGTTTAACTTCTCAACATCCCTCAGGACTGAGTCAGAGACGCCCTCCCTCCAAAGCGCAGCCCGGTTCCTTCGTCCCCTCCCAGTGTTCGCCCGCCTCAGGGTCACGCATGCGGGAAGAGCGCAATAAATATCAGAGGTGAGTAAAAGAAACGGGGCAAAGAAACGGGGCGGCTTGCAGGGTGTGGTGCTCACGCCTGTAATCCCAGCACGCTCGAGGCTGAGACAGGAGGATCCTCTTGAGTTGAAGGCCAGCCAGGACTACATGTCGAGGGCCTGTCTCAAAAAAGAGAAAGAAGAAATCGGGGGCCAGTAGAGGCAAAAAGTGCACCGGGTCTGTAGTGGGGGCTCTGTGGGTGCAGCGCTGTGTGCTCCGCGCCCCCAGCGTCTGTGTCCATTTCGCAGAGGAGGATCGGACTCAGAGAGGTGGGTTGAGCTCCCCGAGGCAGCACAGGTCTCAGGGGCTGAGGCGAGTGTTTCTCAGTCCACCACAGGTTGCCAAGTGGAGCCTCAGGGCCTGCACGTGGAGTCGTCAGGAGAACCGGGGCCCAGCAGGTGAGGAGCAAGGTGGGACAGGCACCCTCCGGTCCCTCCTGTCCTCTCCCCACTCCCTTCTGCTGCCAGGACATTGGGAAATGTGTGGGCAAAGAATTACGAAAAAAGGGGCCAGGACTGCAGCTCAGTGGCACAGCGCCTGCCTCGCAAGGGCAAGGTCCCAAGTTTGATCCCCAGTACCAAAATAGATAAATAAAAGAAGGGAAAAGCCCCAAAACATTGTTTTATGAATTTTGTTTTTCCTGACTGCAGAAATAAAACATACTCAGTGTAGAACATGTGGGAAAGTGTACAAATCAGTTTACCAGAGACACATTTTTCCCAGTTTAATCCTCCCTCTTTTGGCTTTGTGACACATAGTATTGCTATGTAGCCCAGGCTGGGTTGGAATTTGCAGCCCTCCTGCCCCAGCCTCCCAAGTGCTGGGATTACCGGTGTTTACCTTCTCACCTGGCTCACTTTAAATCATTTGGAGAAAAAATGAACCCTTTTCCCACTGGCCTTGAGGGAGGAGGCAGAGGTCCTTTCTGCTGCCAGCACCTGTGTGGCCTTGACCAATTAATTCACTTCCTGGACCCCTTCTCCAACAGAGGAGCTGCAGCTGTCGTGACTGCCTTGCTGTGTGGCTCCGGGCAGCTCACAGAGCTCCTCTGAGCTCTTCTGTAGAAGCAGCACAGCGAGGGCAGTGTGGTCACCAGCTTTGTCCTCAGGGCTGGGTGAGGGGGGCATGGCTGGTAGTGGCTCTGCCTCAGTTTGCCCATTTGTAAAGTGGGGTAATACCTGGGGGTTACATGAGGTCATCCATGCAACTTGCTGCATTCACTCCAAGATCAACAACAGCACTGCTCTGAGGCAGGTGCACACCTGTAATCCCAGCGCTCTGGGAGACTGAGGCAAGAGGACTTCGAATGCTAGCCCAGCCTAGGCAATTTAAAGACTGTCTCAAATTTTAAAAATGAAAAGGGCTGGGGATTTTAATTCAGTGGGAAGACCCTGGGTTTAATCCCAAGGCACACACGCACACATGCACTGTTCTGCTGGCTGTGAAACAGGACAAGTCACCCCAAAGTAGGTTTCCCGTGTTCTGAGGGCTCCCCATCCCACCCGCCACCGCCACTTCCCATATTCGTCTCCCCAGTGGGTGCAGAGGAAAGGGGAAGGACAGGCCTCTGCTTGCTGCTGGGGAACCCCGTGAATTCCCCCACCCAGGTTTCTGCTTGGTGCTTGGCTTTCTTGGGCTGGAGCTGTGGGAACAGGACAAGTCTTGGGCCTTTTTGCTGGGTCCCTGCCCCTTGGTGACACAGCTTCCCCATCTCCCACCTTGCAGTTCCTGAACCCCAGAGCAAGCAGAACTCTGGGAGGGAAGCAGCTGAAGACCAGGCCTGTGGCCGATGGGCAGTGGATGGCTGGACCCACGCCGGCTGCTGAGCTGGCTCTCTGTGCTGCTGATGGCAGAGGCAGCGTCCAGGGTGAGGGCCTCGTCCACAGGGGCTCCTCGGTTTCCTGCTGCAGGTGTCGTCTGGACCCCCACGGTGGATGTGAGTGTCCAGGGTGGAAGCCGGGGTTGGGAGGGGGCATTCATTCCATCAACAGGAGTTTATCAAGCATCTAGTTAGAGCCAGGCACAGAGCTGAAGCCTGAAATGTGCCAGGGAACAGTAGAGACTCCTTGCCGTCATGGTGATGAAGTAAATTTAAACTGGGTGCGGTGGTGTCTGACCATAATCCCAGCTACTTGGAAGGCGGAGGCAGGAAGATCTCAATTTTGAGACCAGCCTAGGTAACTTGATAAGACCCTGGCCCAACATACAAAAATAAAAAGGCATGGGAATGGTGGTGCACATCTGTAATCCCAGCTCTCTGGGAGGTTGAGCCAGGAGGAGCTCCACTTGGGCAATTTAGGGAGACCTGGTCTCAAAATAAAAAATTTTTAAAAGGTCTGGGGATGTAGCTCAGTGGTGAAGCCCTTCCTTAGCATGTGTAAGGCCTTGGGTTCCACCTTGCTCCTAGAAAGAAATGCAGAAGTAAACTTGAGCAAGCAGGTGCTGGCATGCTAAGTACCCTGTGGAGAGTAGATGAAACCAGGGGGATGGTGTGTCCAGCTACTGCAGGATGGGGTCTCTGGTGCCCTCTGTGACCCTGCACCCAGCCCTGCACAGAGACAGGAAGTCACTTAGATGCCTGGGGGAAGAGCCAAAGGGTGGCAAGTGCAAAGGCCCTGGGGCAGGAGCAAGCCCCATGTGCTTCTAGAACAGCCAGGAGGATAGAATGGCAGGGACTGGGTGACTGAATGGAAGACTGTTGGTGGAGAGGCACAGGTGGCCATATCACGAAGGCCTCTGGGGCTAAGCCTAGGAGGTGAGAATGATTTACATGGGTGTTTCGCAGCAGGATGCTGAAATTGATTTATATCTTTAAGTGACCTCTGGCTGCCGTAGGGAGAATGGATTGAGAGGGGAGAGGGGAGTGGCCAGGAGACCAGTGAGGGGCCTACCCCCATGGAGGTGAGGAGGCCAGAACAGAGAGGGAGGATTTGGAGTAAATGTTGCACCACAGGCAGGACCTCCTAATGGATTAGGAGAGCGTAGGGGGGAGAGAAAGTGGAGCCAGCCGGGTGTGGTGGTGCACTTGTAATTCCAGCACCTGGGAGGCTGAGGCAGGAGGATTACCGCTTGGGCTGCATGGAGAAACCCTGTCTCAGAAACCCCAAACAAACAAATAAAAGAGACATCCCTGGGGAGTCCCCTGCAGCAGGGGGCTGGGCTTTCCTCTGTGGCCTCAGGCAAGGGCGGGGGGGGGGAGCGGTGGATATGAAGGATATGAATCTGCCCACTCTGGCCAGGTTATCTGCCCACTCTGGCCAGGTTAAGTCCGGGTTATTAGCCAGCTGGGCCGGGGCTCACCAGTGCCACCCACAGTAGCTTGCACAGAGATGAGGACGCCAAAGCTCAGGGACACGAAGGTGGCCTCGAGGAGGTGGCCGGGCTGGGCTGTGGCCTGCGTCCTCTCTATCCTGCTGCCTCCCAGCAGTCGAGCAGCTGACCTTCTGCAGGTCCCACCACTGTCCTGGGAGCCCGGAAGCCAGGGGAGTTCAGGTCCTCTTGTTTGTTGAGACATTTATTGTTTGTTTGGTTTTTTTTGGTACCAGGGATCGAACTGGGGACCTTGCGCTTTCGAGGCAGGCGCCGGAACCACTGAGCTAAATCCCCGGCCCCATTGAGACATTTATTGAGCACCTATTGTGTGCCTGGGGATATCATGGTCCCTGCCCCTGAGGAGCTTATGCTCTTCATGAAGCAAATCAAGAAATAAATACACTGGGCTGGGACAGGAGGATCATGAGTTCAAGACCAGCCTGGGCTACGTAGTGAGCCCCCGTCCTAAAAATCCAAATAGAGAAGGAAGGAAAAAAGAAAAGGAAAGAAACCCACAGGATAACTTCAGCTGATAATGAACAAAACAAAACAGCGGGGGGGATGTGGTAGAAAGAGTTGGAGGGCCAGCTACTTTTGCTGTCTGAGGAGGTGGTGTTTTGAATCTGACCTGGATACTTCATGAAGATGTCGGGGAAGAGCAGTCTAGGCAGAAGGGCCTGCAGGTGCAAAGGCCCTGGGACAGGAGCAGAATGATATTTTTCACAGGCAAAATCCAGAAAGCATGGCAGGAGAGGTAACAGGGCCACATCGCGTAGGCTGTGTGGGGCCCTATACCAACTGGGGCTGTTCCTAGGGGTGGCACACAGCTGTGCCTATCATTTACAGTTTGTGGGCAGAGCCTGCCCTTTACATATTGCAGTTTCTTTCATGCTGTAATCAAGTCATGCATCCTGGAAAAGGGGAAATATTTGGCTCTCCATAGAAAAGATTTAGCCAGGTGTGATGGTGCAGGCCTGTAATCCCAACACACAGGAGGCTGAGACAGAAGGATCGACACAAGTTGGAGGCCAGCATGAACTACATAGCAAGACTGTCTCAAAAAACAAAACAAAACAAACCCACAAACTTGTTATCTTACAGTTCTAGTGGTCAGAAGCCATAATTGGTTTCTCAGGGCTGAAATCAAGGTCAGTGGCCCGGCTGGTTCCTTCTGGAGGATATATGGGGGAGCAGCCTCCCTGTCTTTCCCACTCTTGATGTGCACTTGGCCTTGAATTCAGTACATGGCCCAGGTTGGCCCTGAGCTCAGAATGATCCTCCTGCCTCAGCCTCCCAAGTACTGGGATCGAAGGCTCTTCCTCTTGTCCTTGGGATTCCCTTGGGCCGAGTCAATCCAGAATAATCTTCCTATCTCAAGTTCGTCAACTGAATCACAGTTGGCTATGGAAGGTGACGTGTTCACAGGTTCCGGGGATTTGGATCTTTGGGGCCCATCAATGACCTGAGCATGGCCCAAGAGAATGAGTCAGTTCTGTGACCCCCCCAGGGGCTACATTTGCATGAGGAGGTGGCCTTGGCTGTGGGTGACGACATCTGGGGACTGCATCTGGAGTATAAAATCCCAGTCCTTTCTTGATAGCTACTAACTAACAAGTGGAAAGATTCTTTGATTTCCTAGTTATTTCATTGTTCGCCGTTTCATGGAACCAGGAGACTTTGGCAGTCTGCATCCCACACTGGGCCATGGACATATGTGACATCAGGGTGTCAGTGGCCAGAGCAGGTCTGATGAAGCTGCAGTGCAGCTGAGGAAGCCGAAGCCCAGAGACATTAAGGGATTGCCTGAAAGTCACACAGCAAGCTGGTGGCCAAGCTGGGTCTCACCCACAGGGCTCCCCACTGCCCATCTGGCAGAGGCTGCAAAACGATGGCCATATCAGGTGTGGGCTCAGCTGGCTGCAGCAGTTTTCTTTCTCTCTGCAGAGAGTGTAGGGTGTTTGTAATCAGGCGTCTCAGTGAGGCCAGCAATTCCCAGCTCACCACAGCTCCCGTGGTCAGGATGCTTCCTCCCCTGCCTGGCTGTCTTCGGGTCTAGCCTGACCCCTGACCCTGCGGTGCTCAGGGATTCCCTGGGGCTGGGGAAGAGGAAGTGGGGCTCAGAGTGGACCACCTTCATCTACTGCACGGGTAGCTGGCCTGGGGTCTGGGGAGGGGACTTCCGGTACGGGGGCCGCTGTGGCAGGAAGTCGCTCCTGGAGGCCGAGGAGGCCCTGCCTTGCTGACTCATCCCTGTCGCCGGCTGGGGAGCGTCTCCTGGTCCTCCCTGGCTGACCCTGGAGACCTGGGGGAGGCAGGAGGGAGGGCAGGAAGTGAGAAGGAGCCAGAGGAAGAGGCTTCGTCGGATCCATTGAGCAATTTATTTCTACTGGAGCTGTGGCCAGTAACTGTCACCCAGAGCTAGCCCAAAGCCATTGGCATGGTGCTTTGTTGCCTTGGAACGGTCACTTTGGCTCTCTGTGTTGCTGTCTCCTCATCTTTGAAGTGGAAAATCTTTTTTTTTTTTTTTCCTGGTTACGGGGATTGAACTCGGGACCTTGCACTTTCGAGGCAGGCGTCGGAACCACTGAGCTAAATCCCTGGCCCTCTTAAAAATTAAAAAATTTTAGGACTGGGTAATGAACCCTGGGCCTTTGCACTGAGCTACATGCCCATCCCCAATCCCTTTATTTTGAGACGGGGTCTCACTAAATGGCTAAGTTGCCTGGGCTGACCTTGAACTTGCAACTCTCCTCCTTCAGCCTCCCAGAGTGCTGAGGTCACCGGCATGACCAATTTGAAGTGGAAACAACGGTGCCAAGCTCCTAGGCCTCTTAGGAAGACCCGGTGAGATGAAGCCACAAGGGTCCTTGTGTGCCAGACACTGGGCCACCAGGGCTTGGTGGGCAGGCGGAAGTTGAACAAGTCTATGACCCCACAGACAGCTGAGTGATTGCAAAACATGATCAGTGCTTTGTAGAAGACCTGGCCTGAAGGGGGTTGTGACAGCTTAATGCGTCTGACCTAGCTAGGCTGGGAGCAGTCTTGAGAGGGCTTCCTGGAAGAAATATGGCAGGCGCCAGGAACAGCTTCTGCAAAAGCCGCTCCTAGGTTTCTTGTTGCTGGTTTTTTGTGGTGCTCCCCAGGGCGCCCTACCACAGAGTCACACCTCAGCCCCAAGTGGTGCATTTTTAAAGCCCTTCTGCTAAGATTGGGGGTCAGGAGGCCAGGTGGGAGCCTCTTCGGGTTGGAGGTGGACAGAAGGGATGGATTCCAGTTTTAGAAAAATAGCCAGGTCTGGTGGTGTGCACACCTGGAAGGCTGAGGCGGAGGATTGCTGCAAGTTCAAGGCCATCCTGGGCTACATAGTGAGTACAAGAGCAGCCTAAATCACAGACCTCTGTCTCAATGTGTGTTTGGCCTGCTCCAGAGGCCCTGGTTTCAATCCCCAGCACCAAACAAACAAGTGCTAAATAAACAAAGCTAAATAGCATCACTGAAGCTGGTGGTGACTGAGCAGCCACATCCCAGACAGGAAGTGGTCCCAGGCAGCACCGCCTGCTTCCAGGTGATCTCGTCCCCCTGGGGCAAAGTCCAAGGTCTAGGCAGAGCCCAAGGCCTAGGCCGAGGGGTCATTCCTCTCTCCCTGTCTGGAAGCAGCCGGCTGGACTTGTGTTGTTGGGTAGAAGCTGGGGGCTAAGTGGGGCTGGGGAGTAGCAGAGATTTGGGACTTGCTTCTGTGTGATTTTCATTTTTGTTTTTTGCAATGTTAGAGATGGAATCCAGCACCTTATACATGCTAGGCAGTCACTCTACCACTGAGCTATACCCCCAGCCCTTTTTATTTTATTTCGAGACAAAGTCTCACTAAATTTCCCAGGCTGACCTGGAACCTTGCAATCTTCCTGCCTCAGCCTCCTAAAGAGTTGGAATCACAGGTATGTCCCACCGTGTCTGGCTGTGTATGCCATATTTGGTTTATTCAGCCATCCACTGATAAACACTTAGGTTGCTCCCAAACTCTTTGGCTGTTGCAAATAATGCTGCTGTAGGGCCAGGGATTTAGCTCAGTGGTTCTGCCATCTGCCCTGCAAGCACAAGGTCCTGAGTTAGATCCTCAGTACCAAATAATAATAATGCTGTGGACAGACAAACATCTCTGAGGCTTCTTGGGTGGATGCCTGGAAGTAAGAATGCCAGGTCAGCTTTTGAGGAGCTGCTGTCCTGTTGTCCACAGCCATTCCCACCAGCAGTGCACAAGGGTTCCAGCTTCTCCACATTTACGGACATTTGTTGTCTGGGTTTTGTGGTTGCTGGGGATGGAACTCAGAGTCACTAAGCTGCCCCAGGCTGGCCTCAAACTTGGAACTCTCCTCAGCCTCCAAGGAGCTGGGATTACAGATGTGCACCACCATGATGGCTTGCTTTTCTGTCTGTATACTTGTCTTCCATATTCGTGCCCAGGCCTCTCTGGATCTGCTTCTAGAGGCTCCCGGACTAAAAGGTCCTCAGACTTTTCTCTTTCACTTCTAGAATTGTCTCTGAGAGCCCCATGTAAGGAATTTCACTGTGGCAACATTGTGAAATGAGTCACACTCACACGGTCACCGCAGGGAAATGCATATCTCCATTGTGTATCCTCAGCATTTTTTGGAAACAGGATCTCGCTATGTAGTTCAGGCTGGCCTTGAAGTCACTATGTATATCCCAGGCTGGCCTTGAATTTACAGCAATCCTCCTACTTCAGCCTCCTCCCAAGTGCTGGGCTTACAGGTGTGTGCCACCACACCTGGCCTCCTCCGCATTTTTTTTTTTTTTGCAGTATGAGGGATTGAACTCAGGACCTTGCACTTGCCAGGAAGGCACTGCGCCACTGAGCTACATCCCCGAACCCTCCTCAGCATTTTGAAGAGCAGCATGAAAGCCATGGCTGCTTTGACAGAAAACACTGCAGGCAGGCAGGGGAGAGCCTTAGGAGCCCGGCTTCCTGGGAGGCTGAGACAGGAAGATCCCCTTTGAGCCCAGCCTGGGCAATTTGGTGACTTAGAGAGACTCTGCCTCAAAAAATAAAAAAGGACTGGGGATATAGCTCAGTGAAAACGTTCTGGGGTCAATCCCCAGTGCCACAGAAACAACAAGAACAGCAACTCCAGCTGGGCAAAATGGCACACACCTGTTGTCTTAGCACTTGGGAGGCTGAGGTAGGAGGATCATAAATTTGAGGCCAGCGTGGGCAGCTTAGTAAGACCCTGAACCCAAAACAAAAAGCCCCGTGTGGTGGTGCACGCCTGTATTCTCAGCACTCAGGGGGCTGAGGCAGGAGGATTGCTGCAAGTTCGAGGCCAACCTGGGCTACATAGAAGACCCTGTCTCAAGAAACCAAACCAACCAACCAAATGAAAACAACAATAACAACAACAAACAGCAGCCCTAGCACTTCCAGCTTCCTGGGTTCCAATGTGACTGCCCCTGAGTGGACCCTGGGGCTTGGCCATAGTCTCTTCCACTGTATAGTGAGCCCAATAGCAGCAACTTCCTGGAAAGTGTGTTGGGCAGATTAATTCACATACATTTTAAACTCATAGCACTGCTCAGTATGTTTAGGCTTATATTATGTGTTTATGTTATGTATATCAATATATGACAGGCAAAATGTAAAAGCTAATTGCAGAAACAAGAGATTTAAGATGGGCCAGAGGCTGTAGTTCAGTGGTAGAGCACTTGTCTAGTTTGTATGAGGCCTTGGGTTCCATCCCCAGCATAAGGAAAAAAAAAAGAGAAATATAAGGTGAACTCTTTTTTCCCCCCATATTGGGTATTGGACCCAGGACTTTTGCATTGAGTTACATCCTCAGTATTTTTTTAAAAAGATTTTTTTTTAAATTTTGAGTCAGGGTCTTGCTATGTCGCTAAGTTGTCAAGGCTGGGCTCGAACTTGTGGGTCCTCCTGACTCAGCCTCCCAGAGTGCTGGGATTACTGAATAGTAGGGTTTACATACAAATGTATAGAACTGAGAAATGTCTGTAAGGATGTGCTTCAAACTGATCATGGTGGGAGGCCTGAGGAACAGTGAGAGATTATGGAAGGCAGAAATGAGAAGGGAAAATTTAGAAATCTTGGGCTGGGGATGTAGCTCACTGGTGAAGAGAGCTACATCCTTGCCCAGCATACATGAGGCCCTGGGTTCTATATCCAGCTCTGCAAAAACACACCACAGCAACAACAAATTTTTTTTTAAAAAATCTGCTGAGCAATGTAGTGAGACCCTGTCTCAAAATGAAAAAGGGCCAGGGATATAGCCCAGTGGTACAGTGTCCCTGAGTTGGATCCCCAGGACCAAAAAAAAATAATAATAAAAGAAAGAAAAAAAGTATGTCTTTTGAAAGAAACTTGAGTGCATGAATTACTTGTGTAAATGTCAAACACAAGTTTTGTTTGGTTTTTGTTGTTCCTCATTTTTTTGAGACAAGGTCTTTCACTGTGTAGTTCAGGCTGGCCTTAAACTTGGGGATCCTCTTGTCTCAGCCTCCCAAGTAGTTGGGATTACAGGTGAGAACCACCACTCCTGGCCACAAACTTTTTGTTGTTGCTTTGGGGTTGTTTTGATTTGGTACGAGTTGGGAGCAATGCTACATAATTCTAGGGAAAAATCATTTGAGTCGGCCTAGTTCTCCTGCCTACATTCCAGACATAGTTGCATTTTGGCCTCAGGTCACAACTGAGACCTCGGTGATCCCCCGAGGTTGTCCTGCTCCAGGACAAGACCACACCTGCTGGAGAGGCCAGGGAGGAACCAAATCTTCATCTGCATAGTTCCTCATCGTTCTTAGATTTCCACTGGCCCCCAGTCTTTTTACACCTTGTTTATCCCAATGTAAAGTACTGAACTCTGCACTTTCACTTGTTACATCTGTTTCCCCATGGACTGAATAAAAAGTGCTGCAAGCTAGGGGGCTTTTGTCTTTGCTGCCCAGAGCAGCACTGATCAGACCCAAAGCTCAGCTTCTTCTCCTTTGTCTACCTTTCCTGTAATTCGCCGTGTGCTGCTGTGGCTCGCAGGAGACTAGGACTCACTGCAGAGGTTCTGGTAACCACCCTTCCCCTGTTCCCTACAGGTACGGTTTGGGTTTTTTGAGACATGGTCTTGCCTATGTAGTTCAGACTGGCCTTGAACTCTCTGTGTAGTCCAGGCTGGCCTTGAAATCAATATCTAGCCCAGGGTAGCCTTGAACTCAGAGATTCTCCTGCCTCAGCCTCCCAAGTGGTGTGACTACAGCTGCCCACCACCTCACCTGGCCACAAGATTGTTTTTAAAAATAAAACTGTCCAGTTGGTACTTGGAGGGCTCGAGGAGCTTGGGGACAGGCTGAAGGGAGTTTGTCCAATTGCTTACATGGGTCTGATCCGCCAGCCCTGGGCACTCTGTCCCTGACATCCTCTCCCTCCTTGCCCGCAGTGTCGCAGCGTGTGCGGCCTCAACGTCTCTGACCGCTGCAGCTTCATCCGCTCGAACCCCAACTGCCACAGCAACAGTGGCTACCTGGACTACCTCGAGGGCATCTTCTGCCACTTCACGCCCAGCCTCCTGCCCCTGACCATCACCCTCTATGTGCGTTCCCGCCCAGGAGCTGGGGAGAGCTGCGTGTGCCCAGCCAGGGACTCACCTGTCCCCTTCCTTCCCCGCCCAGGTCCTGTGGCTGCTGTACCTGTTTCTGGTTCTGGGCGTCACCGCGGCCAAGTTGTGAGTTGGGCTCTGGATTTGGAGAACACGGGGCAGGGCCAGAGTCTGTGGAAGCCCTCACTGTCCACTTTTCCTCTGCAGCTTCTGCCCCAACTTGTCAGCCATCGCCACCACCCTCAAGCTGTCCCACAACGTGGCAGTATCCTTCGGCCTGGGCTCCCACTCCCCGCAGGGCGCAGGCACAGGGGAGGCTGGGTACAGGGGTGGCTTGTGGCCCAGTGGGGCCCCTGCACGAATCCCTCCTTGACCCGATCCCCATGGTGTCACCTTCCTGGCCTTTGGGAACGGCGCCCCTGACATCTTCAGCGCCCTGGTGGCTTTCTCAGACCCGCGCACGGCCAGCCTGGCCATTGGGGCCTTGTTTGGTGCGTGTGGCCCGGCGGGTGGGGGCCTGGTGGGTGGGGGTGCAGGGTGCCAACCTGGCCGCTGTCCTCCAGGTGCCGGCGTGCTGGTCACCACCGTGGTGGCCGGAGGCATCACCATCCTGCGCCCCTTCCTGGCCGCCTCTAGGCCCTTTCTCAGGGACATCGCTTTCTACCTGACGGCCGTGTTCCTCACCTTCACCGCACTCTACCTGGGCAGGGTCACGCTGGCCTGGGCCCTGGGTGAGCCGCAGCTGCTGGGCTGGGGTTCAGAAAGCAGGGCGCCCTGCGCAGAGGGTAGACACACAGCAAGGGACGCTGAGACCCAGTGCAGAGAAGGAGGGCTGGGGAAGGGACCGGGCCTGAGCTGAAGCCTCCCAGGACACCGCCTGCCAGGCCCCAGGGCAGGGAGGGTACCAAACTGTGTCCTGCCACCCCTGCCCAGCCCGGAGGTCTCCTGGATGCTGGGTTTCAGGGCCGAGGCAGGCGGAGGAAGGAGCGGGGGCTCAGGCCGAGACCCCGCACGTCAGCCCCTGTGCCCGGGCCCTTCGGCCAGGACACTGCTTGGTGACACATGCACCATGTCACAGCCTACCTAGGCCTGTACGTGTTCTACGTCCTCACTGTGATCCTCTGCACCTGGATCTACCGATGGCAGTGCAGGAGATCCCTGGTCTACTCCATGCCGGGGACACCAGGTGAGGGGAGAGGACAGCACCCCTCTGCCACCCACGGCCCTGGAGGTGTTGCTGCCCCAACTCGGCATCCCAGCCTGGTCCCCTCTCTGCTTTGTCTATGCCAACAGCTTCCCCTCCCTCCAGCAGGGTCGTGGCTCCCCCTCCACTTGACAGCAGGGTGACCCAGCTGAGGGAATACAGGCACACACACAAATACACAAATATACAAATACACAATACAACAAACAGTCCACAACACACAAATACACAGTATACACTTGCACAGATATGTACAACACAATATAATATGTGCATGTACACAGACAATACACAGCAAACACTTAGGCAGAAACAAATCCATGCACTCACAAACATCTACACCAGCCAGGTGTGGTGCCACACGCCTGTAATCCCAGCACTTGGGAGGCTGAGGCAGGAGGATTGCTTTGAGTTCAAGGCCAGCATGGGCTACATAGCGAAACCCTGTTCAAAAAAAGGAGCCTGGCCAGCACAGTGCTGGGGGACCTGCCTTAAACCCCCTTCATCCCCTGCCGTCTCCTGCAGAGCTGCTGTCGGACTCGGAAGAGGACCCCATGTCTTCAAATACCAGCAGCTATGACTATGGTGAGGCTGGGCCTGGGTCCTGCTGGGGAGAGGACATGGGGAGTTCAGCTACCTGGGCCGGGGTTTCTGCCTTCTACAGGGCACTGGGAAGAGGGGTGCGGTGGGCAGAGGGCACCCTGCAGAAGCAGCCAGCCCTGCCACACCCTCCGTCCATGCACACAGGTGACGAATACCGGCCATTCTTCTACCAGGAGACCACAGTGCAGATTCTGGCCCGGGCCCTGAACCCCCTGGATTCCCGGAAGTGGAGAAGCCAGTCGGTGTCCTGGAGGGTCCTCAAGGTGCTCAAGGTATGAAGAGGACCTGGAGCCAGATTCCCGGGTGGCCTCCTCCCCTGCTCCAGCTCTGCTCGTCTCTCTCAGACCTTATGATGGGAGGGAGTTGCTCGCTAGCCTAGACCCCCGGGGGGGTATTTTAGGCCTCCTCAGTCTCAGGAGCAGTGGTGAGCAGTGCCTGCACCCCACAGTAGGTCTGGCTACACTGACCTTGGGCACATCACTCAACCTCTCTGGGCCTCAGTTTCCTCCCTGTAAGACAGTGATAATGGTACAGTGTTGTGCTCTGGAGTGGTTGTATTAGACAGTTACTGCTGAAGTGATGCTGGGTAACAAATATGCCTCCTCCATCATATAGATTTTTTTTTTTGGTAATACTGGGACTTGAACTCAAGGGTACTCTACCACTGAGTTCCATCCCTAGCCCTATTTATTTTATTTTTTTTATTCATTTATTTTTTTGGTACCAAGGATTGAACTCGGGTCCTTGTGCTTGCACAGCAGGTGGCAAAACCACTGAGCTAAATCCCCGGCTCCCTATTTATTTTTGAGACAGAGTCTCACCAAGTTGTCCAGGCTGGCCTTGAACTTATGATCCTCCTGCTTCAGCCTCCTGAGTACCCGGGATGACAGGTGTGCACCACCATGCCCAGCCCAGTCTCACTGATGTATGATGACAGTGATTTTCCTCACCTGAGCCAATATGAATAGACAAGGGTGACTCTAAAAGTTCAGACCAGCAGGGCATAGTAGTGATGCATGCCCATAATCCCAGAACTTGGGAAGCTCAGCAGGAGGATGGCTATGAGTTCAAGGCCAGCCTGGGCTACATAGTGAGACCCTGTCTCAAAAAAAAAAAAAAAAAATTCAGACTGGCTCATGGTTCAGGTCTGCCTGTGTCTCCTTCTTGGGGCCAGGAGGCACCTGTTCTTTCTGGGTAGCAGAGGCCACAGCAAAGGATCTCGTTCTGTCCCAGGCTGGCCTTGAAATTGGGATCCTCCTGCCTCAGCCTCCAAAGAGCGCTGGGATTGCAGCATGTGCCACCACGCCCAGCTTTCTTACTCATTTAGATATTGGCTAAATACACAGGGTGCGGAGTCAGAGAGCTAGGTCTGTATTCCAGCTGCCTGTACCCCGCTGTGTGGCTGGGGACAAGATCCTTAACCTCTCTGGGCTGTTTCTGGATTACAGCTGCTGTTCCTAGGTGCTTGTCAGGGCTAGCGTGTGAGCAGGGCAACATCGGCCCTCCGAGGACACGGCCCTCCGAGGACACCCAAGTCCAAATCCTAGGACCCAAACACACTGCCTGATGTGGCACAGGGCACTCTGCACGTGATTAAGGGTTTTGAGGTGGGGGCCTCCCCTGGATTTCTGGGTCGGCCCAGTGTAATCAGGGCGTCCTCGCTGGGAAAGAGGGAGGCAGGAACCAGGCACACCTGTAACCACTACCCCAGAGGCCGAGGCAGGAGGATCCCAAGTTCAAGCCCAGCCTGGGCATCTTAATGACTTACTGAGACCCCGTCTCAAAATACAAACTAAGAAGGGCTGGGGACGTGGTTCGGCACTCTCTGGCTTCAGTCCTCAGTATTGTAAAAAATAAAAATAAAAAAGCGTGATGGAGGGTGAAGGCAGGGCTAAGCCAGCAACTGAAGGACCGTCTTAAGGGAGCGGCGCCCCCTGGAGGCCGGGAAAGGCAGGGACGCTCTGTTCGCATCCTGGTGCAGCCCCACGTCCCGACGTGGGGTGGGCTCTGAGGAGGCCCCGCCCCGCCCGCCCGTGCAGCTGCCGGTGGAGTTCGTGCTGCTCCTCACCGTGCCGGTGGTGGACCCGGACAAGGACGACCAGAACTGGAAACGGCCGCTCAACTGTCTGCACCTGATCGTCAGCCCTGTGGTCGTGGTCCTGACGCTGCAGTCGGGGGCCTGTGAGTACCCCCGGGGCACGGAGGCCAGGGCGGGGCCTACAGCAGGCGCTTCACACCCGTGTGGTGCAGTGCGCACGCTCGGGAGGCCGAGGCAGGAGAATCACAGCAAGTTCCAGACCGGCCTGGAATACATAGTGAGACCCTATGTCAACAAACCAAGCTAAAACAACAAAAATACACAATATCGTCAGCATTTGGCTTCTGTGGGCCTGGGCCAAGTACCTGGAGCTGCCTCTCTGTTCACAGACGGCGTCTATGAGATCGGTGGCCTCGTGCCCGTCTGGGCTGTGGTGGTGGTAGCCGGCACCGGCCTGGCGTCTGTGACCTTTTTTGCCACCTCCAACTGGGCGCCCCCCAGGCTCCACTGGGTAAGAGCCCTGCGCTCTCTGGAGGGCACCGTGGGGCCGGGACCACTTCCCCCCGCCCCGGCGGAACCAGACCTAAACCCCGTGGAGGGCTTCGAACCTGCTCGGGGCTCCCTACTGAGGTGACTCGCAGTCCCACAGTGACCGCAGGACATTTATTTATGTGCCCTCGAGACACTGGTGCTGCTCAGCACTTCCTCCCAAGGCCCAGACCCTGGGAGCCCGCTTCTGTCCATGTGGATTTGGCCATCTGGGACATGGCAGATTAATGGAATCATATGGAATGGCCTTTCGTGTCTGGCTTCCTTCACTTACAATATTTTCATAGCTCATCTATGTTGTAGCATGGGTCAGTCCTTCATTCTTCCTTTTTTGTTTTTGAGACAGGGTCTTTCTGTTAGCCCAGGCTGGCTTTGAACTCAGAGACTCCTGTTTCAGCTTCCTACTTGCTGGGACTACAAGCCTGCATCACCACACCCAGCACCTTTTGTGTTTTGGCAGGTGGGGCTGCTGAGGATCGAACCCAGGGCACCACACATGAGGCCAGTGCCCTGCCACTGAGCTCACCCCAGGCCCTTTTGTTCCTTTTTGTGCCAAGTGACTTTCTGTTGTACAAACACGCCATGGGTTGTTTGTCTTTCCATCTGTCTGTGGACATTTGCTTTTGTTCACTTTTTGGCTGTTATGAACAAGTACTCCTGTGAATATCTGTCTACATTTTCTTGGGTGGAGCCAGGCATGATGATGTACACCTATAATCCCAGCACTCTAGGAGGCTGAGGCAGGAGGATTGCCGTGAGTTTGAGGCCAGCCTGGGCTACATAGTGAGTTCAAGGCCAGTCTGAACTACATAGAACCTGTCTCAAAAAAAAGGAAGAAAAGAAAAACAGTATCTTGCTAACCTTTAACTGAGCACATATTATATGTGAGCACCAGTTGTATATATCAGCTCATTCTGTGCTGTCAGCTACCTGGGCAGGGGTGGGGGGGTAGGAACTGTATCCTTCTTACTGAGGAGGAGCTGAAGCTGTGCCCAGTGGGCTAGCCCTCGGCCCACCTGATGCCCATCCCTCCGCAGCTCTTTGCTTTCCTGGGCTTCCTGACCAGTGCCCTGTGGATCAATGCAGCTGCCACGGAGGTGGTGAACATCTTGCGGTCCCTGGGTGTTGTCTTCCAGCTGAGCAACACGGTCCTAGGGCTTACGCTGCTGGCCTGGGGAAACAGCATTGGAGGTGACTTGGGGCTGGGTTGGCCCCCGGGGGTGGCACCATCACAATATGTCTCTCCAGTCCCCGAGCCAGAGCTACAGCTGGGTCTACCCTCAGAATGTGCCAGGGGCCCACTGTCATTTTAGAGCCCCTCGTGCTTGATGTGTCCATGGGTGTGTAACAAACAGGGATTCACACATCCACACATAAACACTTGTCTAGCTCCAGCAGCCAGGCACCATTGGCCAGGCTGTGCACTGCCCCAGAGCATCCAGGTAAGGAGACAGGGAGACTAAATCCTAGCCCTTTTTCTGCTTACCTTTTGGGCAGTTTCCTAATCCACAGAGAGGTGCTGTAAGTGCTAGCAGCAGAGGGGGCTTGTGTAAAAAATTGGTAGCTATACTTTGTACCACACCCAGAGTTGCTCCTGGCTAGTGCCAGGCCCAGGCAGCCTTTGGGCCAGGGAAGCCACCCGCCACTCAAGGCCTCTTCCCTGCAGATGCCTTCTCGGACTTCACGCTGGCCCGCCAGGGTTACCCAAGGATGGCGTTCTCCGCCTGCTTCGGCGGCATCATCTTCAGTATCCTTTTCAGGGCCACACGCAGTGACAGGGAATCTTGGCATCTGGCCTTGGTGTGTGGCGCTGTCACAGCCAGGCATGGTGGCGCATACCTGGAATCCGTGCACTCTGGGAGGCTGAGGCAGGAGAACTGCAGGTCGGAGCCCAGCTTGAGCAATTTAGTGACTTAGTGAGACCCCTGCCTCAAAAAAAAAAAAAATTCAAAAAGCCAGGGGTGTAGCATATAGTGTGAAGGCCCTGGGTTGGATCCCCAGTGCTGCAAAACAAACAGGGACACAATGATAAATGAAAAGGTGGGACTCTGTTTGCTAGTTTGGCCCAGGGGCTGTTTGCCATCCCGGTTTGCATAGGAAAGCCAGGGAGAGCTAGCATCTCAGAACCTGCAGGGGCTTGGCCAAACGAAAGGAGGCACAGCGCCCAGCGGTCTCCAGCACACGTCAGGTATGCAGGGGCAGTGCCCATCAGTGGCTACTAAATACAAACTCCAGAGGCGATGCCAGCAGCTGACCAGTGACATGGTTCTGGCTAGCCTGTGTGACACTCCCAGGCCCAGGGGACCCTTTGTGGCAGCTTCAGGGCTGTGGCCTCTCCTCACCACTTGGGTTGGGTGGGACAGAGGGGCCCTGGGCAACTCTTGGGGTTGGCGGGCTGGCGGTGACCCACGTGTGTCAGGATCTCACTGAGTTCAAGACTTCAAGGTTGAGTTCAAACCCACTACGTAGCCTAGGAACTCTGGATCCTCCTGGTTCAGCCTCCTGAGTACTGGGACTATGGTTGTGCACCACGGTGCCTGGCTGGTGCCAAGCACCTTGTTTGATCAACACCCACTCAGGCCACCCCTAGATCTGGTCTCCCGGGTGGGGCATTGGAGGGGCGGGCAGTGGGCACAGCCAGGCTCCTCTTGGGGGAGCCCCAGGGCCAAGGCTGAGCCCAGCAGGAGGGGCTGTGGCCCCATCAGATTAGGGCAACTGCTCCGCTAAGTTTCCTGAGCCTCCCGAAGATCTCCTGGTGGGCGTGGGGCTGGGCTGTCTGCTGCAGACTGCCCGGGGCAGCCCGGAGGTCAAGGTGAGTGGCATCAGTGGGGAGGGGGGGCTCTTCTGTCTCCTCCCACCTCACCCCCTGGGACCCTTCACATCTCATGGTGAAGGGACCTTGTCTGAACTTGTGACAAGTCTGCTTTGTAGAAAATTGAAAATAGTTTGCAAAGAACTGAAAACAATGTATTTCTTGCAAGTTGACTTACGAAAACTCCAAGCGGGAGGGACCTGGCAGGTATGGAAATGTGGGGGATTCTCAGAGTCTCCTGCAGCCAGATGAGAGACGAAAGCAAGACTCTTCGGTGAACTTTATGTTCTCACGTGTGGCACAGGGCAAACCAAACCTGTGCATCGCAGATTGGACCCCAGGCTGCAAGCTGGCTGTCCCGTCCCCAGCACAAGCTCTCTTCTGCAGGACCTCAATCCAGACAGACTGAAATGGATTAAGCCCAGTGAAGTGGCCTAGGGGCTGGTTTTAAGCCTCCCCAGGCTACAGCACTTTGACTATTGGGAGGCTCAAAGACGGCTGGCTGATTGATTAACGGGGACAAAGTCACCAAGAGGCATCCAGGTCCAGAATAGACCCCGGGTGGCGGAACTGGTAATTACCCAGATTTACATGGGCCACGCCCACAGGCAAATAGCTACCTAGAGCTTGAAAAGTTTGCTTTTTCTGAAAGGTAAACACCCTCTGCCAATGCTGTTTACACTCTTTCCGGCCTAATAGGTCCCTTTTCATTAGGGATTCTAAAGGCAATTCCAAATAATGAGGCTTTAGAGCCCCCACTGCTATTCTTTTATGGTGTGCATACGTGTGCATTTCCACACCTTGGTGGGGAGCTGAGGATGCTCTGGAGGTTAAATTACCTAAGGCAGATGTGAGACACAATGCAGTCGATGTCCATGGTGACTGCTGGTTGAAAAACACAATTTGCTTTTTTAATTTAATTTTTATTATTTATTTACTTGAGAGAATCTCACTAAGTTGCCCACACTGGCCTGGAACTTGCCATTCTCCTGCCTCAGTCTCCTGAATTCTGGGGTTACAGGTGTGCCCCGCCAGACCCAGCTAAGTCAAGTTACACTCAGGTCTGGCTTGACATGAATTTGTCATCTAGAAGCCCCTACCTGGAACCTCCGGCCCTGCTCCTCAGCCCCCCAACCCTAGGGTCTGGGAGTTGGCATGGGTGCCAACCTTGCCCATGGAGGCAGTGTCTGCTTTATGTGACAGCAGCACAAGGGCCTTCACAGGGCCTGGCATGCAGCAAGCTCTAAATAGTTGCACAGCAGCGCAGCCACCTTCCTTCAGAACCCACACACTTGCTCAGGTTCATCGTGAAGACTCCAACACAGGACATGGGAAAGGATCAGAGTGGGCCACGAGCTCCCCCTCCACTCTGCTGACACCTCGCTGCCCTACTTTACCATCTGTCCCCATTCATCCGTCTGATTTTCTGATAAACTTCACTAAAGTTCCAGCCCAGGTTGGGCCACTGAGTGGCTTAGCAATACCCTGTCTCAAATAAAAAAGGCCTGGGGGCCTAGCTCAGTGCAGAGGCTCTGGATTGTCCCCAGGATCAAAACCAAGCCAAGCCGATGGAATTGTGTTTCCATGGCACCCAGTGGAGGCCGGGAGAAGCAGGCGGGTGAACAGTTCAGGTAGACGGGGCTTGCCGCTGTGTTGCTCAAGTCTGGAAGTGCAGTGGCAGGCTACGTCCAGCGTTGCCCCAGCCAGGAATCTGCTGGCCACAGCCCTCTTGTTCCCTGCAGCTGGAGCCTGACGGACTGCTGGGCTGGGTGCTTGCTGGCGCCCTAGGCCTCAGCCTCACCTTCTCCCTGATCGCTGTCCCGCTGCAGTGCTTCCAGCTCAGCAAAGCCTACGGCGTCTGTCTGCTGCTCTTCTATGCTGCCTTCCTCGTCGTGGCCCTGCTCACGGAATTCGGGGTGATTCACCTGAAAAGTGTGTGACTGAAGCCACCCAGTGTGTGGCCCTGGGATTGAGGGGGTCCCCATGGCCTCCTGAAGGCAGAACAGGACATGCTCCTGCGGTTGCTCTCGCTGCCAGAGCTCGGGAGCCACCAGTGTCCCCTTGGCTACCAGCAGCCACAGCCCCACTGCTGGGCCAGGGGTCTGCTCAGCAGGGCCGTGTGCCCATGGGCTGAACCCCTGGAGCAAGCTGAGCCCCTCTGAGGAAGCTGGAGTTGGGGCAGCAGGTGGCCACGGAGGTCAGCCCTGCCTCCTCCCACGCTGGCTTCTGGCTGCCTGCACAACCCTGGCAGAGTCAGGGGGACTCGGACTGAGGGCCCAGGACAAGTTCTAGAGCCCCCCAGGTGAGCCACATCATCGAGAATTTCTAGGGTTCATAAACCAAGAAAAACAGGAGATGGCCGCCAACACCTGTCGCTGGACAGCGGCTCCAAGACCTCGCTGGGGCAGCCACGTGGCCAGACAGTGGCTCTGGACGGTCCTTAGAACCCTGAGCCCAGAACCCCGGGTCCCCGGCTGCAACACAGGAGTCTGCTTACCTCAGCGTGCGGGGTGGCCCTGCCTTTCAGTACTTCGCTCCTTTGCCTTCCGTTGTCTGTAAAGGGATTTGGTGTTTTCTAAATAAAGTATTTCCAGTGCTCAGGAAGTAGCTATCCTGACTCTTAACCAGTTCTTTACTGGGGCCAGGGGAGGGGTGCTGAAGGCAGGGGTGAGAAGGGCCATGATGGGCCCCCCACCATATAAACTGGAAGTCATGAGGCGGCAGCCACGTCTACAAAGCACAGGCTCTTTTATTATTAACACGCCAGAGATCCAGAGTCACAGTGGGTTTCTATGTAGCAAATCACCAACATACAAAATCTTACAGCGTTGCTCCCGAGGTCTGTACAAAATGATTGTCCGCGTGGTGTGAAGTAAGGCTGGGGTGGGGGGAGGAGGGGCTGCTGTCCTCCCTGAAGCGCCACGGCCTGTGGGGAGGGCACAGTGCCACTGCCGCCCTGGACAGGCTGTGACCAGGGGTCTGCAGCAAGCTTCGCCTGGTCCTGCTCAGCTGCGACGTGGGGGCGTGGACATCTGAGCTAGATGACATCCCTCGGCCTGGGGCGACACCTGGTGTCAGTGGCCTGTTGACAGTGCTCATCACTGGCTGGAGTCTGCCCCCCCAACGCTACTGCCACCGTGTGTCTGTCTGGTCCTGACCAAGACCAGGCCGGGGACAGAAGGGTGGACTAGCGCCCCCAACAGCACCGAGAATCCCTGGCTCTGTGGGCCAGATGTGCAGGTCTCGGAACCACGACCCCTGGCGAGGCTGCCCCCCCCAGGCCCATTCCAATACATAAAAGGAAAAGGCACCTGGATGTGCAAATAAGGTTCCCTCTCTGGAGAGCAGAGCTCTGGCCCTGCTCTGTTGAGTTCCTGCGGAGGCCAATGGCCCTCAAGAGAGGACGAGGACCATGTCCTCTCCTGACCACCCTGGGAAACAGTGTTTTCCCCAAGGGCTGTACTGAAAACTTGGGACACCCACTCCTCCCTGCTGCAGGGAGAGGGCGCCCAGCCGGCTTCTGGACTAGCCTGGCCCTGGGGTGCTGGAGGGGTTGGGACTGGGACTGCTCCCCTGGAGGCTCTGCCCACCTGGCGGCTGTCCCTCAACTCCACCCTGCGCCCCCTGTCCTACCTTGGCCACACAGATGGCCCACGAGGTACGGGGCACTTGGTTAGTTGGGGGTCGGCCTGAACCTCCTTCTGCAATAACCAATCCTGCCACGGAAAACTCCAGGGTGGGATGAGTCCCCACCATAGCCGCAGCAGGCGTCCCAGCAGTGGCTCCCATCCCCAGTGCACACAGCAGAAGGTCCATTGCAGGAAGAGGACCTGGTGCAGGAGGCCCAGGCAGGAACTGCTCGTATCTTCTCTATCCGGCACTTGGGTCCTGCAGGAGGCTGTTCCAGGAGGATTTCTGGCCACAAAGGCTAAACTAAAGTACATAGAGAGAAGGCTCACAGAGGTGGGACTGAAATGGGTCAACGGCACCTCTTGTCTGCGACTGGCTGCCTGCACCTGACCACTCTCTATGATCTGTAACCTCACTCTCCAGCTTCCTCCCCCAGAGGGACATCCATCCTGTTACATTATCATCTGAGAAATACCGCCACGGTGGGGAGTTCTTTCCTTCCTACTGGTAAGTGGTTTTGTCCCAAAAGCCAGGCATATGCCCGTGGCAAGGTCACAGGGTTAGTAGGAGCTCTGGGTGCGCAGGCCTGGAAGCAGCAGCAGGAAGCCCTGCCTGGCTCAGCCCTGTGGGGTTGGCCCCTTGCAGGCTGTGCCTGTGGCCTCAAGGAGACAGGGCCAGGTGACTGACTGCACGGTGCCTGCTAGTCTGCTCTCGCTGTGTATAAACATGTGCATATATATGCGCGTGTGCTGACGCGGTCTTCCGATACACGGCAGGAAGAGAATACTACTGTGTTATTGCATAGAAGAGATGGCTTCCCGAGCTGGCGCTAGGTGATGGTCTGCGAGCGCTGGCGGCTGCCAGGAGGCTGCTGGGTGGTGGGCACAGTGCCACTGCTGCTGAGCTGCTGCCGCTGGGCCTCCTGCTCCCGAGCGTGCTCCGTGTACCACTCCTAGGGGCAGAGCGTGGCGGGCTGAGGGCGGCCTTCCCTGACGGGCCATGCTGTCTCCACAGCTCCCTCTGCCCTCAGTGGGGTTGCCTCGGAGGCAGAGCCACCGGCCCAGCCCACAGGACTGAGCAGGACTGGGCCCCAGTGTGGAGCAGTGAAGCCTCTTCTCTGTACCCGAGGGTCAGCACCCCTGCTGGTGAAGGGTGCCTGGCACACATTGTCTCTCTTATTCTGAGACGGCCTCAATATGCTGTCCAGGCTGGTTTCAAACTTGTGGCCCTCCTGCCTCAGCCTCCTGAGTAGCTGGGATTATACTACCACGTCTGGCTCATGTCATCTGTGTAATCAGAGATGACCACAGAGCTTCAGAGCTTAAAGAATACTTCAAGCTAGACATGGTAGCACACACTTGTGATCCCAGCATTCAGGAGGCTGAGGCAGGAGGATCGCTATGAGTTTGAGGCCAGCCTGGGCTACATAAGTGAGTTTAAGGCCAGCCTGCACTACACAGTGAGACCCTGTCTCAAAAAACAAACAAACAGGGCCAGGGATTTAGCTCAGTGGTTCCGCCACCTGCCTCACAAGCACAAGGTCCCGAATTCAATCCCCGGTACCAAAAAAAACCACAAAACCAAAAGTTCAGCCAAGCATGGTCGCACCTCCCTGTCATCCCAGCACTCAGGAGGCTGAGACAGGAGGATCTGGAGACTGAGGCATGCCTGACCTATATGTCAAGTTCAAGGCCAGCCTGGACTACATAATGAGAACTTTGTCTCAAAAAGACAGACACACACATGAGAAAAAAGAACAGAGAGGATTTTCAACATGGTGGCCAATATGGAGAGACAGGGAGACTGCCAGGGAAAATACTTGACATCTCTCTTCTCTTAAGACAAAAGCCCCAGAAAATCACGGCACCTAAGTGGCCGGGCGCAGTGGGGCTCAGTCCTTCCGGAAAGTGGGGCACGGCTGCCAGCTCTGGCACATCCTCCCAGACGGCCAGGGCCCAGCTCCTCTCGGTCTCTCCCGAACCCTGCTGTAGTAGCTTTGCCTGCAGCTTGGCTCAGAGCGGGACATGAGGTGCTGCAGGGCCGAGGGGCCACTTGGGGTGGGAGAGCCAGCTCCCCCAGGGCAGAGCCAGGCTCTGAGACGGAGCAGGTCTGGCCCGAGTCCCAGGTGCCCCTGCAGTGTGCCCAGCGATATCTCTGCATCTCTGGGGGAGCAGGGCCTACCTGGATCTCCTCCTGGTACATCTTCAGGCTCAAGTCGCTTTTGGTCCTTGACCTCCGCCCCAGAAACACCAAGGAATTTTGCTAAAGAAGAGCAGAGGCTGCTGCTGGGCTTGGCCACTGCCAGCCCAGACCTGTCCATTCGGGGCCCAGGGCGGTGCCGCTGTGCTCTCCCACCCTGCCGTGCCCGTGAGAGGGCCACCCAAGCGTCTCGACCTCCCAGGGAAGGGAAGGTGCACACAGGCCCGCGCCCCTCACCTGGTACTTCTCCATCTGTGAGAGGGTCTCGAGCAGCTGCGTGACACTGGATGAAGCCCCTCGTGCCCCCCGGTACAGCTCCAAGATGGCCACCAGCTCCTCCTTGGAGATTTCCTTCTCAAGGGTGATGCCGCCATCCACTGTGAGGAGGGAGCTGAGCTCCAAATCTACTCTCCCGGCCCCGCGAAGGCCCGCCCTCCCCTCTCTGGAACGCAGGCATGGTGTGGGGCTGCTCCTTCCTCACCGCAAGCCCTTCCCAAGCCCTGACTCGCACAGGCTTTAGATGGGATTGGGGCAACCACGTGCCAGTCAGCGTTAGAGAAGCAATGCCGGACAGACGAGCTGACTGCCAGGGGCCGGCCCGCCAGACACCAGCCAGCGAGCTGACCCTGCATGGGGATGCACAGACGGATGGACAGACCTAGAGCCGCCCGCCCCACCTTCCGAGTCCTGGCTCTTGCGGCTGTAGTTCATCCGGAAGACGAAGGCCTCCAGGATGAAGGCCACAATGATGGTCATCACCACCTGGCGGAGGGAGGGGCGTCAGCGGCCACGACGCGCACCGCAACAGGGCCGCTAGGGGCGCCCGGGAGACGAGGAAGGAGGAAGGGGAGGAGCCAGGACGCGCCGTGCCCAACCCACCATGGTCACGATGTAGAAGGTCATGAAGTACAGGCGGCTCCAGTGGGAGGTCTGCGAGGTGACGCCTTCCTTCGGGGGATAGGGACACAGACAGTGAGCCTGAGCGCAGACAGCGACCCTGACCTGGCCCGCAGCCTCCACACTACTTGTTACAGCTCCTCTGGCTGTGCAGACTCTCTGGGGTCTAACAGATCCTCCCCAAGGGGTGGCCAAGACCCGACCGCACGCAGGGCCTTAGCCAGCACGGGGATGGAGAAAACATCGACCCTTGCCACACTGCCGCTTTTCCTTTTACAGACTGTGTCACCCAGGCTGGCCCTAAACTCCCAAGCTCAGCAGCCCTCCCACCTCAGCCTCCTAAGTGCCGGACTACAGGAGCTTGCCACCATGCCCGGCCCGCTACACTGCTGACTGAAGTCATCTCCACGCAGCGGGAGACCAGTCAGAGATGCAGGCTGGGGCCTCTCTGGCTGCTGGGGGAGGCAGGGTCAGACACCCCATCCTGCGGGAGGGGGCCCTGCGAGCCTTACCATGATAATGTACCAGTTGTTGACGACTGTGAGCTCGAACAAGGTCACTGTGGAGGGAGGGGACAGAGACACGTCCTGACGGACAGATGGAGGCACTGTGTGACCGCCTGGGCTGCGGGCACGGGAAGATCAGTGGGCGCCCCCTGTGCCTCAACACCCCTGCGGGACCACGGCTGGCTGGGTGCAGATGTGGGGTGTCATGACGGCTCCCCTTTTCTCTCGGGAGCCCGCTCCCCTCCAGCCCAAGTTCATCCGTGGAACCGGGGCACAGAGCAGAGCTGGGGGCCTGAGCTGAGGGCAGCACTTGGGCAGGGTCCCCCACAACTGACACAGTGAGGAGGGGGAGGCGCGGACTCCCCCTGCCCCGCTAAGGCCAATGTCCCTCCCTGATGCTGAAATGCACCACGCAAAGGTGTGGCGGCTGAGGGGCCCGGATGGGCCTGAATCTTGGCCCTCCAGCCGGGCCCAGTCACAGGGCTGGGGATGCAGGCCTCGCCGGGCTTGGCGGGGACCAGGGCAGCAGGGCCCACTCACCGAAGCTGTTGAGGATGTTGTCGAAGTTGTTGAGATAGTAGTAGCCCTCCTCCACCACTGTCTTGTCACCCACGGTGTGGTTGAGCCAGCGGTAGGCATCGGCCACTGTGCTGGTGCTGGTGGGGGCGGGGCAAGACAGGAGCGGTCAAAAGGTCATGGGCCCAGGCTGGGGATTTAGCTCAGTGGTTCCGGGGCCTGCCTTGCAAGCGCAAGGTCCCGAGTTCGATCCCCGGTACCAAAAAAAAAAAAAAAAGGTCACGGGTCCCTCTCCCCTTGGCAGAGGGCACCTAGGTGAGGCAAGGCCTCAGGTCTTTCCTGCCCTTGCCCCCCAGCTCCCGCGGGTCCTGCCTGCTGGGAGCCCCACGTGCCCATCCCTGCCAGCTCCGGGACATCCCTGCAGATCTGCGCCATCCCCTGGCAGCTCTGTGCTGGGGGCTCTGCTCTCCAGCTTCCTGCAGGAGGGAGAGGCCACTGTCTCCTCCAGACCCCCCCAACTTCTGGGAGGCTCCTGAGTCTGGACTGGCACCAGCTCCAGGCAGAGGATGCCCCCTCACCAGGTCTGGTGCTCTGCCTCGGCGCGCCCTGTGTTTGGATGGCTCCCCCCATTTCAAGGAGACCTCATCTGCCACTCTCAGGAGGCACAGCTGCAGGTTGAACCTGGAACTTTCCACTGAGCTGCAAACCTGGCCATTATTTAGTAATTGACACTGGGTCTTGCTGACTTGCCCAGGCTGGGCTCAAACCTGTGGTCCTCCTGTCTCAGCCTTCCAGAGCACTGGGATTATTACAAGTATGTGTCACTATACCCAGCTCCCGCTCACTCTTTTTTTTTTTGCTATGCAGTTCAGGCTGGCCTTGAACTCACTATGTACCCCAGGATGACCCTGAACTCGCAGTGATCCTCCTGCCTTAGCCTCCTGACTGCTGGGATTACAGGTGTGTGTCACCACACTCAACTACCTGCCCATTCTTTATGGTTAAATTCTATACTGCTGATGCATCTAAGAGTGGGCCACCAGCAGCAGGCTCAGTAGTCAGGCTCTTGGGCCTTTTGCCAAGTCGACAGTGGCTACCATGTGAGGATGTCTGGGATGGGATGTCTGGGATGCACATGTGGGGAAGGCCCTCTGGGTTTTGATGCACTCTACAGTTTGTGACCCACTGCTATGGCTCTGGTCCCCAGCCTGGTGTGACACTCCAAGTGGCTGCAGTGTCAGCACTCAGGGTCACAGGGACCCACTTAAAAAGAGGACATGGGCTGGGGATTTAGCTCAGTGGTTCCGCCACCTGCCTCGCAGGTGCAAGGTCCCGAGTTCGATCCCCGGTACCAAAAAAAGAAAAGAGGACACAGAATGAGAAGGGCGCCGAGTACGTGACCTCACCACAGTGGCGAGGGGTGAGGGGCAGGGACAGGAGGCCATGGGACAGCTTCCTGTGTGTGTCTGCTCCTAACACGCTGCCTGGAAAAACCTGTCCTTGACTGGTCCCCGGCCACTCCTGGAGAGGAGAGTGGGGGCAGCATGGGACTCGGGCCTCTGGCCCTGCAGAAGGAGGAGGCTTCGGGGAGCTGATGGCAGCGAGGATCCTGACTCTGCCTGGGGGACACAGATCCACCCAACACCCTCACCCCTAGACCTTCGCCCAGGCCCCTTGCCTGCACCTGAGATACAAGCCCCAGCCCAGAGCTTCCCAGGGATGCCCAGGCCCTGGCCACTCACTTGCAGCAGTTGGGGTAGAGGAGTCCGCAGAAGAACTCCATGCCCACGATGGCGAAGGAGTAGTAGAAGATGAGCAGCGTGAGGCCTAGGCTGGGGACAGGCCAGAGGGGTAGTGAGTGAGGGTGGAGGGTGGGTCACCCTGGGTGCCCTGGAGTGGAGATCCGCCTTTTACCTGTGGCGCTGCCTCCCCAGGAGCCTTACCTGTGAACCAGACACAGTGGTGGTGAGTAAGCCGCAGCCCTGCCCACACACAGGTATTCCAGAGGGGCAGTGGAGAGGACACAGGCCTCCTCTGGACCCACCAGGCCCCCGGGTCTAGCCCTTTCCAGGGCTCCTCCCGCGCCGCCCCCTCAGCTCCCATCCGGACCAGACGCTCACGGTGCCAGACTATGGGCCGAGGCAGGGCAGTACCTGGCCATCCGCGGCAGCAGCTCAAACATGGTGTCCAGCACGTTGCGGTATCGCTTCTTCAGTTTGAACAGCCTGGGCGAGGGAAGGGCTCCAGTCAAGGTAGACGCCTGGGCCACCTGCCTTTTGCCGTGGGCCAGAGGCCTCGGGGACGGTGCAGCCCTGTACTGGGGATGGCACCCTGGGCCTCACACACACCTGGCAAGCTCTACCACTGAGCCACACCGCCAGCCCTTTCTTTGTTTTTTGAGACAGGTCTCACTAAATCACATAGGTTGGCCTCAAACCTACAGTCTTCCTGCCTCGGCCTCTGGTGCTGGAACGATGGGTGTGTGCCACCACACCAGGCTTCCCCACAGTGCCTTATGTGGTCACCTTATGTGGTCACAAGGTGAGTGGCAGTGACTGCCAGTTTACAAATAAGGCAGGCAGCTCAGAGAGGGCTGAGGCCTTGCTCCAGATGGCAAGGCAAACCCAGGAAAGAGGTGCCGATGCCCACAGCTACAGAGAAGCTCATCGCTAACAAGCAGGTGGCAGTGTGCTTAGAACAGACATGCAGGCCACCAGCGTGGGTAGCAGGGCAGCAGGCTCTTCCTCTAGAGACTGGACCCAGAGGGGATGGGGCAGTGGGCACAGGTGGGACCCTAAGGACAGGAGCCCCTGTGAGCCTAGTCAGGAAGAGGTGCCGTGGATGGGGCAGGGCCCCGCTGACTCCCCACAGGGTCCCTGAGAAAAGGGGGCCAGGAAAGCGCGAGGGGTCTGGAGGTTCCTGCTGAGCCGAGTTTTCTGGGGTCTGACTGGGCATCGTGGCCATGGTGGGTCCCACCACGGGCAGAGTTCCCAGGAGCCAGGAGCTGGGTGGCTCGGCCTGTCAGGGGTGCCGGGGGCCAGGGATGTGGGCGCAGCCTGCATCTCATGGGACACCCCACCCCTGCTCTGTGACAGACTGCAGATCTGAGTCTCCTGTCTGCTCTGGGTCACCTCCCAGGCCAGTCCCAGGGGTGACCCCGCTCTGCCCATCACCTCAGCAGCTGGAGGGGACGCAGGACCACGATGAAGTAGAAGGGCTCCATGTTGAGGGCCAGGGCCAGCAGGCCCAAGAAGGCGAACACTGTGACAGAGAAGTCGAACCTGGGCAGGGGAAGAAGCCATAGTCAGCTCAGCAGCCCCTGGGGCTCATGTCCTTGCCACCCCCCACCCCAACCCCCCGCCACACACTGCCCTGCTGCCCCAGGGTCCCTGGGGTGGAGGGGCCAGTCCCAGGCACAGCATGGCTTTCGAAGTCAGGGCTTGGGGCTGACCCCTGGGCACAGATGCCCGGGAACCTGTCCAGTGGGGGAATGAGATCCAGCACCGGACACTTCTGGTCACCCTGGCCATGCAGCTCCCAGGACACTGGGGGAAGAGGTGGGACTTCTGGAGGCCCCAGCAGAAAGGACAGAAGCCTGTCTCTACACACGCAAGAACATATCCTTGCCAGTCTTGTGTGTGCGGTGCTGGGTAGCTCTCTGCCGCTAACCTTTCCCTTCAAACCCATTTTTACTTTTACTTTTATTTTTTTTGAGACAGGTTCTCATTGTGTTGCCCTGGAAGGCCTTGAACTCCTGGGCTCAAGTGACCCTTCTACCTCAGCCTCCTGTGTAGCGGGGACTGCAGGCGCACACTAATGCCCTTTGGTAACCAGTAACTTTTATGCTCATGACCCAGGGCCTGAGTGCAGGTGAGTGCAGCGACAGGGAAAAGGGCAGCATGGCTCTCTACTCTGCTAACCAAGGGAGGTGGTGGTGCCTTCTCTGGGTGCTGTGGTTTAGCGGAGCAGGAAGAGCTTAGTGACTCCTGCCGAGCCTGTCTGGGGAACCTTGGGGCTACTTCCCGGGGGACAGCTAGGGCAGCTGAGTGAGGTCTCGAGCCAGGTCAGAACCGCAGCAGGTGGACAGCAGGAGCAGGGTGCCAGCCGGGAGGGCTGAAGAGTCACTCACAGGTTCCATCCGGAGGACAGGTACTCCACAGGGCCGAAGCCGGCCACCTTCAGGAACAGCTCCACCCCATAGACTGCGGGCAGGAGGAGCAGTCAGCATTGTGCCCTCGGCCTCTCCCTCAGGCCCAGCTTGGGTCCGGGTCCAGATGACACCCCCACCCCAGGGGACAGCAGGCGCTGCAGTGGAGGATGGGGCCACCTGCTGGGGCAGAGGCACCGTGGCCCCTCTTCAAGGACAGCCTGCCCTGTCTGTCCCTTGGACAGACCCCTGTGCACCTCTCCTGTGCCAGGTTTAGTGCTGGGCACTACAAGGAGCAGGACTGGGTGGTGCCTGCTGGCACAGAGCTTAGAGTCTGGACAAGGAATCAGGGTGGATCTGGGCTTGAAACCAGGGTGAGGCAAAATCAGACTGCACTTCCGATCCTTCCCCTTGAGGCTCTGTAGGGAAGAGCCGCAAGATGCCTACACTGTGGCAGCCCTCCCAGCCAGGACACTCACTGGTGAGAAAGACAAGGTAGCTCCAGGGCACGTGCTTGGGGAAGAAGTTCCCGCCTGCAAGACAGACAGCAGCTGAGGGTGAGCCCAGTCTCAGCAGGGCCACAGTCCCCAGGGCAGTCGCTCACCCTTCAGCATGAATGTCTCCACCAGGATCCACATCCCGTTCACTGCCACTACCAAGTCTGAAAGAGACCGTGAGAAACACAGGACAGGCAGGTTTGCAAATATGCCGGACATGGCCGCTGCCCTGGTTAATTCCCAGGGAGCTCTGTGCTTGTGGAGGACAGGGCTGCCCCACATGCCCGTTTCATGGGTGTTTCCTCCTGCTCATGCTCTTTCTAGGAGCTGAATCAACTGGGGGTTTCCTTTAGGAACAAAAGAAACACAGTTGGGGATGGTGCTGCATATGCCTGTCATCTCAGCATGCTGGGAGGCTGAGACAGGAGGGTGGTAAGTTCAAGCCCTGCTTGGGTGAGTCAGTGAGACACTGGGTCCAAAGAAAAAGATTGGCTGGGGATGTAGCTCAGGGCAAAGGCCCTGGGCTCAACCTCCAGTATCACAAAGAAAGGAAAAAAGAAAAAGAAAGAAAGAAAGAAAGAAAGAAAGAAAGAAAGAAAGAAAGTAAGTCAGTCAAATGTGTGGCCTGAGGCTAAGTGACCTGAGGGTGTGTTCCCAGAGTGACATTCCTAGTAATTATGTCATTGGGATTGCTATTCTAAAACTGGGATAAAGCAAATGAGTAACTATTCATGTTCTTGGGAGCCTAGCTTTGAACAGATCAGATTGACAGGTAAAATCCTGTCCTGAATCTGAAGTACCAGGGTGAACACACAATACAGTTTCTTACAAAGGGGAGAAACAATAACCAATCCCCACCAGCAAGCACCCTAGCACCTCAGGTTGTGGTCTCTAAACACCACTTCCAGCTGGGCCCCTGAAAGGCGGAATCCGGCTGTGCCTGTAGCTCAGCCCAGACTGAGGAGAGTGCTTTCCATGCTGACACGCAGGCAAGCACTGGTCACTGTGGCCGCTGGGCACTTGAAACACGATGAGTAACTGTATTATTTTTCTTTTAGTTAGACTAAATGGTTTTTTTGGTTTTTTTTGGTACCGCGGATCAAACTCAGGACCTTGCACTTGCAAGGCAGGCACCAAAACCACTGAGCTAAATCCCCGGTGCAAGTTAGACTAAATGTAAAGAGCCACATGAGGCCAGTGTGTCAGACATGGCAGATTTCAGGAAGTGAGTTCCATGGGATAAGCAAACCCAGAAAAAGGGCACAGCATGCTGTTTTCTCATCTGGATATTCCAAGAGGGAGCAAAGGGATGGAAGAGGAGCATGCAGGTTGCAACAGACCTAGGATACAAATCAACCAATCACACACTGCGGTTCTGAATTTGCTGCCAAAGCTCCAGCCGGAGGGCAGGGTCTGGATGGCCCTGTGCTGGGTGTGCTTAGGCTTGGATAATCTCCTCCCCTATTTCAGACAAGCCAGGGTCTTTTTCCTTTTTGTTTTTTTTGTACGTCACTGAGGCTGGACCCCAGGCCTCAGGCTCACTAAGCACCTGCTCTACCACTGCACCACACCCTCAGCCCCATGCCTGGCATTTTCTATAATAAAAAAGTCAGGAACGTGACCGCAGGCCTCATCTCTCGCTTCTCTGCTGTCTAGAAGGGCTCAGGGCTCAGCAGGAAGAGGGCCCAGGGTGGATCAGCGCACACTTACACATGAAATACTGGAAGGCCTTGGACTGCACCAGGATATTAATTCCTGTTTGAAGAGAAGAAATGTTAACATCGGAATTTCGTATGCAAGAACACATCCCCCAACCAAAATTCATGCATGTGGCAACTGGGGTACTGGCGGAAGCAGTGACGAAGGACGGCGACAAAGCACAGGCCTACAGCAACACCTGAACCATGGCTCAGAGCCTGGACAACCCAGGGGACCTGGTCCCAACACGGAGCAGAGAGAAGCTTGGTACTACTACCCAAGTGGCATGAAAAGCCCTCAGAGAACAAGGGATGTGAGCTGGGACTGGCACACCTTAGTGCCAACTTCTTGGGAGGCTCAGGAAGGCCACTTCAACCCGGGAAGCTGAGGCCTGCCTGGGCAGCACAGCAAGACTTTGTCTCAAAAAAGAAGCAGGGGGTGGGGGGACATAACAGCTGTGCCCAAGGACCTCGCTGTGGAGACTGTAACATCTTTACTTTTTTTTTTTTTTTTTTTTTTTTGGTACCAGGGATCGAACTCCGGTCCTTGTGCTTGCGCAGCAGGCGGTGAAACCACTGAGCTAAATCCCCAGCCCAACATCTTTACTCTTGTGATAATGGTCCAGACCAAGGCTTCCAGCTTTTTGCCCAAGAACCTCCCTGTGGGTTGAACATATTTCCACACAGAACTTCAAACCTGGCACTGAACTAAGGGGCACTGGTAGGTAAACAAGATGAGCATCTGACTGAAAAATCTCCAAGTTCAGACTGTCCATGCATTATGCTAGGCCCCATGTACACTACCCAGACGGTCTGCCAAAAAAGGAGGGTAAAACACATTACTGGACAGAAAGGCAGGTTACAGAGAGACTGTGTAATGTAACCCCACTGCTGTTTTAAAATGCACAGAAAACAAAAAGAAAAAAATTAAAAAATTAAATACACAGAAAGGCTGTGCATGGTGGCACATGCCTAAAATTCCAGCACTTGGGAGGCTGAGGCAGGAAGATCACCACAAGTTTGAGACCAGCCTGGACTACACAGTGAGACCTTGTCTCAAAATACAAAAAAGAAGACACAGAAAACCATCTAGCAGAAAGAAGAAGGAAGCACATCAGAGAATTAACAGTGGCTGCCATCTTGGGGGAAGAGATTTTCATTTTCTTCTAAGTATCTTTCTAACATTTCTCCGGTGGGCCCCTTTGCTTGGTGTTTCTCCTGCAGTGCGGGGTGTGTGTGTGTGTGTGTGTGTGTGTGTGGAACCCAGGGCCTCCTGCACGTGGGGGAGGCAGGCGCTGTCCCTGGGCCACGCCTCAGCCCCTGGGTTTTGAGTTAGTGATGCGGATCCTTCCTGGCTCATGTTCTGCCATCACTTCCCTGCTCACAATCACACTCATGGCTTCTCTCCGCATGCACACACGTGTGCACACTTGCACACACAGCCTCTGACCTGCCCCAGCCACGCGCCCACCAGGGCTCAGCCTCACCCTTGAAGATGAGGAAGGCCGTCCTGGGGAGCTCGTCGAACCAGTGCTCGCGGTTTCTCTTGGCCTGCAGGGAACAGTGAGTCAGGGAGGGAGGGGCCAGGACCCTCCTGCCTTCTGCCCGCCCAGCTGCACTGGGGGTGGCAGAACACACAGGGATCTAAGTGACAACGCCACGGACACGCCCTGTCATACTGCTGAAGTCACCCTGGGTGGGGACTACTGACCCTGGGGGCCCGGCCAGCCCTGGGAAGGTTCGGTCACGTGGCTGATGTCACCCAGGACCCCGGGCCTGCCCAAGACTCAATGCTCCGAAGCCCAATCCCACTCCCAGTGAGGCAGGTGCACCTGGCCCCGCTGGGCCCAGCCGAGGCTCTCACTCAGGGACACACCTGGAGCTCCAGCCACCTGCCCTGCCTGTCTCCTGGGAGCACTCACCTTCCACTTCAGGGTGGCGATTTCATAGATGTCACAGAAGTCCTCCAAGCTGTTGTATGCAAAGCAAAAAGGCGGGACAGTCCCGGCACAACCGCTGGGCTTCGCCCCCACCTTTGCTGCCCAGGGTACCTCTAGGGGCACAGGGGCACCCATGCTGGGACTATGGGGCCCTGGGGTCCCCGCCTGCAGAATCCTGAGCCCCTGTCTTCCAGGGATGAGCGTGACTCACTCCTCTCGGTCACAAAGACCTCTTAGTCCCCAGGAGGGGCAGCCCTGGAGCTCAGCCGTGCTGAGACCAGAGACCCTGCCTCTTCCGGTGCAGGCTGCACGTAAGGGACTGACGGTGCCCCAGTCTACACAACCGGTACTCCACGGGGCAGGCTGCCTGTCCCACTGGGCTTGAGGGTGAGTGGTTGCTGGGTGGCCCCTCTCACAGGCAAACATTCCTGTCCTTTTTTCCTCATGTTAAATTGCTAAATTGCCCAGGCTGGGCTTCAACTTTCAATTCTCCTGCCTCAGCTTCCCAGTGCTGGGATTACAGGTGTGCACCACCATGCCCGGCTCAAACATCCCTTTTCTATCAAGCTGCCCAGAAAAGGATTTCAGTAGGACTTTTGTGGCTGGCAAAGAAGAATCCAGATGAACACAACTGCCACACATAAGCAGCTCTGTGAGGAAAACTTGAGGCTCCAGAGACTTCCTCACCCTAGCTCCCTCGCCCGATGTCTGCCCTGCCCCACCTGGCATCACTCTCACCTCAGCAGAGGTTTGTTGCTCTGATTTAGGGCCTTGAAAGTCAGGAAGCGCTCCCGGGCACTCATCCGGGGCTTGTAGAAGCGCATCAGGCCTTCGAACTGCCTGTAGGAAATGCCTGAGGGCCGCTGGGGAGAGACCCCACGTGAGGGATCAGAACCCTGGGCCTGTGCCCAACATGAGGGCCCAGGGGTTGTTCATTCTCCCAAGGGCAAGACTGCTATTTCTGGCTGGGCCTAGTGGTGCCCGCCTGTAATCCCAGCACTGTGGGAGGCTGAGGCAGGAGGATCATAAGTTCAAGGCCAGCCTGAGCAACTTAGTCTTAGAGAGACCCTGTGTCAAAATTTAAAAATACATAAGGCCTGGGGGTGTAGCTCAGTGCGATGGTCCTGGGTTGAATCCCCAATACAGGAAAACAAACAAACTGTTGCTTGTGAAGTTGCTGGCCCCTGCTGCGTCAGGGGCTGCTCTGGGCAGGAAAGGACAGAGCTGCCCGCCCAGCCCAAGCCCTTCCTGGACCACTCCCTACCCGCTGGCTGGTGAGCAGGCGGAAGGCATGCTGGATGGCAGTTCGCTTATGCAGCAGCAGAGACTTGAACTTGCGCTTCTCGATGTCATTGAAGGTGTCGAACACCACGGCCAGGAGCTGGGAGGGAAGCAGAGAGTCCTGGGTGCCTTGTGGGGGCCTGGAGCCGTTGCAGGGGGCACCCTGGGCTGGGCTCCGAGTGGCAGCCGCAATGCAGCTCATTTTCGCCCTTCCCTCTAAAGACACTGTACTTGGATTCCCCAGCATCCTCCTGTCCTTACCTCCAGTTTGTCCTTGGCCAGGCAGAGGACAGATCAGGGGCGAGGAGATGGGCAAGAGGAACAGCCTGGGTTCTCAGTGCCCTGTGTCCCTCCTCCCAACCAAGCAGGAAGGGACAGAGTGCCCGATGTTTCCCCCTCTTATCCTGATGCTTCTTGGGGGTAACTGCTTTATGGGCGGCCCCAGACCCAAGGAGAAGGAGGAGGCCTCAGCCGAGGAAGGAGCGCCCAGAGCTGCCGAAGCCCACACTGCAAATTGGGGCCCTGGGCTGCATCATCAGAGGACACAGGGAGGGTGAGGAAGAAGCCCAAACAGTCTTTTCAGGAACACCCTCTTTCAAAACGTTTGGAGGGAACTCTTGTTCCTTCCACCCCTTCAAAGTGGCCCCCTACTTTATGTGAGCTGAAGGTGGACAAACTTTTCTGGAACAGGAGGCCAGATGGTTTCTGTTATAAGTACTCAACCCCCAGCCATAATGATGAAACCAGCCACAGACCTGAGTATACAAATGGGCATGGCTGTGTGCCAATAAAACTTTATTTATAAAAACGGGCTGAGAGCTGGATCTGCCCAGCAGGCCCTTGTTTGTTGGCCCCTGCCCCAGATTTTCCTAGCTTGTGGTATTATGATATATCTAGATCAGATTTTATTTTGCAGTACAGGGAATTGAACCCCAAGGCAGGTCATAAAACTCTAATTGGCCCTGAACTATCTAGGAGCTGGCCATACAATACTCTCCAACCTTCCCTCCTGAGATCACAGGCTGTGGGACCCTCCACATGCCACAGGGGGCCCTGTCTGATGCCCTGGGGGAGGCAGGACACACGTAGAGCTGCAAACGCTGAAGCAGACAGGTCTCACGGGCGCCCTGCCCAGCCTGATAGCCGAGAGCACACTCTCGCCATCCAGTCCCATGTACCCATGGTGTCCCTGCTTCGATCAAGCCTCCCACACCAGGAAGCCTCCAGGAAAACTCAGCTGGGCGTGGTGGTGCACACCTGTAATCCCACCACTCAGGAGACTGAGACAGGAGAATGGAAAGTCTAAACCTAGAGTAGACAACTTAGTGATTTAGCGAGACCCTGCCTCAAAATTTTAAAATTTTACAAAGGTCTGAGGCTGTAACTCAGTGCCAGGGCTCAGGGTTCAATCCCTAGTCCTGGGAGAGCTTCCGGACCACTGAGCACACAGTGGCCCCCGCAGGTGGTGCCTGAGGAGGCTAAGGAAGCTCTGTGTGCCTCCCCCAAGCCTTGCCTGAGACGCCCTCCATGACAAAGTGGCCGTGTCTCCTGGGTCCTGAGAGCTGTTCCCGCAAATTCACTGAAGTCTGAGGGCAGTGGGACATACTGCCACACACTCCTTTTCAGTTTTGCAGAATTAAAAAAAGAAAATATCTTCTTTCTTTCTTAAAGACTGCAAAGTGTTAGGAGATCTCACAAATCTACCCAGAGAAAGTGTTTTCCATTTCTACAGCAGGCTGACAGTGGCGACCAGTGTTAACAATGCTTTTCAAAAGTTTACCAAAAAAACGCACGCACTGGGCCATAGCTCAGGGGTGAGTGCTTGCCTAGCATGAGTGAGGTCCTGGGTTTCATCCCCAGCATCTCAGAAGGGAACAAGCTAATCCCACAGAACAGATATAAAGCCTCTCTCTGGCGACTCTGGCACTGACACATGGCCTTGGCAGTGGCCAGGACCTTCGATGTTGGGAAACCTGCTCGGTGACAGCCATGCCTCTGCCGACACCTCCAGAGGTCTCTGCACGTGCAGGGACTTTACACTCTATGTCAGATTTCCCAGTGCAATGATAAACAGAGTGGAAATCAATTCAAAGATGTCCTGGTACATGGACATAGGAAGGCGGGGTGGCTGGGTTGGGCCCTGAGCTGGGTCCCTCGGTGACATCTTCAGTTTCTTTGTCTATTCTTTGAGAATCATAATCATAACAGAACCACCAGGGCAGGGGCGTTACATCATTTCATCTGTGCTCATGCCAGGCTAAGTCTGGACAACTACTTTCCCCACGATACCATGGCTCACTGGGTCTGGGATGTCCCACCCAGAGGCTGATGGCAGGCCGTCGTGGTACAACATTTACCAGGTTCATGATGAAGTAGAGCTCGATGGACAGGTACACGATGAAGAAGACACAGGACCACGGGTTGCGGGAATAGGAGGGCATCATCACGTCTGGGAAGCTGCAGTGGCAGAGGGTTACCCGCCACCCGAGGCCACCCACCTCCGTCTCCTCCAGGGACAGCCCCCTTGTCTGCCTTCCTGTGTCCCCAGCACCCCAGCGCTGGTGCCCAGAGATGGGGGAGATACTTTTTGGCAGATAAGCAGAGGACAGCAGGCAAAGAGGAGCCCAGACTCACTTGGCCGTGGTCAGAAGGACAAACAGGCTGACGATGCTGTTCTCCAGGGTGCTGAAGTACTAGGGGAACAGCGGGGTCACAGGAGGGCACAGTGTAGAAGGCACCTCCAGTGTCTCCCCTTCCGGCTGCAAACTCCCCAGGTTGGCCAGGCAGACATTGAGCCCCCGCCTCCTGAGCTCCGTGCTCTGGCAGAAGCAGGCTACCACTTTGGGGGACTCCTTCCCGGAGTCACTGCTTGGGCCATCAGCTTGGCTCCTCCACTGCCCTGCCAAACGCTCAGGGTTCCTGACCTGACCCTGCCCTGGGGACCAGCTTTGCTTCGTAAGGACAGGAAAGCAGGTTTCCCCAGTGGGAGGTCTCTCAGGTGCCTGAGGCTCTGAGAAGCCAGGCAGGTGTCCCTCCCTAAGAATCCACTCATCACTCCAGCCACCTTCTCGGAAGGAAATCCCTCCCATAAAAGACAAAGCTGCTGACTACTTACAGGGTCAGAAGGATTCGGAGAGAATAGGTAGAATCCTAGAACAGGGCAGAAAGACAGATCCAAGACATGGTTAGAGCACAGGTCCCAGCCCATGGCCCCAGCCCATGGCCCCCAAAATTGGACAAGTGAACTTCAATGAGTGCAGTGGCAGAGGGAAGAAGGGCACAGGGTGTGTAGGGATGCACTGGGAGGGCAGGCGTGTCAGGAGAGTGGGTGCTGCCACACACAAGCCCCTCTCCCAGGGCTGCCAGGCCCATTCTTTTACAGTCTGGAAACCTGAACTTTTGTGTAAGATCTAATTTTAGAATACTGGCTACAAGTTTTCAGATCAAACTTTGAACACATCTGCAGTCTGAGCCTAGAATCCAGACTGCTGGTTTGCAAGCACCAGCTGAGAACCTGACAGCCAAGTGACAGCCCAGAGGGAACACCACTGTCTCCTCCTCCTGGGATGGGCTATTCTCAGTCCCGGAAGTGGGGGGGAGCAAACTCTGCCCTCAGGGCTGACACAGGGAGATTCCACCACGAGTTGGGGGGGGCGAGGGCTTGGGATGGAGCAGTCACCAGTGCCTGGGGTCAGCGTGGCGCTGGCATTCAGGCCAGGGCTCTCTGGTTCCACCATCTTTGCCCCCCCCCCAGGAGTCCTAGCCATTCAAGGACCCCACTGTCTGAGCCCAGGGTCTGGCCTGAGGTCACACAGTCAGCCTATCCCGAGGGGCACGACTGCCTCCTAGGACAGAGGCTGTGACCTTGTCTGGCATCCCGGGAAGCTCAAGGTCACAGGTCTAGGCCTTAGCCACAAGGGTCTCGGGCGCATGCACCAGGAAAGCAGCAGGCTCACTTCGGTGGGATGTGGGACATGGGACATGGAAACCATCTCGGGAAGAGTGGACCAATGGGTCCTGGCACATTCAGTACTCTCCAGGGAAAAGGAATGAGCTACGGCCACACGTGACGAGCCACAAAAACATGGTGGGGCAAAAGAGCAACCCGAAGAGGAGACACATACCTTCTACAACCATTTATATAATTTTTTAAATATGCAAAGCAATACCAGTTAGGTGTTTATTTGCTTTTGGTGGTCCTGGAAATTAAATCCAGGCCCTTTGCACCGAGCTACATACCCAGGACCTTTTAAAAAAAAAATTTTTTTTTTTTTGAGACAAGGCTTTGCTAAATTGCTGAGGCTGGGCTGAAACTGTCAATCTTCCTGCCTCAGTCCCTCTGAGCACTGGGATTACAAGTGTGTGACCCTAAGCCAGGCCAGGCAATACCATTTAATCGTGGCTTGAAGAATTGTAACTATGAAGTAAAGATGTTGGCTGTGGAATTAGCTCAGTGGTTCCGGCACCTGCCTCGCAAGCGCAAGGTCCCGAGTTTGATCCCCGGCACCAAACAAAACAAAACAAAGATGCAAAGGCACATATTGAGGTGATAAGCCCAGGACAGGGTGCATCTGGGGGAGAGGGGAGACTGAGATCAGAGAAGGACACAAAGGTGGTTTCCTCTTCCTTCCACTAAGTCCGCGGCATCCATATTACTTTTAGAAACTGTCTGGGTTTTACTTATTTATGCAGGTCACAAGGCCTCTGCCCTCCTGAATGGTCCCGGCACCCTCACAAGAGGTCCCAGAGGGCTGCCGTGCCCTTCCCACCATGCAGGAGGAAGCACCCCATGTGGACCAGGAAACACCTACACCAGCCAGGACTCTGGACTGCCAGCTTGCGGCCTCCAGAGCCAAGTGCAATACGTTTCTGCTGACTCTGTTAACAGGCACGGGCAGAACACAGCCCCTTTGCCCAGCGGACACGGGCACTCACCGAGGATGGCGAAGATGATCATGAAGAAGAGCAGCAGCAGGAGGATGTCCATGAAGGGCGGCAGGGACTGGAAGATCTGCCGGAGGTTGCTGGGGAGAGAGACAGGCTCCCTGGGGGCGGGGTCAGCCCTCCATGCTGTCTGGGCCACTGGGGGATGTCCTGGTCAAGGATGGGGGTCTCTGGATGCTCAGTCCCGCTGTGCCCTGGAACCTAGTGTTCCCTCGTGTGGCTTGAGCCTCCGCCACCTGCACTTGGCAAGGGAGCTCGTGCTCTGCACCCATGCGGCTGGCCTCTCACTGGCCAGGTCCCCAGGCTCCACCCCAAGGGACTATCCAGCCACCCCGCCTGGCCTCACCGCCGCACGCCACCACAGTAGCGACAGTCCACCAGGAAAATGCAGCGCAGCGCCCGGGTCACCCGCACGTGGGACGTCTGCCGCACCAGCACCACGATGGCCTCCACAAACTGCACCACCAGCACGGAAGTCTGGGGGCAGCAGGCACAGCATCATCAGCTCCGAGGCCCGGGACACAGAGGACTGATAGGCACGGCCCCTCCCTGTCTCAGTCAGTAACAGCCCCACAAGGGGCTCTAGCTCCCAGCACAGATGTGCAGCCTGGGGGTGACATCCACGGGCCTGGACCCCAGGCCCCTTGGGCTGGCTGAGAGACAGGAGAGCATGCGCCTCCCTCCAGCTGCCTGCCCTGAACACCAGGGACCTGGCCAGGCTGCCAGGGTCAGGACAGTTCCCCAGGTGATGATTTGGGGTACAGGCTGGGCCCAGGCCTGAAGGCACGACCAAGAAAATGTGGCAGCCGTGGAGTGGGCAGACAGACATCACCTTGACCATGGTCCGCTTGTGCCGGACGAAGGTGTGGAGGCCCAGCCACCGAAGCTTCATGCAGAGCTCACACACCACCACCATCAGGGCGAACAGCTCCAGGGTGGCGTGGACCTGCAGGGCAGGCGTGGGGACGCGTCACTGCCGGGGCCACCCGAGACTACCTCTGTCTCCGTCTCTTCCCCACCAGGGACCAGGACAACACACAGCACAGTTCACAAGGCCTGGTCACCCCGGATGCCAGACAGAAGCTCGGAAAGGGAGCTTTCCCCAGAACATCTGAATACAAGTTTGATATTTAAGAAACAGAACCACCGATCTGCACAGGGGAAAATGAGGAAAGTGCCTGGGGCTCGAGAGTGAGAAAAAAGATAGCATTTTAGGGTTTCTGTTTGTTTGTTTTGGTACTGGGGATGGAACTCAGGGCCTCGTGCTTTCGAGGCAGGTGTTGGAACCACTGCGCTAAATCCCCGGCAAAGATAGCATTTTATATCCAGCCCTGCTCCAGGAAGGATTGTGTGCCATTTATTAAAGAACCATAAAAGGCATTTAGGGAGCGTGAAGCAGGGGTTTCAAAAGCAAAGAGGAAGGGAGGACATCAGAACGTAACTGGAAATCCGGAGTCTACAAGACAAGGGCTGCCCTGCAGACGGAGGCCTGGGGCCGCCTTCCTCATTTTGGACTGAAGGCCAACAAGGGCACAGGGAAGCCCTTGTCCCCTGGGGCTGTCCCCTAGCCATCCCACTGGGCCCTGGACCAAGAGGGTGGCCAGATGGGGTCCGTGACTGGACACCGATGTCATGTGTCCCCTGCCCACCTGGGACGAGCCTTCCAGCAGGACAGTCCTGAGCTCCTGAGCTTGGGGGAGCAGCAGGGCATGAATCTCCTTGAGACTCACAGAAAGATGGGATAGCAGGTGAAGGAGGGGCAAGGACTCAGGAGGACACAGGCGGGGCCCCACATGCCACCGGGCCGTGGGACAGGGGCACAAGGATGCCATGGGGCAGGGTTGTCACTGGGTGCCCTGCCCACCACAGCTGGGGCGTGACGCCCACCCACTCGTGCCCAGACCCCCAACCCAGGTGCCTGCCCACCCATGCTCACATAGATGCCGAGGCGCAGCGCAGGCACAGCAGGCGCCTCACACAGCGTCAGCAGCAGCAGCAGCAGGGCGGTGAGCAGCTCCATCAGGTAGAAGACATGGTTGTGTGCGAAGAGGTAGGCCGCCAGCGCTTTGGCATCCTTGGGATGGGTGAAGAACTTGTCGTTGTTCTCGCCTTCCTGCGAACACAGGTGTGGGGTGGCCAGGGAGGGAAGGCGGCTCTGGTGGCCCAGAGGATGGGGCCAGAGTGCAGAGGATGGAAATGGGACATGTGAACTGTTACCGTCATCAGGGAGCCACATCCAGGCCTGCTGAGGGCAGGTGGGAGACCGGCTGCCCAGCCGCTGCTGAGAACCCTGGGACCCAGGGACAGAAAGCCTCAGAGGAGGCCCAGAGGTGGCGCCCTTGAGGCCTGCAGAGCCCGAACTCTCGCCCAGAGCAAAGAGCTCAGCGGCCAAGCCTAATTACTTCCCGACACCCTCCCTGTGGGTCCGAAAGTCCCGAATGTCCCAGGCTGTGTGGGGGACAGTGCTAGAGCTTCCTCAGGATCATGGTGAGGAGGGAGGGTGCCTGCCAGGCACGGGGACAGCAGCCGTCACAAGGTAAGGCCCCCATATCCGCCATTCCAGTCACATGGGAGGAAAAGCGAGCCAGGCCAGAGGGTGCACCAAGAGCTGCCCCCAGGGCCCTACTAACTTCTGCGTCACTCAGGCTGCCCAGGCCCACATTCTGTATTCTTTGGCCTTTTCTTTTCTCTTTGTACTTCTACACTTTTAACTGACAAATAAGAATTGCATGTATTTATGGGGTATATTTTGTTACATGGATACATTAGGGAATGATTAAATCAAGCCAATTACCATATCATCACCCCATTTACCCTGTGTGTGTGTGGTGTATCGTGGGAATATTTAAAATCTCTCTCAGCAGTTTTGAAATACATACCTGGCTTTTTGGCTTTTTTGACACAGGGTCCCCCTATGTAGTCCAGGCTGGCCCTGAACTCACTACGTAGCCCAGGCTGGCTTTGAACTCATGGAGCTCCTCAGCCTCCCGAGTGCTGGAATTATAGATGTGTACCACCACATCCAACCTCTACCATATTAACTATGTTTACAATACTACATGACAGACCCCAAAATCTTATTCCTCTCGTCTACTGAAACCTTCCACCCTCTTACTAAAATCTCCCCATTCCTGACTCTGTTCTCAGCCCCTGGTAACCACCGTTCCTCTCTCTACTTCTATGAATTCAACTTTTTTAGATTTCTCATATAAGGGAGATCACACAGTCATATGTCTTCTGGTGCCTGGGTTATTTCACTTAACTTCACTTAACAGGTTTCCATGTTGCATGTTGTTGCAAATAACAAAACGTCCCCTTTTTCAAGGCTGCATAGTATTCTATTGTGTGTAGAAACATTTTCTTTATCCATCTACCAATGGACTCTTGATTCTATAACTTGGCTGCTGCAAACAATGCTGCACAAGAGTATATATTTGTTTTAAGTCCTCTGAATACATTCCCAGAATTGGTATTGCTGGATCATATAGTAAGTAGTTCTATTTTTTTTTTTTTTCAGTACTGAGGATTGAACCCAGTGCCTGGTGCATGCTAGGCAAGTACTCTTACCACTAAGCAACATCCCAAGCCCTTTTTATTGTTAATTTTGAGAGTCTCCTAAGTCACCCAGGCTGGTCTTCAAATCGCGATCCTCCTGCCTCAGCTCCCTGAGAAGCTGAGATGGACCTGTGCACCACCTGCCCGACTACTTTCCAGTTTTCAGTCTATGTGCTGCTGAAGTGAGTATGATTGCTTTTAATTCTCCGAGGACTCTCTGGGCTGCTGTGCTAACTCACGCTCCCCCACAGTGCCCGGGCCCCTTCCCTCCAGCCTCGCCCCCATCTTTTTGCTGACAGCCCTTTTTCTAGGCATGCGATATTGCATTCCCACAGCCCACTTCTTCAGCTACAGTTCTTGGTTATTTCTAACTTCCTAACTCCTCAAAACGGGGGGCTTTGCCTTTGACTCCTTCACCCCAACAATAATGGGACAGTGGCCCACAGCCAGGCACAGTGCTGCACACTCCCGGAGGCTGAGGCAGGAGGGTCACAAGTGTGAGCTCAGCCTGGACACCTTAGGGACAGTGAGATCTGTCTTGAAATAAAAAAGAAAAAGGGACTGGGGACAGACCTAGCTTCATACAAAGGCCTTGTGTTTGTTCCCCAGTATTGGGAATTAAGAAAAAGTGAGCAGCCATCCTTGGCCATGTGCTAGCTAGTAGCAGGCGTGGTGCCCATCTCTTCATGTGCACCCTGTCCCCACTGCTCCTGACAGTGTTCCCGAGGCAGTGCTGCCGTTACCTGGTGTGACAGATGAGAAGACTTCGTGTGCTGAGGACCCAGAGCACCCACAGTCCCCGGGGCAGCAGCAGCTCCAGAGCCCTGTTCTTCACCACCGTGGCCTCCTGCTAACGTCACAGGCAATTGATGGCCTGGCCTGAAATGGTCCCCTTGGGAACACAGCAGGTGACACCCCAAGGCCCTGTTGACCTTGCCAATGCAGGCTGGGAATGGGGCGGTCCCCACTTCATCGGCTTCATCCATTGTCACCTGGTAGCCAGCACTCAGTGACACCAAGAGCACTAACATGGCCGACGTCAGCCTGCAGCATCACCTTGCTTCTGTGCTCCCTGCCGGGGTGACATAGCTCCCGCCCTGACCATGGACAAGGCCGGGGTCATTTTTGGACATCACCGTGGAGGGTGGGGGACATGCTGCTGGTGTCTCACACTCAGTGTCTCTGGCGCACGGCCCCACAACACACTAAGATCCTGTCTCCGTCCTAGGGCCGAGGCTGGGCAACTGCGCCCACTCCTCATTGCCCTCAGAGGGTGCAGGCAGAGCAGAGTGAGCTTGGGCCCCGGAGAAGGCACCCGGCATCTGGGAGCACGGTCCACGCTGCCATCACGCACAGACAGACAGCCTCACCCCTCGAGTCTTCACAACTCAGAGATGGAGAGAGTGCTGCCCTCTTTAGCAAAAACAAAAGACAAACCGAAGACCTGGTGGGGACAGGCCCAACTAAGGGCACACATCTGGGCAGCGGTGGCACACACGGGGGGCTGGGAAGCTTCTGGCTGGAATTATTTAAAAAATCCAATTGTTGCACAATTTCTTCTAACAAACAGCTGGAAGGAAAGCCTAGCTACAGGAAGCCAGTGCCAGGAGGGCTCAGATCCAAACTCCAGGACTTGGAACTGCCACGGAGGTGTCAGGGATGAGGGCTCCACCAGTCAAGACAGGGGAGACACCACCCATGTCCCCGGGCTCCAATCCCAACCCAGAGGACACCGGGCTTGTTTCCCGGCTTCAGTCTGTGAACTGGATGAGGACAGATCCAAAGGCGGGCGGCCCCAACTCCCAGGTTCTCAACTCCATTCTCTGATTCAGGTCCACTGGACATCAGCACTGTCTAAGGGCTCCAGGACCACGGAGCCTGGGCTCCCGAGGACAGAGGACCCGCAGGTTCCGGGCTGCGCAAAGCAGGCCCGCCAAGGGCCCTGCACACAGGCGGCGGGCTCAGCACTGGACTGCAGTGTACAGGCAGCTGCAAGCAGGGTACATCTCCACCCCGCCAGACCTGCCAGGAACAGCTGCAAACAGCTGCTCATGGGAATCTGCATTCTCCTTTCTTTTTTGTTTATTTTTGGTTTTTTGAGGCAGGGTCTCCCTCTGTAGTTCAGGCTGGCCCTGAAACCCACTATGTAGCCCAGGCTGCCCTTGAACTCATGATGATCCTGCCTCAGCCTCCAGAGTGCTGGGATTACAGGCCTGTGCCACCACACCCAGCTCTCTTTTTATTTTTAGGAAATGATGTATTTTTTATAAAATAATTCAAATACCATACAGATTTTTAAAGGGAACCAGCACTCCATCAGTCAGACACCTTTCTTTTCAGTACTGAGGACTGAACCCGGGGACAGGGACACTCACACTGAATCACATCCCTAGCCCTCTTGCTAAATTGCTCCTGCTGGGCTAGAACTCATGGTGATCCTTCTGTCTCAGCCTCCTGAGGGCTGTGATCAGCCCAACTTCCAAAAGTGACCTCTATTTTCTCAAGCACATGGTCCATTTTCCAATGGACACGTGGTCAGGTACAGAAATGTGGCAACAACATGTGGAAGAAAGGACATCACCTGGAAGCCAGACAGACAGTTTACTGATTTTTTTGTGATGCTGGGGACTGAACCCCGGCCTCGGGTACGGTAAGCACAGGCTCTACACAAGCCACACCCCCAGCCCCTAGAGGTCAGTTTAAACTTGGGCTCTGTAACTGCCTGCCTGGGTGGCCTCAGGCATCACTTAGCCCCTTTGAGCCTCAGCTACCACATCTGTACCACAGGAGTGGCTCACCCCAGCCTGGGAGAACCTTAAGAAGATGAGCAGCTGCCCCTCAAAGTCCCACATTTTTATTGCCAATGTTTCACACTCACTGGGGAAAAGAAGGAATTACCAGATTCCCGAGTCCTCAAAGCCGTTCTCTCTGTGTTCTGACAGACCCTGTGCTCTTACCCTTACCAAGGGGACCCTGAGGGACACAGGACGCCCACCTGAGCAGGCTGGGGGCTTCTGGAACATTCCACTGCCCCAGCCTGGTCCCAACGCGTCTGTGTAGGAGCGCGGCTGTGTGTGACCGGCACAAGAGCTCCAGAAATGCACCACAGCGGAGCCAGCACCAAGCACGTATCTCGATTTAATTACATCCTTTTAACAAATGGACAAAACCAGTACTTCCATAGGGAACGGATTCAAAAATATTAGGGGAAATTATCATGCCAGTAGATTTAAGAAAAATTTTATTTCCTTACACAAACTCTTACTCAGTGGATGCCAGAAACTAAAGTTTTCTAGCAACAAGAACAGCAATAGTAAGATGCAGACACCACAGCCAGTGAGTGACAGGAGAGAGGCAAGAGCTCCTAGGGCGAGAATCCCACTGGATCTCAAGAGCCCCCCAAAAAGTGATTCCTCCCACCCAGTATTTTATTTCTTAGTCTTTTTTTCAGTAAGAAACTCCCAGATGTGTGAGTGAGAGAGGGAGGAGAGAAAGAGACAGAATTCTTAGTATAGGCTGTCCTTGGATTATAATTTATAATAAAGTAAATGTATAATAACAGAAGTACATAATGAGAGAAAATACTCTTATTATCAAAATAGCTAAGTAAATCGGGTAATTTACTTGATGTAATTTAAAGACACTTACATGATATTTACACAAGAGTGATAAAGCTTATGCTACATGCTATTTATAAAAAAAAGAGTATAGCTCAGTGCTAGAGCACTTGCCTAGCAGGCACAAGGCCCTGGGTTCAAACCCAGCACCACAAACAACAAAATAGCAGGTTATACACAGCATGACTGTATTTTTTTTTTTTTTTTTTTGAAACAGAATCTTGCTATGTTGCCCAGGTTGGCCTCAAACTCCTGGGCTCACGCAATCCTCCTGTCTCAGCCTCCCAGAAGCTGGGATTATAGGCTTCACCATCATACCCAGCTTGTATTTTGTTTTAATATAGAAGGAAATAAAGTCGACAGAGACTGCCTTGGGTGAATGTTTTTTTCATTTCCTATTTGTACCAAATTACTTAGAATGAGCACAGATTACTATTATAGAAAATTATTGGGGCCGGGGATTTAGCTCAGTGGTTCTGCCACCTGCCTCGCAAGCACAAGGTTCCGAGTTCAATCCCCAGTACCAAAAAAAAAAAAAAGAAAAACAAGAAAATTATTGTTTTCCAAAATGAAAAAAAAAAGCAAGCATGAAATAGCAGAAATGAACACAGGGTGAGTAAAATGTGACAGCCACACTGTGGTGCTGAGAAACCATACAGTTTAAGGACAGAGAGGAACTCCTCCCTCCCAAGAACTCACCTCCCAGTGTAGCCCCGGGAAGAGGGAGGGGACACAGAAGCCCAAGAGGGCAGACTCGGGGCACCCTGGGCAGGCACAGCACCCACGGGGGTCAGAGGAGGAGGGGTGCGCGTGCCCACTCACAGGCTCCTCAGCAGGCAGCCCTCCCCACCACGACACCGCGGAGACTCACCTGGAGGTAGATGGCTGCCTCTTGGTAATTCATCTCCCAGTCGTGTGGGGTGGGGCTGGCAGGGGAGTTCTCGCCCCCAGAGACCAGACTGGGGGCCCGGGAGTCAGGGATGGTGTGGCTGCCCCCATCTGCACGGTGAGAGGAGAGAGATTCATTTACAACCCGGGCGCAGACAACAGAGCTCCATGGGCTGAGGGGACTGGGGGGTCACTCTGTCCTCTCACGTTCACCCATGAGCACAAGTCAGTGCCCCATCCTGAAGTAGGTCTGGAAGTCCTCTTTCACGAGCATCGTATTCATAGTTGTGCTGTCCTGGCTGCACAAATTGATTCCAAACATTTGTCTTCTATGCTCATTTTGACTTTGAGGAAGAGCCAGAAGTTGCAAGGTGCCAGATCCGGTGGAAAAGGTGGATGAGGCTACACTTCAGTGTTGTTACCAGCCTGTCTTTCTGCTGGCAGCACTTGGCAGCAGCATTCATTGTATTTTTTTATCAAACCTGGTAGAGCCACTCAGGAAAGAGGGCTTCCAGGGCTTCTACAGAAAGCGGCCAGAAGGATAGGATAAGGGGGGGGGGGCGGTGAAGGGATTAAGGACAAGATGTCTTTTGCTAAAATAAATTCTTTCATGTAAACACCCTACGTTTGATCAGCCCTTGTATACAAGTCTACTTGTCTTTACAAACATGGAGGAGAAATGCGAACTCAGTGAAACTGGTACCTGTGTGGGGTGAGAGGAATAGAGCAGAAGTGTCACTAACAGAGTACTCTTTGTGTGGACTTTGGAAGTCTGTTGATTCTACTTAGCCAAAAATTTACAGAACTGGATCTGTTCCCGGTATGGGGTCATCTGCTGCTTTCCCCTGCTGACAGCTGGGTCCTCCTCTTCCCACACTCCGCCCTGATTGGCCCTGGCAGAATGCCCTCTGCCTGTCCTCTGCCCATGCTGCTTGGTTCAGAGCTGCCACAAGGTCCCCAGGCTGGCTGGGACACGGGGGTCACCTCAGGCACATGATTGTTGACACATGGCCACCCAGGGACAGCTGAACTTGGAACTTTTCCTGGGCCAGTTTGGAAGGAGGGGCTCTTTCTGACGCCTGGCTGCCCAAGAAGGAAGTCAGCAGAGAATGGAACAATCAATAGGAGATAATACTGGCTGTGCCCCTGCGATCCTAACTTCCAAACTCCAAACCGAGGAGGACCCTACTGAAGCGTGTCTCAGTTGGAGCTGTGACAACAATGCAGCCCTTGATGACTCACGGGTAAACAGGCACACCTCAAAATGGCTCCCAACTTGTGAACTTACTGGGACCAAGCGAATCTAGGACAAAAATAAGGTCCCCCACGACCCACACCCTGAATCATGCACCTGTAGGAAGGCGCAGAATCAAACGTTTGGACAGATTTGCACAGGGGTAGGACGCAGAGGTATACGGAGCACAACCACAAGCCGGAGGGCAGGAAAAGCACGGGGTTCACAGGAATGCCGGGTCACAGAAGCTGTGCTGATCTGCAACCACCAGGCAAGGGTGCCCAGGCCGGGCAATCAGCAGAGCCCTTCCCCCAATTCTAAAAACACCCATATTGAGGCATGATGGACAGACAATAAAACATATATTTAAAGTGCACAAGGTGACTTTTTTTTTTGGCAGTGGTGCTGGGGATGGAATCCAGGACCTTGTGCACACGAGGCAAGCGCTCTGCCACTGAGCTGTCTGTAAAGTATTCTGATGTGTGCATACCTGTGAAATGCCGCTGCAATCAAGATGATGTACCCATTGCCCCTCCTGCCTGCCTGCCCAGGGGACCCCAGGCAAACACTGACTTGCTTTCTGTCACTATCATATCAGTCTGTACTCTAGCTCTCCTCTGATTTTTATTTTTTGAGATAGGGTCTTGCTATGTAGGTCAGGCTAGCCTTGAACTCAGTTCTCCTGCCTCAGCCTCCTGAGTGCTGAGATTACAGGCATGCACCCCCACACCTGGCCCTGTTTCTAGTTTTTGGCTGTTTCAAATGAAGTCGCTGTGAACATTCATGTACCAGGCTTTGTGTGGACATATGTTTTCACTTCTTTTGGGCAAATAAATATGCAGAGATGTATCAGAAGGGTCACACATTTTACCTTTTAGGAAATGCCAAACCCTTTCCCAAAATGACTGTACCAAATGACATTTCTACTAGCAGTGTATGAGAGTTCCAGTTCTTCTACATCCTTGCCAACAATTGATTCATCCAGTCTTTTTAAACATCTTCAAGAAATCAACAAATGCTGGTAAGGCTGCAGGGAAAAAGGAACCCTTCCACATTGGGCAACCACTATGGAAATCAGTGTGGAGATTCCTCAAAAAACTAAAGCTAGGAATTTCATTCCACCCAGCTACTCTGCTTCTAGGCATCTTTCCTAAAGAGTTAAGGACACCACATTATATACATTTTTGTTTTTTGTAACCAAGTGTCAAACTCGAGTCCTTGCACTTGTGAGGCAGGCGGCGGAACCACTAAGCTAAATCCCTGGCCTGACACCACATTATAGTGATCCGTGCATACCCATGTTTATAACCAACACAAGGATCGAGGAGTGGAGCAGCGAGGAGCTGAGCTGCATGGAGCTGAGCCGCACACGCTCCCATTAGCACTGCCCTCCCAACCCCCGGGCCTCCAGGCTGCACCGGTACCTGGATCCACACCGCGGAGGCATAGGGGCTCATAAAGGCCATTGTCCTGCTGAGCTCCAGAAGACACAGCAGAAGTGAACAACAGTGAGGGCCTCTCTCAGGCTCCTTGATGAAAACTGAAGCCCATTGAAAAAGTGAAAAGAATCTCTGCAATAAAGGCACACCAGACCACTGTACCTGGTAAGTTGGAGGGATCACCACCTCCCATAGGAACCTGGGCTATCTTCAGGGGAAAGGCAGCTGGAACCTGCAGTAGAACGTTGCAGAGTTCAACCCTGCAGGAGGACAGGGAGCTCAACTTGGGTCTTGCAGCCAGAAGTCTACCTGAATCTCAGGGGATTGCTACTGGCTTGCTGAGACTAACTGACTTCAATCTGCACACTGCTCCCCACATTGTCTATTGTGACAGCAGAGACATACACTGAAGAAGGCCCTTCATTTGTATTTTTTATTTTCAAAATTAATTTTTTCTTTTATTTTTAATTTTTTTCTTATTTTCAATTTTTTCTTTTTTTTCCCTTTTTTTCCTTTTCTTTCTCTCCCTTACTCTCTTGCTCTCCCACCTTGTTCTTCATTTCCCTTTTTGTTCCTGTTCCTGCCCTAATTTGGATTTCTTCTTTCTTTTTCTTCTCTTTCCTTCTCTCAGCTGTCATTAGTTTTAAAGGGAAGTGAATACAGTTTCTAGCTTCCCTATTGCTGTTAGGTTCTTCTGTTCTTCTCTTTGTTCTTTCATTCTGTCTTTTCCTCTTGTCTTCAACAGTTATCTAGACTTTGGGTGATCTTCCTCTGTCCTCTGGCCTCACTTCTGATCTTTCCCTATCTTTCTACCTCTATCCCTCCCTCCTCAACTTCTTCTAAGTCCCCATCCCAAAGTGTAAAGTTGCTATATTGAAGAGTTTATTCACTATAAACATATTTTGGGCTGGTCCTCAATTTTGATTTAATTCACATGGTTAAAGGTGATAGATTAATAACTACCACAAATTCTCATTTTCTAAGCTGTGCTTGATGGTATTGTTTTTGCTGATTGAATCACTTGGGCTAAGGTGTTGTGATTGATCTAATTAGTTGTCCTTCCTGTTATAATGAAAATGAGATTGCCTCAGAGTCATTAGAGACTCAAAACCTAAAGATCAGCTATATCTGGAAGACAGCTCTGAGAAGGAATCATCCCATAAGGGTTATAAATAGAAGCAATGAAGATTCTTACAATAAGCAATATGGAAGCATCAACTCAGGAATTAAACCAAAAACAGTACCAACAAAAAAAAATAGAAATTAAAAGACACTTAAGCAAGGTGCAAACCCAGACTTCTAGCTCATCAAAGGCAAATTCTGGGGGAAACAAGGTGGAAAAGTCTGATGATCAACCACCTGGACACCCTGAACTGATAGCACAGGAAGTAACAAAACAGATGAATGAGGCCCTAAAAAATTCAAAACACAAATAATTTCCCAGATAACTACAGAGATGGTAAGCAGAATGAAAGACATGATTAGAGACTCTAAAACAGAAACAGATAAAAAATTAGATGTGTTCTGGACCATAATGGAAGCCATGAATGCCCAGCATAGGAAAGAAATGGAAACCATGAACACCCAACATAGGAAAGAAATGGAATCCATGAAACAGATTCAAACAGATACCAGGAGATTAAAAACTACTGAAAGTATCTGCAGCAGACTGAGCCAATCTGTTTTTTGTTTTGTTTTGTTTGGTACTGGGGATTGAACTCAGGACCTTGTGCTTGCAAGGCAGGTGGTGGAACCACTGAGCTAAATCCTGGGCCTACTGAGCCAATCTGAAGACAGAATATCAGATATAGAAGGCAGGATGGTGGTCAGCGACCATGAAAAGAGAGATTTCTTTTTGATCCTCGGTACCAAAAGAAAAAAGAGAGAGAGATCTCTTAAAAATAGTAAGGGACCGCAAGGACCCGAGTTCGATCCCCAGTACCAAAAAAAAAAAAAAAATAGTAAGGGACCATGAGAAATTAATCCAACAGCTCCTAGATGACCCAAAGAAGAATAATATAAGACTGATAGGAGTCCACGAAAAAGCAGGAGAAAGTACAAATGACATGAAAAAACTGTTCACAGAATTAATGACAGAAAACTGCCCAAACAGAGCAAAAGAATTTGACATACAGATAAAAGAGGCATATAGGATTCCAACTAGACATGATCAAAAAAATCTATACCTAGACACATAATAATCAAGCTCTCGGAAACCCAAAAGAAGAACAAAATACTACAAGCAGTTAGAGAAAAGAAACAAATCACATACAAAGGAAAGCCCATCAGCAGACTTTTCTTTCTTTTTTTTTTTCAGACTTTTCAGCACAAACCCTCAAGTCAAGGAGAGCCTGGAGGGAGGTATTTGAAGCCCTAAAAGAAAACAACCTCCAACCTAGACAGATGTATCCTACAAAACTATCTTTCAAAATTGATGG